TCTGGGAGCAAGAAATCTTTCCGATTGTGAGGGGTCAAATATTTATTTCCCTCATTAAAATGCAAATCAATTTATAACATTTTTGACATGTTTTTTCTGGATTTTGTTGTTGTTATTCTGTCTCTCACTGTTCAAATAAACCTACCATTAAAATTATAGACTGATCATTTCTTTGTCAGTGGGCAAACGTACAAAATCAGCAGGGGATCAAATACTTTTTTTCCCTCACTGTATATGGTAGACTGCCTGGTAATACCAGGTGTTGTAGGCGGACGGCTTTTGCATGTGTGTCTGGAAGAGGGCGCTATTTAACACGTTAACTCACCTAATGAGTGCACCAGACAATTTCATGTCCGTATGGTGGATTGCTTTGGGATCAAGATTTTCCTGTAAAAAGACCATTTGATGCCACTAATTCGGGCTCAACCAGGAGTTAATTTACGCAAGTTTTCCTGAACATTGACCTCAGAGTGAAGTGGTTATTGTTCACATGGCAATAAACAGCACCATCTGAAATCTGAATTTAGAATATTAAATTAGTAGACTTCATTTGCTTGGCTTAGTGATTTATAAATCTGCCAAAATTCCATATTTATAACTAGATTTAAAAAAAACGTTACATTGAAAACACTGCTCCCTGTAGATGTAAATACCCATGACTGCTCACTGTGTGGAATGACTGAATATAAAACCATTTTGGACGAAAATTTAAATCTATCGTGGTCCTCGACCAGTGTGACGGCATGAGAGGTAAGGCCGGCTATGCCCGGTCTACACTCCAATCCCCTGAGAGGTTTGACCAAGGACCGAAGTATTAACGGTCCATTATCGGTCCTTCCATGTGTTTAATGTACAGACCAAAACATGACTTGCTCATACATTGATTTCATTTTCAATTCGTGAACAGCGATGATCTAAGGATAACTGGATGAAGACCTCTTCAAGCCGTTCACGTTTCCCGCAGCCTTGTGAATCAATAAACCTTTCTCCAGCTATAGATAACGTTCTTTATAATCGTTTCTCGACGTGAAAAATCAATAGTTTATTCAATGATGGAGGCATATTTTAGTCTTATTTATTTGGGTAATTATATTTTTCACAGTAATGCTCATGATTATTTTGCATTAAATATCTAGCAATAGAGTTGAATCTTATTTTTTTTCAGAATAATGTGCCACAGGTCTCCATAAACATTGCCCATGACCATATCACTCTGAATGCACCTGATGTCGTCTGATCTCAGAAACTAAGCAGGTTTTAGCCTGTTAGTGCTTGGATGCGAGACTGCCTGGGAATACCAGGTGTTGTAGGCTTGGTATTTTTGTCTCTAAGGGGTGCTATTTATACTTCAACTCACCTAATGAGTGCAACCAGACAATTTCATGTCCGTATGGTGGACTGCTTTGGGATCAATATTTCCTCCTAAAAAGACCGTTTTATTCCATTAATGCGGGCTACTGAGCATTGATCTAAGAGCGAATTGTTTAATTGTTCACTTGGGATTAAACATCATCATCTGAAATCTACATTGAGAATTATACTAAATCAGCAGAATGAATTTGTTTGGCTTAATCTTCATATATATAAAAGGCAAAGTTGTGAATGTGTCTCTTCATAATGTTTAGTGTACTTCCCGACATGCAACAAACTTGACATTTGCCATGTGGGTACTTTCCAGACTGTACACCATGCAAAAATTATAAAAAAATACTTTTATTGTTTTTTTGGGTGGGGGGGGGAGCTCAATAATGCATATATTTTTTTTAGCACGGCAAGTGAGCTGTGACGTCAAAACTGTCATGTGACCCGCGCATGTGGAAGCGTAATGCATTGTAGTGTAGCGGTTAGCGCGCTGCGCTACGAACCCGGCGACCCGAATTAGATTCCCGCTCACGGCCACCACCGGTGACGATTATTTGAACCGGTCCTGGGCCTCCCCTAGGTCGACTCAGCCTCAAACGAGTAACTGGTGTACTGTGAACATCGCCACTGGGGGGGACAAAGGCGGCCGGGCGTGGTGCTGGCCACCCACCCCCTCGTGACATATAAATTGCATCTGCCGTTCTGCCAAGATTCTCTATTTATCACTAGATTAAAATATATATTACTAGCTGTACTACCCGGATGGAGTTGTGTGACAGGCTTTTGGCGGCAGCAAAAGCATGTTTAATGACAGGAGCCAGAACATAACCATGCGTGACCCCGACCTCCACGTTGAAGGGCTCTGATTCAAGTCCACTAAGCACCACTCTGGCATGCATTCCGTCATTGAACTGTTTTAGAATGCTCAGAAACTTGGGGGAGGCACCCGAAGTTTGGTGAGCTGCTGCCAGATCATCTTTCGGTTGATGGTGTCATGTTTTGGTGAGGTCGATAAAAGCTATGAAGAGGTCTTTGTTTTGCTCCCGGCATTTCTCCTGCAGTTGCTTTGTCACAAGATCATGTCAGTGGTGCTCCTGCTCTTCCTGAAGCCGACACTGGGATTCTGGGAGGATGTTTCTTGATAGGTGCTCTGCGATCTGGTAGAGCATTATTCTGACAAGGACCTTCCAGGCAACTGAGGGAGATACCTCTGCTGTTGCCGCAAGCCACTTTGTTACCCTTCTTCTTGAAGATAACTACAACATTCGCATCCTTCCATTCCTGTGGGATGGTTTCAGACAGCAAGATTGACTTGATGAGAAGGTGCAAGCGGCGATGGAGGTATCCCCCTTTCTTCAGGATCTCAGCTGGGATGACGTCGAGCACTTTTGTTGTGTTTGAGGCCTTTGACCGCCTGGTGGACCTCAGAAAACTTTAGTGGGTTGTCGAGTTCATGAATGGGTGGGATATCTAGGAGTGTGTCGAGGATGAGCTGGTCTGTGGGGTTGGTGTGGTTGAGGAAGTTATCAACGTGCTTCAACCATCTCTCCGAGATATTTTGGCGGTTATTGAAAAGTGTGTTGCCATGAGCAGACCTGACCAGGGTGATGGCTTTTCAGGACCATAGATGACTTTGATGGCATCATAGAACCCTTGGGCATTGTTTGCATCCGTGAGGCTTTCGATCTCATCTGCCTTTTGGACCCACCAGGTGTCCACCATGGCACGGGGAGCATGCTGGGACTCTACTTTGGCACAGGAGAGGGTGGTTTGGAGAGTGGGGAAGTCTGGGTTGGACATGACGGCTTTGTGGGCTTGGCGGCTATTCTGTAGGCGTGTGGATGTCGGCAGCATTCTCGTCAAACCAGTCTTAGCGACGCTTTTTGGTGTACTCGACTGATTCGGAGGCTGCCTCGACGATGGCTGTGGTGTTGGAGGTGGAGTCCGGGGGGGTTGGGAGGAATTTGGTGGGGAGGAGACACCGAACGTTGTTGGCGACAGCAGGGTTTTTGAGGGAATTACTGTCGAGTCTCTTATTTGGGGCCTTCCTTGGATGGCGTGGACGAATCTCAATGCGGAGCTTGGCTTTAATCATACAGTGATCAGTCCAGCATTTTGCCCCACACATGGCTCAGGTCACTAGCACCTCCTTTTGGTCACACCGACAGAAGTACATCTCACTGACTGCTGTGTGCAATAATGACAATCTAAAATGCTTTTGGCTGAAAATTGACCTCCGTCATGATCTACGACCAGTATGACTGCATTCGAGGCTAAGCTCTTCGTACCCCTTGATCCCCTGTTGAGGTTTGACCAAGGCTTAGGTATGTCCATGTCGGTTTTTCCAGATATTTAATATACAGACGAAAACATGCATTGCTCATACTCTCTCTACCTGCTTTATGGTTCTTTCATATCTGCCGAGTACTAGTCTATTTTTCCGAGTTAACTTCCCCCCCCCGCATCCCCAGCCCTCTCGGCCTCCCACTCCCCCCCCCCCAGCCTCACGTCAAAACCATCATGTTACCATACATAGCAAGTGTTACCAAAAATATTTCCAAGATCTTAAACAAACACAAGATCCAGGTCCCATTCAATACAGTACACAAAATCTGTGATCTAATCCCATCTGTGACGGATGTCATTCCTGACATGCAACATCCTGGAGTTTACAAACTGAGTTGTACCTGCGGTAGCATTTACATCGGGGAAACAAAACGACATGTCTCGGACCGCGTCCGCGAACACAAGGCAGATCTGAAACACGGCGGAACCAATACCTTTGCTGTAGCTGACCATTGTTATAACGCTGTGGGCTTGCATGATATTGTTTTTCCTGAGACCAAGGTACTCTGCAAACCTTTGGGCTACTATCAAAGGTTTGTTCATGAAGCCATCCAGATATATAAACAGACATAACTTCTATCGAGAAGATGGATACAAATGTAGCAATCATTGGAAGGATGCTATTAACCAGGTAAAACCCTAATTGCTTTATGGTTGCTGTCTATTTTTCCGAGTTAACCCCCCCCCCCGCATCAGCCTCCCACTTCCAGCCCCGCCCACTCCCCCTCCCCCCAGCCTCACGTCCCTCCTAGCATGCATCCACGCAGTGCTCCCCTACCCCACATTCCCCCCCTCTCTCTCCCCCTTTGCCCCTCCCCCCTTTCTTATCTATATAACCTCTCTCTCCCACTTCAGCAAAAAAAAATCTTGCTGTGGTTTTTCCCACCTGATGATGATTGCTTGTGTTGCAATCGAAATGTCGTGATTTATTGTTTTACTAAGTTTGTTTTCTCTCTGTGTCTGTGTTGTCTCTCTAGTAATTCCTGCAGTCACGAAAGCTCCAAATCTCTCATTGACATGCTAATTTCTCTACCTCCCCCCTCTCTCTATTTAAGGCCTCGACACAAAGGCGTTGTTTCTCTGTGTGCCTATGTGTGTGTCTCTATCTGTCTTGTCTCTCTCTGCTTATGCGTCTATGTGTCTCCGTGTCTGTGTTTTTTTGTCTCTCTCAAATTTAGCAACCTTTGAAAGAACGTAATCAACCAGGTAGGGTGTTGACTGTTATGTTAGCCGACTATCTGTGTTGTATTGCATTATATTTCTAAGTTGACTAGGTTTGTTTTTCTCATTCATTTGTACCTGATGACGATTGCTTGTGTTGCAATCGAAACATCGTATTCTATTATTTAATTTATTTTCTTTCTACGTGACTTTACCAAAAGAACCAAAAAGTAAAAAGCATATTATATTTTTATTTGGTTAATAATTATCTAAAGTGATGCTTGTGATTATTTTTGTTGACATATCGGTGAACGCGGTACCACGGAAACACGGCAGTATCCTGGTAATGTGTCTTCACACTCCTGTGTGGATGAGGCGGAATGTAAGGTTAACACGTATGCTTTTATCTCTGCGTCGTGGAGGGAGTGCATGACACCACACCTCGTTTGTCGGCCATTTCATTACCAGGACACTGCCATGTTCCAGCGGCATCACCAGCCTGTCTCCTGACACGGTGATGGCGATGTCGTTTGCACATCTTTCACTTGTGCATTTCAACTTGCTGGCAGATGACTGACACGTTGAAAGCATTTTGCTTGTTACGGAGTCATTCTCAAAGGCGCCGCTGCGATTGCCACTCCAGTTGTCAAGTTTTGGCAACTTTGAATGGATCATACCGCTCATTTCACACATTTGCTCAGTATCCTGATCACTGCCACCATTGTGAACAGTGCGACTGCTCCAAGTGCCAGATGATGACAAATCCTCCGTGCTGCTTTCACTGCCTCCGCTCGCATCACGACAACAGCCGCGGCTCTCCCGTGGTTCCGCATTCACCGATCGCCTGCCTCCGCGCGGCCGACGTCGGAAGCAGAAGTCCCTGCATGCGCCCAGCGACACGGACGCAATGGCCGAGCCACGGACGAGGTCCTTTTCATCGTCGCGGTGTTCCCCCATGTGGTCTCTTCCATCACGGTACCTAACAGCATCAGCACCGCTCATATGAATACTTTACAATACATTATAACAGCATCACAAATGCATATTCCAGTTTTATACCGATAGAGCTATCGGCAGTGGTGGAAATGGGATGTCATACGACGTAATGCCATACTGACAAATAAACAGCCTAAGAATCGACCTTACTCCACAGGCTGTCATCAATTAGATTAAAATAAAAATGTTAAACTACAACTGCGGCAAACCTGTTGACAAGAACAAAGTTGTAGGGTTGCTCAGTGAGGCTCTCAATGTGCTCTCGGATCTCCTTCAGCACTGGGCACCAGGGCCGGGCTAGAAGCGTTGACCCAGAGTAGCGGTACGTGACTCCGGGGTCCCCGTAAGCGGATTGCTGACGCGGGAGTGCGTGCCACGCTCCAAATACACGCACCCGCGCGTCCTCATCTACACACACACACACACACGTCTCATTGATACATCCATGCACACATGGATGTTGTTTTAATATACACACACGGACCCGCGCATATTACACGATCGTGTACAAATGGTTAATCTTCAGGAGTGACAGTGCATTCCGTTATGAACGGATAAACGGACGGAGAGATCGAATGTATAAACGCTTTTTACCTCGGTTGAAAAGCATTCATAAGAAAACAATCTGCTGCGCCTATGCAGCTGCACCAGTGGCTGATTCATTCATATTTAATCGAGTGCTTTCTGTGCTGCTGGGAATAAAATCAAAGGCTCCCTGTCCATAAACAATCATCGGGTTGTGCTCATCTGAATTTGTGTTCTCGAGCCAACGGTGGAAATGTTTGGTTTAACACGTAGGTTTTCGCGACCAATATCATCCATAATATAGGTTTTTTTTGGGTTAGATGACGTAAATGTAAATGTGTCGTTAAACCCGCCACCACCCGACATGCCAATTAATGAGGTTTAATCACTCATTGTTTTTTTTCGGTAAAGTCACGTATGTAGAAATACAATTAAATTATATTAATACAAAAAACAATCACGACGTTTCGATCACAACACAAGTAAATACAACAAAAAGATGAGAGACGAGAATTCAACAAGCCTGAAAAAACATTGTGAAGCACATACAGTCAGGCCAACAACACAGACACTTCCTGGCAGACCACGAATTTCAGAAGAGTGTTAAATTTCGTGTTCAACCTTTGGATTGCACATACCAGCATAGATAGAATTAAAAATACGAGGTACACGGTCAGTAGAAATACATATACAAGTCCACCAAGAGGTAAGGAGGGAGGAAAGACGGACAGGGAGGCCTATGCAGCTGCACTTATTCAGTCACGAAAGCTTTAATACTTTATTATCACACTTCTACGGGGAAGTTACCGTTGTAATTATGTGCAAGATGTGCCATTTTTTGAGCTGCCGTTTTGTATTTACAAGAGGTGGTCCTTTTTTGAGCTGCCCCCTCTCTCTCTCTCTGCCTCCCTGTCCGTCTTTCCTCCCTCCTTACCTCTTGGTGGACTTGTATATGTATTTCTACTGACCGTGTACCTCGTATTTTTCATTCTATCTATGCTGGTATGTGCAATCCAAAGGTTGAACACGAAATTTAACACTCTTCTGAAATTCGTGGTCCGCCAGGAAGTGTCTGTGTTCTTGGCCTGACTGGATGTGCTTCACATAATGTTTTTTCAGGTTTGTTGAATTCTCGTCTCTCATCTTTTTGTTGTATTTACCTCCGTGATTTGTTCTTGACACCTAATGAAGATCGCTTGCGTTGTGATCGAAACGTCGTGATTGTTTTTTGTTTTAATATAATTTTATTGTATTTCTACATACGTGACTTTACCGAAAAAACCAATGAGTAATTTTATGCAGTCACGAAAGCTTTAATACTTTATTAGGTTTAATCACGTAAACAGATGATGCCAATTCGTTATTAGTACAGCACACCGGTGTGTTGGAGAGCAAATCCACAACATTTACAATCCGAGTACAACGTTTCGCCAGTAATTACAACTAACATCATCAGGCGGATAAATCTGGCTGGCCGCCTGATGCTAGTTGTAATTACTGCTGTACTAGTAACGAATTGGCATGTTCTGTTTATGTGACAAATCTTACTAATTGGCTGTTGGCGGGTTTAGCGACATTTATATTTACATGACCTAACCCAAAAAACATATATTATAGTGGAAATGTTCACATTATTATGGCAAGAAATATATTTTCAGTGTTTCAGCTATCACATAAGGTCTGCAGTCCACAGACACGCATTAACCTATTCAGAAACCCACAGCAGTACCTGCCATGTACTCAATTTGCTTTTCACACTCCTCCAAGAGCCTCTCGGCCTCAGCTCTTCGGAAGGCCCGGGTGTAGTCACAAGCCAGCCCATCACCTCGGATGCGAATCGCTGACCCAGACTCTGCGAATAAGAGTAACTCTGGATCCAATCTCACTTTGTTTCGCTCAAACTTCATGCCTGCCAAGGGCTGACTGTCCATGTCACCACCGCCAACGCATCCTGCACAAGAAAAATTATACAAATTGTGCTTTAAATTTGAATGTACACATCGTGATTAGCTATTGCTGGATGTAGACTTCCCCAAGTTGCTGCCAACTCCCATGATCCTGCGATATAATAATCCACTTAGCACATGTACAAGAGCTGAATATCATTGCTTCACCTTGTTTGTGGGCATCTTCTCGAAAAGATTCCATTCCCTGGCTACCAATGTTATTATTCATGATCATTGGCCAATCACCCTTCTCAAATTATGTCCTGCCCAAGCTCGATTGTTTTTTGTTAAGAATGTCAATGACGTCATTAACCTGTGTATGTTCTATTTCACAATGCAATTCCAAGCATGCATCTCTACATGAGACTGGATAGTGTTTGGATAGGTAATCTCCATGCATAGCAAGCATTGTAATTTGCGGGGCTATGTTGTGGGCAGTGCAATTGTTCTAATGCACTTCTATGCTTCCATGTCAATGTTACCCACCTCACCAACCCGCACTGACCAGCGTGGTGAAGTATGGTCAAATAGCCCTCATGGTGTGTATCGAAGAAACAGTGCTGTATGTGTACATCCCAAATGATGACCATGCAGCCCAGTAGTCGATAATAACCTGACGTGCATGGTATTAACCCACCCAAGTGCTTTGCAGGCTCTTGGCAGCTTAGCTTCCGAGATATAATGAGCTTTCGGATGACTTGGTTATAAGCATCATGACCATAACTGTAAGCAGAGAGGATGAGGAGCAATAAATATGCAGTGAGGAGTTGTCACCATGAGATTGGCGATGCTTTCCAGCCTTCCCATCCACTGGGGAGTCTTGAGGACGTGGACTGTGAAGCTCACTCCCACTCGAGGCTTGAACTTTTGCTGAAACTCCCGCGGCAGACCGAGTCTCATGTCTCTTCGCAGACCCAAAATAAGGGCTGTGCATCATCTTTTCACCTTTCGTGGAACTGGGATACAGCAGATATGGATTTGGAAGTGATGAGATCACCTCCAATGGTAGAGACAATTTTTTTTAAACCATGTGTATTGACCCTCGTAATTTTCTAAAGTACACAATAAGCCACCTTCCCTTATCTATATAAACTTAGTGTCTTGTTATACATCCCTTCAGCCACGCATCTTTATGAATGCATAATTAATTAACATTGTTTCAACATTTATTTTTTTACGCGGAGGGACCGATATGGGGAGTAGGAAGTCTGCTTATTTACCTTGGACCTTGTCAGATGCTGTGGGGCAGGATAGCTTTGACCTGAGGGTCGATTAGGACTTCCACATTTGTGCAGGGCGACACAAACACACACCTCGCATGCAAAAATTGGAAAGGCAGTGCGATTACTGACAGGTCAAAAATAATCCCCTCTAGTGCCCGAAACGTGTGGCTAAGGGCAGTGGCGTCACTAGGGTTGGTGTCACCCAGTGCAGTAACTCATGGCAATAGTAGTGACATAAACAACTAGAAAATTTTAAATTATACCTTTAAATTACAATATTTCCTTTAATTACTACGTAATTCTCAAAAAAGTTATTGATATAGGTTCACAACAGAGACGTGCAGTCAGGGAAGGCAGGGGAGGTAGAGCCTCACCTGTCATACTCCAATGAAAATAGCTGTTACGAAAAGAAAAAAAGAATATCAAATAAAATAAATTAAAAAAATGTCCACTGACCTGTGTTATAAATGTAATTTCTGTACAATTCCAATAATTTTTATAGTCAAAATCGCCAAATTTGCGGAGTTCCGCTACAAATACAGGAAGAGACGAGAGGTGAGGCAGTGACGAGCTCAGCCTCCCCTCTGATTACGCAACCCCTCAGTAACTGGGTGGAGCGCGGGCTATAAGCGCGTGCCTGTTACTATCTCAGTATGTCACCAATGTAATGTTTGTAGACCCCTTCATTTCATGTTCTCGTCTTCCATACTCCAGGTAACTTATTTCACGTATGTGTATAAAGATGTTTAGGCTCGCTGGTCTCGTCATGAAACTGCAATGAAAAAGCACCAGGGGAGGCAGCTATCACATCTGCCTCACGGAGGGGGATGTGTCTAACATGCCCCCCTCAGTGAGGACACGCCCCCCTCAGTGAGGGCACGCCTCCCTCAGTGAGGTCACGCCCTCCTCAGTGAGGACACGCCCCCCTCAGTGGGGGTCTTGAAGCGTCACCGTAGTTGGGTAATAACAGCTCTGACCGGAGCGCATTAGAAGGTTAAAAAAGAAATGAGCATAGAGTTTTAGCCTTGTAGGTATATTGTACATGTAGGCTGGGATTACGAAACATATTTTTGTTATAATTAACTACAGGGATATTTTAATTAAAAAATTCTGCTGAAACACCGCACAAAAATTGTATTGCCATCTTGGTGTCACCCCCTCTGATGGTGTCACCCGGTGCGGCTCGCACCGCCCCCCGAGTCACGCCACTGGCTCAGGGTGCTTACACTTTACATCTCGGAAGCCAAGCAGTCCTGCATAGCGGCTATGGGTGGCCACCGCACAGCAGCAGGCGTTAGAGGCAGCTGTGTGGAGCTACGCGGTAGGAAACACAGGGCAATGCAGCATCAATTGTTGTACTGTACTTGTTTGCTCCCACATCCCACCGCTTTGGCATTAACATTCCTCCTAGAAAACACTGGTGGCAACCATCAACTGTGTCAGAGCATGAATAGGTTGAAGCGCACGTCTCCTTCATAAATGGAAAGTTAACAAGCCAAAGGAGTGATTTCGATGATGCAAACAGAATCGTAAGCCACATGAGGTCTGCGCTCCTTCAACGGGCGAACAGCAAAACGACACGAACCCTAGTCTCGTGAAGCCCTCTCGTCATGGCCAGCAGCTGGCCTGAAGAACAGATTGCTGCTCCCACAACGCGCAGGGACGGGATGCCCCCCCCACCACCACCTTTGTCTTCACCAACCCGCACTGACCAGTTCAGTTCAGTTCATTTATTTTGGTATAGCCCTGTGAGCCATTCGGCTCTTGAATCGGGAGCAACCACAACAAACAAAAAAACACGAACAAGAAAAACATCTTAAAGTCTCTATGTGACTGTGCAAACAGAAAATCCATGAAAAAAACAGCTAAATATTCCTGAAAAAAGCACCGTACACCAACGCTGTGTGCAAAAAATCCCAGTGGGATGCAAGTCAAACAACCACAACAACAGCCACAAGAAAACTTAGATTAAGGCCATCAGTCTAACTCCGTACTACAACAAAAGAAACATGTCCATACCAAAAAACGTTTTCGAAATCACCAAAAAATAAAGCCATAATTGCAACGTAACAGTGATCATAGGGACTGTGACCGAATTTTTACAATAAACTACATAAATAACATGTAACACCAAATCCTAGAGCCATAGTTGGCTGCATGAGTTACTCCACAACAACAAGCATCAGTCGGAGTATCAAATTTTTCAATGCACCTTTAAGATCAGCACGCTAAATCAAAATACAGATAATACCAGGCGTGGTTGCAGCTGGTTTGTTTACTTCTCATTGAGATCTCGCCCGGTTGAACAAAACCTCAATTTGAAAGCGTTCACTTGCCTAGCGTGGTGAAGTATGGTCAAATAACCCCCCCCCCCCACGACTCTCAAGGGCTGTGGGGAGGCCCTCGTCCAGCAGTGGCTGGACAACAGCGCTGCACGTGCACGAACCTCCACGACGCTTGTGCCAAGCTAGGTGCACACTGATGCCCTCACATGAGAAACGCGGATTCCCCCAGGGGACCTTCAAAACAGACTGTTGGGGCCAGGGCTGTTAGCGAGCACCTATTAATAATGCTTTTTTTTTAGAAATTAAAACAAAAGTAATTCTCATTAGGCCCCCATGGTGCAGTTTCCAGCTCTTATTATCCAATCTCTCTGGCATCTCTATTCATGTGCTATGAAGAAGTGCCGTTGTCCGAAACGTCGTCCATTACATGCTTTTTGTTGCCGATGGCACGTAGCGTTACCAAAAACGGAGAGTGGAGCGCAGTCCACCGTTGTACTGCACTTGTTTGCTCCCCGCCTTCACCAACCAGCACGGACAATCGGTGGCGAAGTACGGCGAAGCGGCACAGTCCCACTCACTCAGTGTGTCCGGGTTTCAGGCAAGAGCAGCAGCAGCAGTGGCCTGGACGCCGCTACCACCATGGACCCCGCCACGCTGCACTGGGGGGAGCGCGGCAGCAGTAAGGGGAAGTGGCCTAAGCGAGGAGGCGTGGCCTAAGCGAGGGGTGCGGCCTAAGTGAGGAGGCGTGGCATAAGTGAGGGGGGCGTGAAATTTTGATTTAAAGCTTTCGTGACTGCAGTAATTCATATTCTTAGCTCTTTCGGTAAAGTCACGTTGAAGGGAAACAATGGTCGAGACGTCGTGAGAATTTTTATTGTTTTATATATATTTTATTGTTTCCCTTCAACGTGACTTTACGGAAAGAGCTAAGAATATGAGGGGGGCGTGGTTTAAGCGAGGAAGGGTCGACACGCCACGCAGGCGTGGGGTGAAATGGTCCATCCATGCCCTTTGGCAGAGCCAAGTGGGAATTCCACATTCCCGTGGCAGGCAGGGGTCGTGACATCCATACTGTTGACTTCGCAAATGTGGCTACTCAGTTAATCGACAATCAATTGATAAAGGGGCATTCAATGAGTTTGTTTTTCTCTTACCAAATGTGTTCGTATTTTAGGAGGAATCTAAAACGTGAATTCTAGTCTTCAACGAAGTACCCTTTCCAGGGCGCAGAGGCTTGAGTTCCTCGTAGACCTTAGCAGCTCTCATCCTTGATTGGGTTACCCATACCAAACGAGTGTGTAATTGCGCTACTTTTATTTTGTATGCGGAGGGAGAGATACCCCAATGAGACATTTGGTCTGATGATTTATTTTATACATTTAGGAATACAGCAAACTTCATGTCTTTATTTAAAAGCCATGAATAAAAAAACTGTTGCAGCGTCCTTTGTTCACAAGCTGAAACAAAATAACACTGTATTCTTAGTTCTTTCGGTAAAGTCACGTTGAAGGGAAACAATAAAATAATAAAATATATATTAAACAATAAAAATTCTCACGACGTTTCGACCATAACACAAACGGTCGTCTTCAGGTGTGTCGGTTTGCATGAAAATAAATAAATTTATTTATTATAAATAAATTTAATTTATTATAAATAAATGTATGCAAACCTCGATTTAAAGCTTTCGTGACTGCAATGATTCATCTTCTTTGGTTCTTTCGGTAAAGTCACGTAGAATGAGAATAAAATAATAAATTGATAAAATAAAATAACACAATAATATTCTCAATTTATTATTTTATTCTCATTCTACGTGACTTTACCGAAAGAACCAAAGAAGATGTATGCAAACCAACACACCTGAAGACGACCGTTTGTGTTATGGTCGAAACATCGTGAGATTTTTTATTGTTTTATATATATTTTATTATTTTATTGTTTCCCTTCAACGTGACTTTACCGAAAGAACTAAGAATATGAATTACTGCAGTCACGAAAGCTTTAAATTAAAAAAAATAACACTGCTATGGGTCTAAGTATTTTATTCCGACATTAGCAGTGACTTGGTATAAATTAGTGGCGTGCAGTTTTTTTTGTTATTCAATTTCCAACGTAACAGACCGTGAAAATTACTATACACATTTCACATGATGCTTGAGTCTCGATAGGGCTGGGATGGGCGACCACCACACACAAAGGGGCTGTCATAAGGCTGCGGGTCTGTAGCGACTAGTGGAATAATGGACAGGAAAATCCATTGTACTGCACTTCTATGCTCCCACGGGTGCTCCCCGACGAGTACAAACTCGCACGCTCTCTGGCACGGTGAAGCGCGGTCTAATAACCCCCATGACCCGCACGACGTGGCGAGGCCCTCGACTAGCAGTGGATCGACAAATGTCTGCAGAAGCAGACTTGCACAAAATCATCACAGCATTTTGAGGCACTGCACACCAAAGCTGTCCCCGCTGTGTGGGGCCACAGTCGCGAGCAGGCCTTGCTTCTTGGCCGTGCTGCGTGACGATTCGAGCTCGTACATGGTGGACAGGTTGAAGAGCACGCTCTCGTGGAGGTAGCGCTGAGGCTCCTTCTGAATGAGCTCCTCCAGCTGTCGCAGCGACTCCTTCAGCTTCCCCATGTAGAGCAGGCATACGGCCGCGTTGTTGTTGGCCTGGCACACAGATGGAAAGAACGATGATGCACAATCATGGCGGTGACAGGACCTGGCAATAGCGCGTTCACTGCTTGTTGCAGAAGTAAAAATATTTATCTGTTGGACTGCCTTGGTTATAACTGCGGCTGTATTAACCATAAAATAGGCAAAGTATGCTTTACAGCCAATATCAAAATCCACTGATGTCATTCTAAATAATTTAACTTCAATATTTCTCAATTAAGATTACACATCGCTACAACGCCCCCTAAAGTAACACTCCTGCATACTATGTGTCAGGCTATGTCTAGCCTTGCGCTATAATGGTGCACATATCACATTTACTAAATTATTATTAGTTACACTGAAACAGAAAGCATGAGTAGTTTCAACCATTCTGCACAAATCTTTGAATTGATGGGAAGTTGATCAGCTACGTTTATGTCTTCAGGTTGAGGTTCATATCCAGTCATGAAAGGACATGCTGCTTAAAAGTTTTAAAAAATGAATTAATTATAGACATATTCATTGTAAACTTTCATCTATCCACTGCTAGATGAAGTCCTCCCCACATCATCGCAATCCCTTACAGGCAACTTGCTCCTGCACGTGAGCTGATCCTACCGTCCCACCTCCGTGATGACCGTTATCTCGGGCGTGTTCCCTCCTTTGGCTGCAATGCCAACATCAGTCTCGACCAACAGCTTTCATCCTTTCTGGCAATGTGTCCTGCACAAGCCCACTTAATTTTCTTCAAAATAAATATGTTGCTTCCAATTTGCATTTATTCCCTGATCCACATTATTCTCCGATCCTGTGATTAAATCATATTCTCAAATACAGTGAGTTTTGTGGTCTCAATTACTCATTACTGCACAGAAACCCCGTTACATTACATTTGGTTCTGCACTTAATTTGTCTAAATTCCAGCTCTGAGAGTAAAAAAACACCGGTTTTACTGCCACGTGGCAAATATTACTCTTTGTAGCTGGGCGGGTGGGAAGGTGATACGCCCTACTGTGTGGACTTGGTCACTTCATATCTGCGATATTCAATTTCCATTGGCCATTCTCTAACATGAATGGTTCCACTGCTCTGTGAGAGATCCGAACGGACAGCTGGTCTCGGGACATGATTCCAATAGTACAATTTGGTGGCTTTGCACCGTAACATTAATGTGGAGAAGGCAAGAATACTTCAAGGTAAATAAAAGTTACCCTAACAATAATGCCAAGGGGTAAGGAAGCTCACCACCGCATTCGTGGGATCCAACTTGGAGACCTCCTGGAAGCAGCGGTAAGCATCTGGGAAATTATTTTCTGCCAGGAGTGCGAATGCTCTGTGGAAAAAAAAAATCACAAAAATATTAAAACCAGCCATGTCTGTGATTATTCCAGCAAACATAACATTTTATTTCACGAGCGGGTGTAGTGTACTTATCGCGTTAAACGTTCATATGCATGTGACAATTTGTTTGGCTGTGTTGGGTGGTGGAGGGTTCTAAATTACACAAGTTTGGTCAGATGATTAGGTGGCCCAACCTATAAATCAATGGTGAATCTTAATGTTTTATTATGAAGCTTACTTAGCGATCCATTTCATGCAATAGTCTTACCATTACATTGTTAATAATTGCAAAGAGAAATGTATTATTGCTAAAAATTATAGAACTAATTTGAGCAAACCTCAATAAGTGAGATGAAGGTGGGTGGGAGCGTGTGTGGGTTGGATGGTGGTAGGTGGTTCATCCATGGGAGTCACCCATAGGGGCAAGTGTTGAATATAATTACAATGTGTCCTCTAAACACTAGGCTAATCCAGGGTGCGGTTCCAAAAACATCATTACAGTCATACCTCGGTATACGACCGCTTTGGAATACGTCGAATTTGGTATATGTCGTGTTTTGACGAGAAAAAAATGTCTTGGGATACGACGTCTTGCTTGGGATACGCTGCGCTTGCTAGAACTTGTATGGGTAGGGATGAGTCACCGCGTACCCGTGTAGACCCGGTTCACGACTGAAACAAAGCGCCGCTCCTCAGTCTGCCTGTACAGTAGATCTCGTTCAGTGCACAACCGTTGCCATAACTCTCTGTGAATTTCAGCTTCCTGAAGTTTTCATGGAAGGGGACTCTCCTTCCAAAAAATAACATCTCCTCCTCCTCCCCTTCCTCACCACCATCCTCATAGGCTATCGACTCCTCTCAGCAAGGTAAAGTGTATTCTTAGTTCTTTCGGTAAAGTGAACGTGACTTTACCGAAAGAACTAAGAATATGGATTACTGCAGTCACGAAAGCTTTAAATCAAAATTCAAGGTAAAGTGATGTAAAAAAATTATGCATTTATTTTAATGTATGTATGTATGCATTTTAGTAATAATAAGTAGTGTCTAAATTATTTTATGCAACCCCATTAATGTATAATATGCCATATAAAATATAATTTCTTATACTTATACTTATATTCTTATACTTATGGGAAAAATTCGTTTGGTATTCGTCACTTTCGGAATAAGTCCTCCTACCTTCTGGAACTAATTAACGACGTATTCCGAGGTGCCACTGTATTTACAAGACCACATTTAGAGTGTAATGTTACTCACATAAAAGGTAAAAAAAACCAGTGAATCCATCACAAATCACAAGGGAATTTGGGAATGTGCACTCCAGCGCTGCATCAGTTACTGCGCCGTGCAGTACTACACCGGGACTGCTGTGGCAAATGCCACATACACACCGCGTGGAGACGCAGCAAACCGCGAGGCAGCGTTACTCTGAACACTGTTAAAAAAAAAATTAGCATTGGAAGTGCAATTTACATTTTCCAAATGTTTTCATTTTGAGGGAGTTTCTCAAAAAATAATCTCATACGAGGGACGCAGTTTATTGTCTACATTGTGTGCACTGTCATGCCCTCTGTGAACGGTGCCCAATTCTGTGGGAGGGACTTATGGAACAGGTTTCAATGGTTTGACAAGTGCTGAAATAAAAAAAAGTGCAGAAAAATGTACAAAAGTCATCTCCAATATTCCAACACGCCTGGAAGATAAAGTTTGCTCAAGTGGGGGCCCTTCCACTAGCAGTGGCGTGAGAGAGCAATTATAGGGCCGCACCTTTTTCCTTTTACAAAAGTAACACACCTGTTCATAAGCACCATGGTCTTATGCTGCACGCCTTCCTTATTCTCGCAAATGGACTCCACTCTCTGAAAGTACTTTTGTGCCGCCGCGAGATCTCCCACCTGAAAGAGCAAACGCCAGGTTTGCGTCAATTACGTGAGTTAAGGGAAAGGGCAAAAGCCCCTGGACCAGTTGATATAACTGTGGACATCGTCAAAGAAGCAGGACCAACTGCTTGAATAAAATAAGCAGACCAGGTAAAAACACTGTAAATCTGCAATGCGATAAAAATATATATTTATAGTTTTTTTTTAATTTCAGAGTGAACTTGACTTTTAAGGGAATTAATTTAGCATAACCCAAAGGCTGCATCACGATCATTAAAGCAGGGATTAAGGTGATGTGTGAAAAGTTATGCGGAGTTGAATGTTTATTTGCTTTGTTGGTCATTGTGTTTGAATTATTGTACATACTGTTGAATACAACAAAGCAATTAAACACTGCACAGAATTGATGGCAAATACCTTAATCCATACCTAAAAGACTTAAGTTGTTGTAAGCGCAACAGTTAAACACTTAACATTTAAATTTACCGTGCAGTACAGAGATAATATCGATTTTATCTAATTGGCAAAAATTTACAAGAATGTCAATTTCATGAAGACTTCATTACCTGCAGCAGGATCTTTCCAATGTTATTGAGGAGCTGAAGCTCCTGCTCTGGCTGGATGGGGATGATGGCTTCATACGTGTTCACAGCCAAGCAGTAATCCTAAACGCATGTTCAGGTTACAAGGCTATTTTGCTTAACCACGTGTGAACTCAAGGGACTAGGATTAGAGTCTAATTCGCAAGAGCGAGTGACCTGAGTCACCAAAATGACAAAAGCAAAAACAAATAAAATATAGCAACAGCATTGAAGCAAATAGTAATGGGAGCAGAAACGGGTAAACATTTTTTCACAAATGCTAAATGAAACACCTGTAACAAGTCGGCCTTGGCAGATTATTTTGAGACTGATCATAGTACAATTACAATTAAGTTATACAAACATTAAATATGTATGTTGAACTTCTCTCGCACCATACGTAGCCAACCGTGCTCATATAGGGTAACTATTGCACTAATGTGTAAAAGATGACAAGGATAAAAGAGTTAAATGCATTAACACACACAGTAGGGATTCACCAGGCATCGCAGAAGAGCAGTCTCTCGCCACTGCAAAACTGGGCCGATCCTGTGCAGATTGAAGCCTGATTGGTCAGGATAGCGACTGTGTTGAGATGTCATAATGGTCTTGGATATATTTTATTTAATATTATTTGTTAACATATTTCACCTGGAAATCCATTTGAGAAGGAATCTCTCATTTGCAAGAGTGTCCAGGATGCCATTTCAAACAGACATAGCGATGCATTGCTTGAATGATACATTTCCTCTTCCCCCATCCCCCACCCCTAATTTGGGGTGGGTCGCATTTGTGCTCTGCCTATTGTGGGGCGGGAGACCATTCCAGGTGGCACAAAAATTACAATTCACCCAGGCAGTTTGCCACCGACAGCACTTTCCTAAAAGTCGAGTGCTGCTGGTGGCTACGCTGCACACGGTCTGTAATGCAGCGCTGTGCAGGCAGCGAGGGTCGGTGGATCAACACGATTTTGTAAAACTCCCTACCCGTGGGCCATCTCCTGGCTTGCCAGGGTACGATGGCAGTAGAGAAAGTGGATTAACTTCTATCCATGCAGGGGGATTGAGTGTTGCACCCCTCGCATGCATGGGTTATCTGCTGGCACCCCGGTTTCCTCCCAGAGTAATAAATGCTCATCAATAGAGTTGGTAAAATATGCCAACATAGTACCACGGAGCTTGGGAAATTGTTGTCGTCAGCTCTGGCTGCCTTCCCACTTGTCTGTGGTTTCTGGCACCTCCGTGCGCGTTATAAGCTCACCAGCGTTTGAGGTGTAATTTGCATGAAAGTGGTGATACAGAACTAACACACTGTTACCAGTACAACGCCATGGTGGCAAAGCTCACCTTCATGAGCAGCAGGCAGTTAGCGGTGGAGTAGTGCACGCGAGCCACGCGCGACCGCCACAGCTGCACGGAGGCTAAACAAATGGCAAACAGAACATTGCTCACACCGAGAAGATTTCAATTTTCTTTTACTCAGTCAGTGGTTTCCTGCTCAAATGAGCATGGGGGCAGTGTCCACCTCCCGTTTATTGAGCGAAGCCAGGGGTGGAAATTCCACATTGCTATGGCAAAGGAGAGTCTCTGTATAGGGCAACCACTGTTGACTTCCCCACAGAGTGGTGCCCACTTTATCGACTCCAGAAGGATGATGGGCTGAATGAACCCCCCCCCTCACTCACACTCAATAATGATGAGAAGAACAACTCATAGTCACAACAATGGCACCGTCACTATGGAGTGTGGTCTTGTAACTTCTTGGCACCCATACTCTTTGGTTCTTTCAGTAAAGTGACGTAGGTATAAAATAAAATAAATCACGACGTTTCGGGCGCAACACAAGCATCCATCATCAGTTGGGAAAGCAGCAGCAGCAGACCACACTTTCCCACCTGATGATGGACGCTTGTGTTGCGCCCGAAACGTCGTGATTTATTTTATACTTACGTCACTTTAGCGAAAGAACCAAAGAGTATGGATTCCTACAGTCATGAAAGCTTCAAATTCTTGACACCTGTATTATGCCAAAAAAGGGTAAAGCCTATTTTTATCATCTTAAAACTGTCAAAAAGGGTATCACAGATATAACTGCTTAACCCGAGCTGTTATTGCTTTGCCGTGTGCATCGTCCTTGTGCTGTTTGCCTTTTGGTGGCCTTTAGTCCAGCCCTGGTAATACAAGGCCATATGTGAGGCTGTCTCGGGCGTAGGCTTCAAGGAAAGTTTTACCAAAAGTACGTGTGCTATATGCAGACATGGTGCCTTGTGATAGGTATCTATTTGGTATTTTAACATCTTGACACCTGTATCATGCTGAAAAGGATACATACTTTTTTAGATTCTTGTTTGATTCCAGCCGACATACGCAAAATCAACATTTTAAAGAATGTGTTGTTTTTCTGAAGATTACAGCAGAACAATACAGGCGGTACGAGTCCACGGGAAGCCTCACAGCAACAAGACGTTGTCTAACGAGGTGAACGCCTATATTTGAGTAAAAACAAATGAATATGTTAATTTACACGTACATGATTGTCAGTCCATTGCTGAATGAGGGCCGTGGGGGTTATGAGACCATACTTCACCACGCTGGTCAGTGCTGGCTAGTGAAGGCTGGGAACAATGTCATGGGGCACAAGCACAGCACGATTATTGTGTTTTTGCCGCACTACCCTCTGCTGTTCACCACGCAGCCTGTCGGTAGCCTATAACATACGGTGCAAAAGAAGTTAAACATACGTACAGACATACGTAACACCTGGCATGCATAAGGGCTACCCATCCAGCACTTAAAAGCAGGAATGCTGCTTAGCTTCTGAGATCTCATGAGATTGGGGCATATTCAGGATGATGCTGTAGTAGGCAAGACATAAACACACACACGGTCCATATGAAGTGTACTGCCGAAAAACTATAAACTAAACTATTTTTATCATACCAACTAAGGCCCACTTGAGCTATATAGCTCTTTTTCTGAAACGGCCCGGCCACAAATGATAGCTCAACAAAGTGGCTTATCAAATGGAAATGTACAGCGGCCAAATACCCTAAATGTATTTTTCTAAATGTGGAGGGAAAAACTGGAGGATCCAGAGAAAAATCCACAAGACCACAGGGAGAACATGCAAACTCCAAATATACAGGCGTCAATATCAGGATGAAACTCACGACCTCCTGTATACCAGGCGAGGTAGTTAATATCTCGCCACTGTGGCGAGCCATCCCATTGGAGAAGTCACTGGTGATGCAAGGGGTGATTGGTGGCTACCTTGCCGATTTTCTGTGGAGAGGTTGATCATGCTCCCGTCCTCTGCGAGTCCATTCTCTAGGTTGCTTAGAATCTAAATGAGAAATTATAGAACGTACACATAAACACGCATTACAACTGTAATACCGTAAATCTAGACAGACGCTCTCCGGTTTATGGTCTGATTTATGAAGATCCACATTTACGACACAGATACTTGATTTACGACACATTTTACGACTTGACTCTGAATACATTTCAACAGTTAGTGTGGTTTCCGATGTGACTTGGTGTGCAGTTATTAAACCCTGTTAAATTACTAATAAAACACAAGTGAAGTTTAGACTGTTTCTGTTTATGGAAAAGAAGGTCTGATTCACGACAATATGATTGATGATAATCTGATTCATGACAATAGGATTCATGACAATAGGATTCATGACAGGGTTTCCAGGAATGCATTGTGTCATAAAAGTGGGGACCACCTGTACAGTTATCCCTCATTATACGGCAACTCAATATATGGAATTTCGCTAGAACGTTAACTTACACGTTTTGGAACAAATTCGACAAGCGTTAAGTTGAATTCGCATTTAGGGAATTTTGAATTTCGAAATGAAAAAAAAAATTCGGGGGGGGGGGGAGGAATCAAACAATGTTCGATCTGCCGTTTGTCCAAGCAAATTTCAAGATATTGTCCCATGCAGTTTGCGTGGCACGCTTTTCAAGCTACTGGTTTCCCGCGCTCTCTGTGTTGCCACCCAAGCTCAGCTCGTTTTGGTTCGGTCCTTTGTGTTTATCTTATATAGCACCTTTACGCAAGGCGCTTTACAAGGGTTACGAGTGCTACAATGAGGGTAGCTAAAAGTGATATGGTGAATAGGGATGTGGTATGGGAGGGAGGTTAGTGGGTACTGTACTGCGCAGGATTAGACCCTTGTTCAACGTTCTTCAACGTTCATAAAGTAAGTCGAGATATCTGGAAACAGGACATGAAGTGCAAGTGTAAAAATAAACTATAAAGCAATTAGCTTGAATGTAAGTACTGTACAGTATTTATATTTCATGACCTATTTTGAGTATTATCACAATTTTATCATTACATTATTAACTTTTAATTAAATATGTACTTAATAGAAGTTTGCTGCATTCTTAAGTGTGATTTTATTAAGTCTAGGGACCAAATGTTTTCCATAGGAACAAGCCTCCAATAGTCCCTCGGTTAACGTTTTTAATCCGTTCCATGAAAACTATTAACTCAAATAACTGTTAATCTAATATAGGAATGGCATGTTAAAAGCATTCGATTTTTCGAACACGCCCTTATTTGCCTTAAAGTCTTCAAACAATGAATCAAAGGATAGTGGTGCTTTATGTTTTAGGTGTTCAAACATAGCTCTCGGCCTTTTACAAATGGTTAAGCTATCTACAAACTCACCACGCATTGCCTTCTCCCAAATCCATATCTTTAGCAGTCTTTCCATTTATACAATAATTTCCAAACCTTTGAATATCCTGGTCGAGGAATCCTTCACATTGGTAGCTTTAATTGTCTTTATTTATGAAAATTATTCAAATGGTGGATTAGGTCACGGCAAACTCACTCATAAGTGCACTGGTTTTTACCCCTTTGTCATGCTTATCAATAATTTCATGCTTTGTTTTCATGCTAATTACTTTCCAACCCCTCTTTTCCTTTTGCTAATTCACTTTAGGGGCCATTGCAACAACTATTAATTCACTTATAAGTTGAAAATAAGTACAAATCACTGAGTTTGCAAGAGAGCTGTTTCCACTGCCAAAATAGAAAACATCATGTAAATAAAGTCACTCGAGGTCTAAATGCTCATAAATGGCTGTTGCTGATTGCCTGAGGCATGCTCAGCCCACTTACGAGTGCTTGGATTGGCCGAAATTGGAGCCTGCGTGCATAACGTAAACATACCATTAGTTCAAACTTTAACTATAGGAGGCAAAACGTCAACCGAAAAACTGTTAACCGTCGTCACTGTTAACCGAGGAACTTTTTCAGAAGCGACCTGGCCAAAAATAATAGCTCAAAGAAGTGGCTTATTACGTGTAAATGTAAAGCAAACACTCAGAAACGCATGTTTATAAATGTAGAGGGAAAAGCCGGAGGACCCGGAGAAAAATCCACGCGACCACGGAGAGAACATGAAAACTCCAAATGTACAGCAGGCGTCAGGGGTCGGGAACGAATCCACGACATCCTGCATACCAGGCGAGGGAGATAACATCTCGCCACCTCTTGCGAATGTCACGGGATCTCAAGCGTTCCACTGTAAAGCAGACGGGCGCGTATTTTTTTATTTGTCACGGGTCAATACACCCGGCAGGATTAACCGGAGCGGCCTGCGGGAATCGAACCGAGGAACCTCTGCAAAGAGCGGTGCGGAACGCGCGTTAGTTGTGGGGGGGGGGGGGGGGGGGCCACGTCAGAGCCCCCCATGCGTAAAAGACATCGCAAAGAAGCGGGGGGGGGGGGGGGTCGTTGGAACGCGGCGAGGTAGCGTTTTATAACCCGAGTGTGGCACGGCGCTCTCCACTGCTGGATAGATGCTGGTGTAATAATCCCGTAGCGCCACTGTTGCATGCGGCGTACCACACTGCGATTTTAATAAACATAACAGACAGGAAGGGTCAAGCTTAAAGGGCTCGCATAATGCACATGCGTAATGTACGTTGACTCAGTAATCCCCCCACTTTGCACAAGAGCGCAGAAGCGTGGTCACCACATCTACGCCTCTATATAAGGAACGAAACAGTTAAGACTTCTCCACAAATCTTGCTGTCGCCTGATGAAGCTAATTGTAATTACTGGCGAAATGTCGTACTCAGATTGTAAATGTTGTGGCTTGCCGTACTAGTGACGAATTGGCATGTTCTGTTTACGTGACAACCCTTACTAGTTGGCTGTGTCGGGTGGTGGCGGGTTTTAACGACACAACATTTATATATTTACGTGATCTAACCCAAAAAGCCTCTATTACAGAGTAATGTTTGTTGGAAGAGAGTAAAGCTTATTTTCTTAACCAAACTGAAAGTGATGTTTTGTTTGTGCAGTCTTTGGTGAACGGGCTGAAACCATCAACCCACTAAATGTGTGACCCCGGTTTAATCAAAGGTAGTGGTTTAAACCCAGGTTCGAACCCACGGCCTCAGCAGTGCCAGTGCTCTGAGCCACCCAGCGACCCCTCAAGCCACAACAGAGATAATGTGTGATTTCATTTGTATTGAACCTTGGGTAATAACTTGCCTTTGCACAAATGACTCCAACCTGATGCAGACGATCCAGGGTTTCCTGGGGCCGACCGAGATACTGAGGCAGCTCGGCATGAAGGATCCTCAAGGAGAACGGTACCATGGACCCTGCGCGAGGAGGGAGGTTACAGCAACCCACCGCTCCCTAGGGTCCCATACGATACAATACGATCACACGTAATAATAAGTGGCAAGTAATTGGCACTCGGACGTGCTACCGACGCGCACAAGCACACGCACCTCTGCGTGCTGGGTACACATGGGGGTAGTACTCGTAGTACAGGTCAGGGTGGTCCAAGTTGCCGAACGGCTCAAGCTCCGCGTCACAGCCGCCGAAGAGCCGCAGTTTCACCAGGAGGGCGAGACGCACGAACCAGAGCTGTCAACGCACACAGACACCAATTTGCCAATCAATGTAGATACTGATGCGGCAGCTCCGATTGCGAAGTGCAAGAACAATGTCTTTCTTAGTTTCTGATTAAGTTTTCCACACGTTAAAATTCTGATGCAAATTTGGCCAAATTCTCAGTTATTTATAGTTATTATAATTCTTGTTTACCCAGGAAAGCCTCAGATTAATGGATAGATACTTTGCCTTGTTTCTGATACATCACTTGTTACATGCCTATGATATAATATAGCAACAGATACAGCATTAAACACTGTAAAGAGGCTGCACTTTGGTCTTGGTGGTGACAACCGGGGTTTTTTTTCGAAGACAGATTTGCCAAGGCCCCCACAGCTTAATTATCCCTTAATTTTGATGTCGGGTGATGCAGGTGGTAGTGCAGGTGGTGGTGCAGGTGATGAAGAGTGAAGGTAATGAGTGGTGAGGTGGTGCAGGTAATGAGCAGTGCAGGTTATAAGGGGGGCAGATGATGGGCAGTGCAGGTGATGAGTGGTACAGGTGATGAGTGGTGCAGGTGAAGGTTCGTGCAGGTGAAGGGTGATGCAGGTGAAGGGTGATGCAGGTGATGGGTGGTGCAGGTGAAGGTTCGTGCAGGTGAGGGGTGATGCAGGTGAGGGGTGGTGCAGGTGATGGGTGGTGCAGGTGATGAGTGGTGCAGGTGAAGGGTGGTGCAGATGAAGGTTCATGCAGGTTGGCGGTGATGCAGGTGTTGGGTGGGGCAGGTGAAGGTTCGTGCAAGTGAGGGGTGGTGCAGGTGATGGGTGGTGCAGGTGAAGGTTCGTGCAAGTGAGGGGTGGTGCAGGTGATGGGTGGTGCAGGTGATGGGTGATGCAGGTGTTGGGTGGTGCAGGTGATGAGTGGTGCAGGTGAAGGGTGGGGCAGGTCCCACCTGGATGGAGTCGGTGGTATGGCTGCTCGGCTGGCCACACTTGCCGTGGCCCTGCCCATGGGCGGTGAGCAGCCTGCCCGTGAGCTCCACCGCCGCACGCCAGTTCCACGAATTCTGAGAATCATTGACGTGTATTTCTCATCAAGCCCAATCCTTACATTCCCTAAAGCGTCTTCACAACAACAAAACTTAGGTTTCGCATCGTTTGGAAGTTTACCAACAATGCTAAGAGCACCGTGCGTTAAGCTAAGGTGCATTGACACTTAGGCGTATGTCCAGAAACGAGGATGGTAATGAAGCAAATGCAAAAGAAAACGAAAAGGGAGTCAAGAATCATGGAGAGATGCATGCTGGAATTACACTCAAAGAAAGGAAGACAAAGATATAAATCAGAGAAACAATGCAAATTAGAGAAGTCACATTGACTTAATAACCCGAAGTGGGCATGGGTAGGACACACTGCAGGGGATTGATCATGGCTATTGATGATGGTATAATTTAACAATCAAAACAAGATATTGCACGTACGGAATGACAAGTAACAACTGCACAAGAGAGACAAACCATTGATAATAAAAATGGCTAAGAACTTAAGTCATACATAACGTACTTCTTACATGAGCCGAATATGGCTTCTTACTTACAATCAGCTGCTTGAGTCCAGCCAAAGACGGCTCCACAGAGTCCACCGTGAGCACTTTCCTCTTGGCTGCCTCCTGCTCCCCCACGCACTTGTGGAGCAGGTCTTTCACAGGGTCCTCCTGGAATGGCCATGTACGTGAGAGCAGGGCCATAGTCATTTAAGATCGTGGAACCTCCTAAAGAAAAGAAAGCTGTCTCTGGTGTGGATTAATCAGTTTCAAAGGCAATGCATATATTATCAGAGTATGTTTTTTTGTTTGCATTCTGACCACAAGTATTGTGGTTAATGCAGACATGAGCCCTTGTAAAAGGTTTCAGTTTGGTTTTTTAACATCTCAACAACTGTTTTGTTGCCAGAAAAAAGGGGAAAACCTATTCTCAGTCATTTAAGATGTTTAAAATAATTTAACACATATGATATGAGCATTATTAAAATAGCGCGAGGCTATCACGAAGGCGGCATGTTTCACAGACGATTTTAGTTTGCCAATAGGGGCAATGTCACAATGTGGTTTTCCCAATTAAGTCATTTGCGAGTGTTTTTTTGAATGTCAAATTTGGAGTGCGACGCAAGCACACACCGCCCACTCTTTGAAAGAATAGCATCACAAAACTGTTAACATCCACTAGGGATAACACAGCATGCACGCATGGTTAATAACCCGCAGTATTAACCAGGGCAGCTGCCCTGCTCAAATAGTAAACATCGGTAACAAGCGGTAGACTGGGCCACCGCCCAGCTACATCACTATATAAAAAACTTACTTAAGGTACAGGAAGACGGAGTCATTGAAAAATAGACTTTCTTGCACATATTTTAAATTATTTGCAATGGTTTTATAGTTGGTCCCAAATATAAGTTATTTCTTTTTACATTTTTCCCATTTTTATCACAATTATACAAGCAGCGTCCCATCATGAGATGTCTAATCCATTCGGATCTCTTGCAGAGCAGTGTAACCCTCAGTGTTAGAGAATCGCCCATAGAAGTGGATATCACAGAGCTACCTGAGATCCCATCCAGTGACCTGTTTAATGGGTGGTATTGTTACACCCACTCTGCTACAAAGAGTAATTTTCATAGCATGAATCAAAGCAATGTTTATAATTCTCAGAGTTGGAATTTAGCCAAAACCCAGAACCAAATTTAATGTAATTTTTTTTGTGTGCAGTCATTGGCAACCGAGCTATGGCCATCAACCCACTACATTTGAGATCCTGATTTAATCACAGGCAGTTGAATTCGGGATTGGAACCCAGGACCTCACCAGAGCCAGCTCAACACTCTGACCACTGAGCCACCCCAGCCCTTGACAGAGTGGGCTTGCCCAGCGTGTTATCACTCTGACCTGTGGCGCGTCTGCTTTGAGTCCCGGCATGGTGAGGCGCTCTCGTTCAACAAACATGTTCCCGTACTGTTGGGTGGCCACTGCAATCAGTGTGCGGCGCGTCTCCTCCGAGGGAAGCCATGCGTCGTGCCTCCGGTCCGACTCGCTCACGCTCAGGGCCGACACAAACGCGTCCTCTCCTGCAGCGAACACCGAGAACGGCTGAGGAGACTCCAAGCCACCTGCTGCTTGTGAAGGGGGTGCTTCGGTTGATGTGTGACTTGAAACTTCGCTTTCTTGAGAAATGCACATGAAACAGACACATATAAATGTGCAAATTAGAAAAACTCAACTCATTCGTAAAAAACACTGTGGCCTTACAAGGAAAAAAAATCAGATAGGCGACACTTGGGAGCAATGGTCCATTATCATAGCATAGGGCCATTCTACACACAGTGTGTGGGGATGTCACATGACATGCACGGCATGATGGGGTGATTGAACTTACATTTGCCATCTAGAAATAAGCTTTTGCAAGTTTCATTGACAAAAAAAACCTGCCATCGCAAATACACGTACCAGCAAACGGCTTCTGGCTCTCAGACGGAGACAAAGAGAGGGACGTCAAGCCCGAAGGTGGTGCCTGAGAATCAACGTTCGGGTTGTTCGAAGTGATGACCGACGCAGACGTAAAGGAATCGAAAAACTCTGCCCCGGTAGTAGAGGGTTCCTCTGCAAAGAATTTGCTGAGACTCGGACTCGGATGAATGACATCTGCACCAGCTGCTTTAGGATTGCTCGGCTCGACACAGGCCGTGAAGCTGGCCGACTTAACCATCTGGCTCTGGAAACCGTCCTCCTTCACGGCTTGCTGCTCTCGTGCGTGCACCTTGGTTGCCGGCGCCTTGCTGAATATGGTGCACACAGGCAGAGAGTCCTCCTCCTCGGGGCTCAACTGGTCCAGCGCTGCCACTGTAGCGGCGCTTTGCGACGATTGCGCAATGTCCGCTTCTCCGATTTCGACGTCGTTGTTCGTGCCCTCGATAGAGTCGATCGGGGTGCGTGGTGGCGACGTCCCTGTTGCCGCGTGCATCTCGGAGGCGACGCATGCCAGCTCGACCACCGTGTCCCTTTTGGGGTCCGGTTGGAAGCCCACTCGAAGCTCCGTCTCTGCGCCGTTTTCTAGTTTGTCGCTAGTCTGCAAAGTGGCACTCTCGGCTGTGCCGTCATCCTCACTGTTACTGGGGGAGTCGGAGATGAGAACACTCTCCATCATCGTGTCACCGAGGAGAGCGCTCATCTCAGCCACGTCCTCATCTACACACAAAAAGAACACGAGCATTAGCAGAATTAGACAATTTCATCAATTCGGATTTAAATTGTCAATATATTTGTCCGAGCGTTTAAAAGTGTGTACTTACAGTGTGTCGTGATGTTTCTAAATTTCAACGCAGTGCAAGCTAGCTTTGTTACAGGTGCTCTATGAAGTTGCACACATTTTGATTTGTCATAAAGCTGATATTTAGTTTTCTTGGTCTTTTTCCCCAATATTAACAAAATTTTACTAGCTTTGCATGACATGTAATAAATAAACCATTTGGATCTCTCGCAGAGCGATGCAACCTTTCATATTACAGAACAGACCACACAATGGGAAATTTCGGAACTATTTTTGAGACCGCTTCAAGTGATTTCTAATACACACAATAGGGGACAGAATTTCCCTGCGGCCTTACCCCAGAAATAAATGTTCATCACATTCCAGTCAGAGCGGGAATATAGACAAATTAAATAGAAATAAAACAAATTTTAGTTTTTTATTTCTGCAGTGATTCGTGACTAGGCTGAAATCATTGCACTGCACTTGAAAACCAGGGTCATCACAGGCGGCTGCCTGGGTTCTAACCCAATATATCAGAAGTGTCAACTCGGCACTCTGACCTCTGAGCAAACCGGTCGCCTTCCTCAATAGTCAAAATGCAAAGCTTTGTCAGCAAGGTGTGCAATTTACAATCTACCTCCTCCTCTAAACTCTTTGGTTCTTTCGGTAAAGTCATCACGTAGGTATAAACTAAAATAAATCACCACGACGTTTCGATCGCAACACAAGTGGTCGTCCTCAGGCGGAAAAAATATAATCCAGCAGTGGAACTGCTGAACTAGCGAGAGAGCAGCTACAACAACAAGAGGTTATATATGTGGTGATGGGCAAGCAAGCGGGGTCTGAGCTGGAAAGGAATTCCATCGCCACATATATAACATCTTGTTGTAGCTGCTCTCTCGCTCATTCAGCAGTTCCACTGTTGGATTCTATTTTTTCCCACCTGAGGACGACCGCTTGTGTTGCGATCGAAACGTCGTGGTGATTTATTTTAGTTTATACCTACGTGATGACTTTACCGAAAGAACCAAAGAGTATGGATTCCTGCAGTCACGAAAGCTTTAAATCAACACCTCCTCTAACATCCACCTGTATCGGCCATAGGTTCAGGGTCTTTTTGCTTAAAATGCTACATACCATCATTCTCCTCTGGCCCCAGGTCAATGGTGTCTGTTGCTGGAGGAAGACTTTCCCCATCCTGCTCAGACTCCTCTTTTCCTGTATCTTGATTTGAAGCCATCATCGCATCTTCCTTTTTATGCTCAAGGTCGTCCATGGTGTGCTTCTACCTAGATTGTGAAGGTGACCTGTTTGAAGACAGAACCACAAAGCATCGTTATAAACCCTGTGGCATACGCTCACTGCCGAAACTGGAATAAGCACGTGCGAGCCCGGATCATGCTCGGATGAGTGTCCACCATGCACAAAGCATTTGTCAGAGGGCTGCAGGGTCAGGTGGTGGTTATTTGGGAGGCAGCAGAGGGCAGTGCAGAAATATCCAATATTCACCTTTAGATGTCAAGCAGGGCTAGAACTTCCAGCCTCTAGGACTGTGGCTCAATTGCATCTGAAATGAGCATGGTGCGGGCCCCGACGAAGCGGTGTTATTTTTTGTATTGTTAGATATTATTTCTATTTATGAAGACGATATGGTAAACCGCTGTAGTGGTTTACGCTCCTTCAACTTAGGAATTGCAAAACACGAACTCGCTCTCCTGAAGTACTCCTGTGGCTGGGCAGACCTGGATTAGACTTTACAGCTGCTGAACATATTGGCATGTGTAAGAATAAAATTCATTATTTTAATATTACGCTTGTTTACCCAGGAAGCCTCATTCAGTCTCGTGACTTTTTTAAGAGGGTCTTGTAAAGTTTTCGCAGTCTGGAGGCGATGCTTGCGACGTATATTCCAACAGATTTAATTTGCGGTGTCATTATTACATTTTGGCAAAATTTGGGCCATTATGTCGACACACAATGGCCTCCTCTTAGAACTATTTTTTTTATTTTATGTTAAGGCCCACTGAGCTATATAGAAGCGACCTGGCCACAAATAATAGCTCAAATAAGTGGCTTATTACGTGGAAATGTAAAGCAACCACTCAGAAACGCATGTTTATAAATGTTTGGAGGGAAAAACCAGAGGACCCGGAGAAAAATCCACGCGACCACGGGGAGAACACGAAAACTCGAAATATACAGCAGCAGGCATCAGGGGTCGGGAACGAATCCACGACCTCCTGCATAGCGGGCGAGGGAGTTAACATCTCCAGCCACCGCTTGCGAATGTCACGAAATCTCGAGCGTTCCACTGTAAAGCAGGCGGGCGCGTCGTTTATTTTTATTTTGTCACGGGTCAATACACCCGGCAGGATTAACCGGAGTGGCCTGCGGGTATCGAACCGAGGAACCTCTGCAAAGAGCGGCGCGGAACGCGCGTTAGTTGTGGGGGGGGGGGGGCCACGTCAGAGCCCCCCATGCGTGAAAGACATCGCAACGAAGCGCGGGGGGGGGGGGGGGGTCGTTGTGTAACCCGAGTGCGGCACGGCGCTCTCCACTGCTGGATAGGTGCCGGTGTAGTAATCCCGTGGCGCCACTGTTGCGTGCGGCGTAGCACGCTGCGACGACGACGTCTGTGAACTGTGGTAAACTATTGTGATGTTGTGAACTGTGGTAAACTATTGTGATGTTGTGAACTGTGGTAAACTATTGTGATGTTGCAAACTGTGGTAAACTATTGTGATGTTGCGAACTGTGGTAAACTATTGTGATGTTGTGAATTGTGGTAAACTATTGTGATGTTGTTAACTGTGGTAAACAATTGTGATGTTGTGAACTGTGGTAAACTATTGTGATGTTGTGAATTGTGGTAAACTATTGTGATGTTGTGAACTGTGGTAAACTATTGTGATGTTGTGAATTGTGGTAAACAATTGTGATGTTGTGAATTGTGGTAAACTATTGTGATGTTGTGAACTGTGGTAAACTATTGTGATGTTGTGAATTGTGGTAAACAATTGTGATGTTGTGAATTGTGGTAAACTATTGTGATGTTGTGAACTGTGGTAAACTATTGTGATGTTGTGAACTGTGGTAAACTATTGTGATGTTGTGAACTGTGGTAAACAATTGTGATGTTGTGAACTGTGGTAAACTATTGTGATGTTGTGAACTGTGGTAAACAATTGTGATGTTGTGGCACTGTGGTAAACTATTGTGATGTTGTGAACTGTGGTAAACAACTGTGATGTTGTGAACTGTGGTAAACAATTGTGATGTTGTGAATTGTGGTAAACAATTGTGATGTTGTGAACTGTGGTAAACTATTGTGATGTTGTGAATTGTGGTAAACTATTGTGATGTTGTGAACTGTGGTAAACAACTGTGATGTTGTGAACTGTGGTAAACTATTGTGATGTTGTCAACTGTGGTAAACAATTGTGATGTTGTGGCACTGTGGTAAACTATTGTGATGTTGTGGCACTGTGGTAAACTATTGTGATGTTGTGGCACTGTGGTAAACTATTGTGATGTTGTGGCACTGTGGTAAACTATTGTGATGTTGTGAACTGTGGTAAACAATTGTGACGTTGTGAACTGTGGTAAACAATTGTGATGTTGTGGCACTGTGGTAAACAATTGTGACGTTGTGAACTGTGGTAAACAATTGTGATGTCGTGAACTGTGGTAAACTATTGTGATGTTGTGAACTGTGGTAAACTATTGTGATGTTGTGAACTGTGGTAAACTATTGTGATGTTGTGAACTGTGGTAAACTATTGTGATGATGTGAACTGTGGTAAACTATTGTGATGTTGTGAAGTGTGGTAAACTATTGTGATGTTGTGGCACTGCGCTCCTGGCCCAGCTTCCGCTTCCGCATCCACGACTCGTGGTCACGTGGCCTAGAGGGGGACGCGGTGCCAGGTTGGAGGTTTTTTTTTACCTTCCTGAAATCCGATGAGCTGTGAAGCTCTTTGTTGCGCAGATGTCCAGTTATTATACACCCTCGAATTATCGGGTCCATACGGGCACATTTCTCGTGTGTCTCTCTGTGTTTGTGTCTCTCGCTTGCGATGGGACTTTGTAGGATGGACGTTGCGATGTTGCAGGGCACAATTTTCGTGTGTCTCTCTGTGTTTGTGTTGGGCTCGCTAGAACCAATGCTGATGAAACTGCCCAATGATTCTAGGCCAGGACCCTCCCTGTGTGAGACATGGGGTCCTAGCTTGACACAACCTACAGTATACAACACGGAGAGAATCAGCGTCGTGTTGCCCATTCGGTACGCGTTGTCTTTTATCGACGTGGCGCTGGCGTTTCCCCTGCGCGGTATCCACGCTGCCAGCCTGCACTTGCCCACCCCGCACGTGTTGAGAGCCGCTCAACTTCATCATTCCGATTTTCAGGGTGGAGCGGTGGCGCAACGGTTAGCGCACTTTTGCATCCTGAAATTGGATTTCCAGCCACGGCTCACATCATTGGCGCGCGATATAAAAAAAAAAACTATTCTGGGTACGCCACCCACCCAACACACATCGTCATCAAGCCGCAATGTACAGCATGCTGGAGTGTGATGAAGCCTCACCCAGCAGTGGATAGAGCAGGGGCCGGGCTGTGTCGGAATGATGAACGCGGGGGAGGTGATGTCAGCGCGGCGCCCTCTGCTGTAGAGGCGCGTCCCGGGCAATCTCAGACCAAACCCTCTTCCTGCCCCTCCTCCTCCACCCGCTCCACCCGCTCCTCCCCCTCCTCCTCCGGCTCCTCCCACCGCTCCTCCCCCTCCTCCCACCGCTCCTCCCACCGCTCCTCCTCCTGCTCCTCCCCCTCCTCCCCCCGCTCCCCCCGCTCCTCCTCCTCCCGCTCCTCCCCCTCCTTCTTACGGCTCCTCCCCCCGCTCCTCCCCCCGCTCCTCCTCCTCCCGCTCCTCCCCCCGCTCCTCCTCCCGCTCCTCCCCCTCCTCCTCCCCCTCCTCCTTACGGCTCCTCCCACCGCTCCTCCCCCTCCTCCTCCGACTCTTCCCCCCGCTCCTCCTCCCGCTCCTCCCCCTCGCTCCTCCCCCTCACTCTCCCGCTCCTCTCCCCGCTCCTCCCCCCGCTCTTCCTCCTCTTCCCCCTCCTCCCCACACTCGCCACGCTTGACACAGCGAGCCCAGGGAGGGTGACACACGAGTGTCACGTGTGTGGGAGCACGCACACCGAGGAGATGGAGCGGTGAGATGAGCCCGTGCGAGGGTGCTGCATGGATCGTCGTCGTCATCATCGCATCGCGGCAGGGCGAGATTTGGCGACGGCGGCTTGCGGAGGAATTCCTCCAGCGGGGGATTGACACCGGCTGATTAATTAATCACGTAATTCATATCCTTCGTTAACTGACGCCGTGCTCATTGACACCACCGTCGCCACCACCTCCACGCTCAACCCCAGCTGCACCGGCAGACAGGACAGGCGTTCAGATGCGGGGCAGCGCTCTCACGCGCTCATCTCACTCCTAGAACTCGTGATACATCTCTTGATCTGATCGATCCCATTATCTCTTTGATACAGCTGATGCATCACCCTGGTACGTCTCCGGATACATTCTGATCTCGTAATAATCTCCCCGATACATTTCGTGTTACACCTCCCGGTAAATACGCTGATACAGCTGATACGTATCCCCGGTACATCTCGTGATAATCTACTGACACACCCAATAATCTCCATCTCTCTGATACAGCTGATGGATCTCCAGGATCCGTGTCCTGCTAAATCTCCCTGATACATCTCTGGATACTTCTCGTTTCGGCTGGGACCATGGCGGGCCGCGTGGCGCTCTCCGCGTTCTCACTGCTGCCCGTGGTGTGCGGGGCAAGGAGAGCGGCACGCCGAGACCAGGTGAAGCAGGTGAGTCGTGTGGGAGGTTCACGTGAGACAAGATGAAGCAGGTGAGTCGTGTGGGAGGTTCACGTGAGACCAGGTGAAGCAGGTGAGTCGTGTGGGAGGTTCACGTGCGACCAGGTGAAGCAGGTGAGTCGTGTGGGAGGTTCACGTGGGACCAGGTGAAGCAGGTGAGTCGTGTGGGAGGTTCACGTGCGACCAGGTGAAGCAGGTGAGTCGTGTGGGAGGTTCACGTGGGACCAGGTGAAGCAGGTGAGTCGTGTGGGAGGTTCACGTGAGACAAGATGAAGCAGGTGAGTCGTGTGGGAGGTTCACGTGAGACCAGGTGAAGCAGGTGAGTCGTGTGGGAGGTTCACGTGCGACCAGGTGAAGCAGGTGAGTCGTGTGGGAGGTTCACGTGGGACCAGGTGAAGCAGGTGAGTCGTGTGGGAGGTTCACGTGGGACCAGGTGAAGCAGGTGAGTCGTGTGGGAGGTTCACGTGCGACCAGGTGAAGCAGGTGAGTCGTGTGGGAGGTTCACGTGGGACCAGGTGAAGCAGGTGAGTCGTGTGGGAGGTTCACGTGAGACAAGATGAAGCAGGTGAGTCGTGTGGGAGGTTCACGTGAGACCAGGTGAAGCAGGTGAGTCGTGTGGGAGGTTCACGTGCGACCAGGTGAAGCAGGTGAGTCGTGTGGGAGGTTCACGTGGGACCAGGTGAAGCAGGTGAGTTGTGTGGGAGGTTCACGTGAGACCAGGTGAAGCAGGTGAGTCGTGTGGGAGGTTCACGTGAGACCAGGTGAAGCAGGTGAGTCGTGTGGGAGGTTCACGTGAGACAAGATGAAGCAGGTGAGTCGTGTGGGAGGTTCACGTGAGACCAGGTGAAGCAGGTGAGTATTGTGAGATGTTCACGTGAGACCAGGTGAAGCAGGTGAGTCGTGTGGGAGGTTCACGTGAGACCAGGTGAAGCAGGTGAGTCGTGTGGGAGGTTCACGTGAGACCAGGTGAAGCAGGTGAGGCGTGTGGGAGGTTCACGTGAGACCAGGTGAAGCAGGTGAGTCATGTGGGAGGTTCACGTGAGACCAGGTGAAGCAGGTGAGTCGCGTGGGAGGTTCACGTGAGAACAGGTGAAGCAGGTGAGTCGTGTGAGAGGTTCACGTGAGACCAGGTGAAGCAGGTGAGTCGTGTGGGAGGTTCACGTGAGACCAGGTGAAGCAGGTGAGTCGTGTGGGAGGTTCACGTGAGACCAGGTGAAGCAGGCGAGTCGTGTGAGAGGTTCACGTGAGACCAGGTGAAGCAGGTGAGGCGTGTGGGAGGTTCACGTGAGACCAGGTGAAGCAGGTGAGTCGTGTGGGAGGTTCACGTGAGACCAGGTGAAGCAGGTGAGTCGTGTGGGAGGTTCACGTGAGAACCCAGTTGAAGCAGGTGAGTCGTGTGAGATGTTCACGTGAGACCAGGTGAAGCAGGTGAGTCGTGTGGGAGGTTCACGTGAGACCAGGTGAAGCAGGTGAGTCATGTGAGATGTTCACGTGAGACCAGGTGAAGCAGGTGAGTCTAGGTGAGGAGTCCTGATTTATAATTAGTTATTAATTACAAATAATTAGGACCCTGTACTCCTCTAGAATATTAACCTTTTTGTCTTTGGTTCTGTTGCTCGGCTCACGGCAACAATATAGCGGGGAAACTGGGTGAACGCCATCATCCATGTCACATATCAAACAAACTCAAATACCCACCGTCACCCGAAAGAGCCAATCAACTGAATTTGTTACGTAGGCAAATATTTTATTTGACGTTTCACTCACAGCAGTTCTCCTCTCGCGAGAGCAGAGCTGCTGTTAACACTTGATGATGCTGGATATAATCTCCAGATAAATTTCGTTTAAAATTTGTTAGAAATTTGCTTTCGTTGAAAAACCAAATCACGCGGCATATTGCCCACGTGACAACTTGAGTTGATTGGCTCTGTCGGGTAGCGAAGGGTATCGGTGAACATCCTATTATAGCTAGGTCGTGTAACCCAAAAATAATTCATTTTGACTTCTAATATTGGTCATGAAAGACTGTATAAAATTAGTTAAGAGTCGTGTTTTAGATGATGGTGAGGTGAAGGTGAAAACGAGGTGATGCTCTGTGTATCGCTCTGATCCCATGGATGGAATGGATAGGTGGTTGCACAACATCACAAAACACTTCAGCATGAAATGCATTTGATGTTTCTTAACCAGTTCAACATCGGGCATTCCCAGTGAACCCTACGAGGCAACTTATTCCAGTGTGCTCAATGTGTGCTGGACCCTAGTCCAGCTTCCTAAGGGGCTATGTGGCACCACAGCCGATTGGTGTTATGTCCATTCGAATCTCTCGCAGAACAGCGCAACCCATAATGTTAGAGACGTCCCACAGAAGTGGATATTACAGAACTACTTGTGAGATCTCTTCAAATTCATATTCTTGGTTCTTTCGGTAAAGTCACGTAGAAGGGAAACAATAAAATAATAAAAATATAAAACAATACAATTCTCACGACCGCAACACAAGCAATCATCAGGTGTGAAAGCCACAACAAGAAAATTTGAAAAAAGTGGCGGTTATTTTTAACGTTAGCACCACGGAGAGAGATTTGACAGTTCGTGAGAATTTTATTGTTTTATATTTTTATTATTTTATTGTTTCCCTTCTCCGTGTCTTTACCGAAAGAATCAAGAATATGAATCCCTGCAGTCACGAAAGCTTTAAATCAAAAGATCCCTTCAAGTAAATCTCTTACACACCCACCCTACCATACGAGAATAATGTCCGTCACATGACAGTCAAGCTGATCATTCTAATTCTCAGAGTTGTAAAATTGGTCGAATTAAGTACGGAACCAACCTCAACGTCGTGGTTTTTTGTGCAGTCGTTGGTGACCGGACTGAGACCATCAACTCGCTACACTTGAGAACCCGGTTTAATCACAGGCGGCTGGCCTGGCTTCGAACTCTGCTCTTTGTAACGACCCGGCGCGTTCACCTCTGCGTGAGAACGCAGGCAGCGTGCGCGGTCGAGGAACCCTCGCGCGGATGGCTCGCGGCACGTGCACCTCTGTGCAGCGGCGTGGCCCTGCTCGCCCTGCACTTCCTCTACCGGGTAAACGCCTCCTCGCTCACCGCCCGCTGCCGTGTTCACCAACACGCACGTGCCGCTGGCTCAGAGTTCACTCTCTCTCGAAGAGGGAGAACGACTTAGAGATGAGAGCAGGAACCACAGACAAGCGGGGAGGCAGCAACGTGATGAGTCAGTGCCAACAATTGCCTAAGCTCTGTAGTCCTCTACATATTAAGGTGTTATTGGCCAATTCATGATTGTTTACATGTGGGAGGAAATCAGAATACCCATAAAACGCATACATATGAGTGAGGGAGCAACACGGTATTCTATACAGGTGAACACAGGTGCAGTCTATACAGATGGAACATGTTGCACTACTGCTTTTCCTGACAAGCCAGGGTATGGACACCTCAGTGCGCATGGGAAGGAGTTTCGCAACATTTGTGTGATCCACTAACCCTCGCTGCCTCCACAGTGCTGGATTACAGGCCACGTGCGTAGCCACCACTGCCGGTTATTTTACCGTACTCCACCGTGCTGCTCAGTGTCGGTTAGTGAGAGCGAGGAGCACAGATATGAGAACATTACAGCACAATAATCAATTTTCCTGGACTGTCCAGAGTATGACATTTTAAATCTTGTCAGTAACACTGGCCTTCACGAGAAACATATATAATAGGCGACGTTCTGGGAAATGGCTATTCTTCATATTGTCTATCTTTACGTGCCATGAAGTGCCAGTGCCTGCATAGTGGCCTTTCCCTTTTGAGCCCGCAGTGTTATTGACGAGCGTGTTGCATTTCCACGCGTTTCTCTTGTGCTTCTGCACCACTGCCAATGCAGCAGCAGCAGCATCACCAAGTAGAGTAAAAACATTCTACATTTATCTTCGGCTGTTGCAGATGTGTCCTCACGACGTGCTGTCGGAGGTGCTGGCTGTCTACTCCCTCGTTCTGGGCACTGTGGCCCTCCTGTGCTCCATACGGTATGTTTCCCATGACTGCAATCATCGTATTTGCACACACAGGAGTGAGGTGGCCAGGTGGCTCAGAGATTATCCAATACGAACAACACTTTGGTGCTGTAGTTGTGCTAGAATTCGGGACTTGTGCCATTAAATACCAGCCAAATTACTCAAACGGTGTTTCAAGCGTTGGAATACAAAATCCAAAGGATGATGGATTTTTTGCAAAGTTGCGGACGCGTTTTGCCATGACAGCTGCCCATCTGCATCTGTACTGTGAATGCAATACTTCCGAGGACAAGCACGTTGGAAAGCGTTACAGAATCCACACGTACACGTTATTTTTGTGATTTAATGTTAACGTTGCGTGCAACAGAATAAATAAATATACATAAAGGAGATCGAGAGATAGAACTGCGATGTTGCACTTTTCGCAGTGGCGTTCAACGTGAAACCCACAACGATGAATGCGCTAGTACAACCGAGTGGTTAACCTTGAAAGTGTACACTACAAATATGATGGACGATCCGTGTCACTGACAAGATGCGACAATGTTCCCGTCTCACACGATTGTTTAGGCCGACCGTACTCGCGATGCTTCCCGAAGGGTTCCCCAATACGTGGTACCAGGTGACGCTTAACCAAGGCTTAGGGACGGCAAGGAGAGGTGAGCTACTGGTATATAAATGCAGCCTAATTACATCCTTCTCTCGTGATGTTTGCAGCCGCTTCGATGAGAATGTGGCTATGATTACGGAACTGCGAATGTAGCAGACGCGGTTAATGCCGAGGGGCGTGTTAATGCGTGTTTCCCCGCTGGCGGGTATTGGAGAGCCCCCTTTGGCCCTCGGTGAGCAAACGATTGTCCTCCCCTCCCATAGTAGCTGCAGATTATTTGCAATGAACCTCGTTCATTCATAGTCTTAAGAATGAGGCGAGAGGCCACTGAGACCGAACGTCCATCTTGCGATGGAGACCCGGGCAAATGTAAGCTGTCTGTATACGTGGGCGTGCACTCAGTCTGTGACAACCTCTTGCCGGGTTTTATGTCCCCCTCCAGAGATATGGAGCATGAGGTTTGACCGGAGAGACCTGCTGAGCTTGGCAGCGAGCCTGTCTGTGGGCCTGTGCTACTTTGTCACCAAGGTGCTGCGCCCGGCCACGCGGCATGGCACAGCTCGCCACCTCACTCCACTCGCTCAAGAGCAGGCCTTCTCTTTTGTCCGTAGATGTTCACCGATTGTTGTTGTTGTTGGCATGAATGGATTATATTTTAACCGGAGTGCCCGTGAGATGGAACATCTCGTTTGCACGGGTGCCTTAACCTAATCGAATACAAGATATATATTATAACACGATCACATCTTGTATATTTATCCTACCTTACCTAGCTCCATCACCGATGGCCAAATCACTCAGAAGCTAAGCTGGTTTTATCCTGGATAGTGCATGGATCAGCAACACCTATGCAGAAACAGGTTGTCATGTAGGGCTAGTGGGGCTACGTGGGGGGCAGTAGAAGCCGGTGAAGCAACATTCATTGTTTTACTGTACTTCCATGCCCCCAGGTTTACGCTCCCCAACCTTAAACGCGCACTGGCCAGCATGGTGAAGTATGTCCAAATAAAGTCCACAACCGACACAAAGTGTTGGAAAAGCCATCGTCCAGTAGTGGATTGAGAGGGCTGCACACGTCCGTGCAGGCGGTAGACTCGACCCTGGTGTGACAATGACGCAGTGAGCTTGCCGTGCGTGCTGCGTGTGACCCAGCACTGGGCCACGAGCGATGTCCTGGCTGCGTCCCTGGCGCTGCGCGGGGTGGAATTGCTGCCGCTGTGCTCCATCCCTGCAGCGTGCCTACTCTTCGCATGTCTCTGTCTACATGACATCACGTCGGTAAGCCTGGGGATGATTACTCCATTCTCTTCGGCGGCCGAGCATTGCTGAGATCATTGGTTAGAATCCAGGTTTGGGCCATTGTGAGTAGAGCACGCGCAGTCAGCAATTTGACTAAAATTTAACTCTGGGAATAAAAATTAATGTTTGACTATCATGAGATGAGCATGACTGTCATATGGCAGTCATGGAGCTGAGGTCACTTGCAGTGCGGATCTCTGTTCAGAGTAGCTCTGTGACATCTGCTTCCATGGGTAATTTTCTAGCAGAAGTGTCTCGTTGCTCTGTGAGAGATCCGAGTGGATTCTGCATCTCATGACGCTGATAGCTCATTTGGGATCAAATTGGTGAAAAGTAAACAAATAAAAAAAGTGATAGTTACCGGGATGGTAAAAACGGATCGTATCGGTGGAAGGGATTTTGAGGTGCAAGGATTCCTTGCCCCATGTGTGGAGGAAGGACAAACCTTTGCCACTCCGTGCTCCACACAAAACGAACTACGGCTGAACCAAAACACACGAGCGCTTGATGGTATCTTCACTGCACAACAACCGATATTTTAGAACACTACTCTGCTCATAAACATAGCCAATGAGAACAAAAATATATACAGAAATGCAATTTAAACACTGCCTACCGTAATTAACGGATAACCTTAATTGCAGCTGAAAGGTATCGTCAAACGAGGCGAGACTGAAAAACCACTTCGTAAAATCATGATGAAGGTTGAAAGCGTTAACGGAAGTGAGACCGGAATGATGCATGGTATGCGCCACTGCTGACCAGCACCAGCAGTTAGCTGAATATGCACAATAAATACGTGACTTTATTACATTCGTGAGAGTGATGCTTTTTGTAAAATAAAGAAAAATGAGCTGAAAGCTCTCTTGAAGGTTGAGATGTCATGAACCGGTGGCCTGTGAGGTCCTCGTTAGAGATGGTGAAACGCCGTTGTTTGTTTTCATGGCAGTGTCAGGAACTGAGTGGACTTGAAGGGAACATTCCGATCGCCTGTAAGTAGAGCATGCACAGTAAGCAAGTTACGCTTCTGAACAGATCGTTGTTGCATTTGCCATCACAAGCAACCGTAGTTATATTTATTTAAGCTACAGTGTTATGCTGCACCGTGTGTGGGGAAATTTACCTTGCTGTCATCCGAATAGGATTCTCACGTATATATTTGGTGGGCCACACATTACCACGCAGACTCCTTAGCCCTATCCAATAGTAACGTGACAACGTGCGTGTCGAGCAATTGTAAATAGGCCCTTGAAGTGATAATAGCGACTGAGCAGGCATAACGTACTTTACAGGCACATCACTCACCATAGTCCCTAAACCTGGTAGCTTTGTGTGGTTGGTATGGGCCCTGGTAGATATAATTAAATGGGGCCCTCTGCCTGTAGGCTGGCGCCTGGTCCCCCCCGGCCTGCGAGACCCCCCCCCCCCCCCAGTGCAGTTGCACCACCTGCACACTCAATTGCTATGCCACTGTCCAGAGACGCAAGTGATGCTGCTCGTCGTCTAACATTTCCAAAGGGTGCATTCGGCCATGTCTGTCCAAGATCGGTGCTCACAGGTTGAGCACATCGATGTTGTTTCGCTTACCCCGGTGTGTGCGATGATGTTGTACCGGTGAAATCGCTCGATGACGCGCTCACTGGCTCGGTCCAAACTGTTGCCCGCAGTGGTATTCCCTAAAGAATTATTCGGAGATGGCGTGGACGTGTCGCCGTTCGTGATAGTACCACTGGACACTGTCGTCATTCCAGGTGAGACTATTCACCAGCACTATTCATTTTACAGCTTTCATTTTTTTTTATTTAAAACAGTCTATGTCACTTGTTTAGTGAATGCTCAGTTTAACACGTAGGCTTTCGCCACCGTTATTGTCCATAACAGAGGTTTATTGGGTTAGATCACGTAAATATAAATGTTGTGTCGTTAAACCCGCCACCACCCGACACAGCCAATTAGTAATGTTTGTCACGAAAACAAAACATAGTTGTAATTACTGGCAAAACGTCGTACTCGATTGTAAATGTTGTGGGTTTACTCTCCAACACACCAGCGTGCCATGTTAGTAATGAATGTTTTGTTTACGTGACAAACCTAATTGGCTGTGTTGGGTGGTGGCGGGTTTAACGACACATTTATATTTACACGACCTAACCCAAAAACCTCTATTATGGATGAGTGAATGCTGTTACACGTTACTGCATAGTTAGAGCAACAGATGGATAACATAAAAAGTCCTCAGAAAATATCAGCAGTAAAACGTACCTCTTAAATGTTTCCCTTGTGTTTTTTTTCTGGTTGTGAAGCTGAATGCAGCATAAATAACAAAATCATGCCCACGGCTGTCTCCCATTATTCAGGGATATTCATAGCATTTTTGCTGAAATTTGACATAAGGTAAGATTAATTTCCACTTAATATAAATTTGATCGCCTCATTCCACGTGTTGCTTTATACAATTAGGAGGCAATGTTTGTGCATTGAATAATGAAGTCTTATGTTCTTTCTAACACAGTGAAGTAAAACATGAATAAGCCACCGTTACACATGCAATTGGCGTCATCTGTTGCGATGGAGAATTAATTCAGATCCCTCACAGAAGTGCAACCCTTAGTGTTTGAGAACAGCCCGTGGAAACAGATATCACAGAGCTCCATCGGAGATCCCTTACAGTGACCTCTGCTCCACACAGTAGAGAGCAGCACTGTCTCATTCGCTGAACAATAAGGGAGGGACGTCCCATCGCATGATGTTTTAATTCTCCGAGCTAGAATTTAGCCAAATTAGATGTGGGAACCACATTCACATGTTTCAGTTACTTTGTGTAGTAGTGGGTGACTGGGCTGAGACCACAAAATAACTGCACTTGAGAACCAAGTTTAATCACAGGATTTGAAGTGAGGATCACAGTGTAAGCAGCTCGGCACTCTGACCTCTGAGCTACCTAGCCCTCTCCGGGCTTGTGTTTCCTTAAACATATATTCATCCTATAGATGGGGTGACTCTTACCAGTCAGCTCCACCACTTCACAGATCAAACCCTTCCCACACTAGCCCTGCCCCTTCCTCCATAGGCAGGATCAAGCAAGTTAGGGATTATCTAAAATAAATTGGTTTTTTGGGTTGTATAACGTAAATATGTGTCGTTAACCACCATCACTAGAAACAGCCAATTAGTAAGGTTTGTCACGTAAACAAAACGTGCCAATTGATTCCTACTTTAACGCACCAGTGTTTTGGAGAATAAACCCGCAATATTTACCGTTTGGTTATGACGCTTCGCTGGTAATTATATTTATGCCATATAACCCAAAACACCTTCATTATTAATAATATTGGTTGCGAAAGCCTGCGTGTTAAATCGACTAACCTCTGTCGGGATTTTCATTGATTATGATATTGAAACGTGTCGCCAGGTTTCTGCCAGTGGATAATTAATCACTCCACTGCTGGATGAGGGCCTCCCCACACTGTGGGTTGTATGAGTTGTTTGACCATACTTTACCAGGTTGTTCAGTGTGGGTTGGTGGAGGGAGATCTCATGACCGTTTCAGATATCACTCGCTGCCTGTGGCCGAGAATCAAACTCGGTCACCGGATTCGTAATCATGTTTTTTTTTTTAATAATTGCGTCGTCGTTCATGCAAATTGCATCTCTCACAATCCCTGAGGAAGCACACATAATCGGGAAGTCATTCACGCAGTGAGTCAGCACCAACAATTGCCCAAGCTCTGCAGTCCTCTATATGTTAAAATGTTTTCAGCCAATTCTTCAGCATTTATACATGTGGGGGCAACACTATCCCATACAGTTGGAACAGGTTAAGACCACACTTTGTTGTTACTCATTCTCCTGGCAAGAGCAGGGTATGGCACCTCCTACAGTGAGGGAAAAAAGTATTTGATCCCCTGCTGATTTTTGTACGTTTGCCCACTGACAAAGAAATGATTAGTCTATAATTTTAATGGTAGGTTTCATTGAACAGTGAGAGACGGAATAACAACAACAAAATCCAGAAAAACGCATGTCAAAAACGTTATAAATTGATTTGCATTTTAATGAGGGAAATAAGTATTTGACCCCTCTGCAAAACATGACTTAGTACTTGGTGGCAAAACCCTTGTTGGCAATCACAGAGGACAGACATCTCACCTCGTGAAGTTGCAATGATCATGAGAACGGTGAGGAATCAGCCCAGAACTACACGGGAGGATCTTGTCAATGATCTCAAGGCAGCTGGGACCATAGTCACCAAGAAAACAATTGGTAACACACTACGCAGTGAAGGACTGAAATCCTGCAGTGCCCGCAAGGTCCCCCTGCCCAAGAAAGCACATATACATGCCCGTCTGAAGTTTGCCAATGAACATCTGAACGATTCAGAGGACACCTGGGTGAAAGTGGTGTGGTCAGATGAGACCAAAATGGAGCTCTTTGGCATCAACTCAACTCGCCATGTTTGGAGGAGGAGGAATGCTGCCTATGACCCCAAGAACACCATCCCCACCGTCACACATGGAGGTGGAAATATGATGCTTTGGGGGTGTTTTTCTGCTAAGGGGACAGGACAATTTCACCGCATCAAAGGGACGATGGACGGGGCCATGTACCGTCAAATCTTGGGTGAGAACCTCCTTCCCTCAGCCAGACCATTGAAAATGGGTCGTGGATGGGTATTCCGGCATGACAATGACCCAAAACACACGGCCAAGGCAACAAAGGAGTGGCTCAAGAAGAAGCACATTAAGGTCCTGGAGTGGCCTAGCCAGTCTCCAGACCTTAATCCCAGAGAAAATCTGTGGAGGGAGCTGAAGGTTCGAGTTGCCAAGCGTCAGCCTCGAAACCTTAATGACTTGGAGAAGATCTGTAAAGAGGAGTGGGACAAAATCCCTCCTGAGATGTGTGCAAACCTGGTGGCCAACAACAAGAAACGTCTGACCTCTGTGATTGCCAACAAGGGTTTTACCACCAAGTGCTAAGTCATGTTTTGCAGAGGGGTCAAATACTTATTTCCCTCATTAAAATGCCAATCAATTTATAACATTTTTGACATGCGTTTTTCTGGATTTTGTTGTTGTTATTCTGTCTCTCACTGTTCAAAAAAACCTACCATTAACATTATTGACTGATCATTTCTTCGTCAGTGGGCAAACGTACAAAATCAGCAGGGGATCAAATACTTGTTTCACTCACTGTAGATGCCCACGGGAATGGCGTTTCACAACATTTGTCTGGTGATCCACCGAACCTTGCTGCTTCCACAGTGCTGGATTACAGGCCACGTGCATAGCCACCATCGCCCGCAAATACGTTGATCAAGATCATGTTCTCTTATCTACTACTCTCCCACTAGTTTGCTTTATCTGTGGCTACTTTGCATTATTTGCCAAGGGCTTATGCTTAGTCATTGAGGTAATAAAGTTGTTACATGAATTGCTTAAGTATCTTCAATCGAAAGTATTGCTTCAATGACATTGTTGTGTCTCGTATGCATTACACATCACCACCTTTACTCTGTTGACTCTTTTATAAAAGCAGTGTTACCCGGATGTGCATAACATGTTTTTCTCACTCCGAACAGCATTGAGAGGAATAGTCGCGTTTACTTCTACACGGGACTCACATCATACGCCGCGGGACTCTGTCTCACAGCGGTGTTGGAACAGTATGCTCTGGTACGCAAGGCCCTTTGAACCGATGTCCACACGTCGCTAAGTCCAGTTATATACTGCTTTACTTGAAGTTGGATTCGACAGAGTCCACGTGTTTTAAGCAGCGAGGGCCAAACCCAGAAGGTGTCCTGTTCATCCCCAGCGAGCCTTAGCCCCACATGTTCCATCTCCATTCCAACTGATGCCGCACTGAGACTCATAAACTAACACAGATATCCCACAGACTCGCACAGAGTCCGACATTCTCCCTTGGAGACTGGCGGACTCGCACAGAGGCCCGCAGACTCACACAGACACCCAGTGGTGGGTGGATACAAAGTTTTTGGGGACGGCCATAATTTTGGTGCATCGGTCATGGTGGAAGGTTGACCATACTTCACCATGCTGGTCAGTGCGGGTTGGTGAAGGGAACATGTTTTGTCTTGCCTCTTCATAGGAATATGAAATTTCCACCACTGGCGCAGGGCTGTAAGTAGGAGATGAGCACCAATGCCTCTATGCTGGTTTGAACAGAAGATCCAATCTGAATGTTTTATTGAGTGTGTGTCGGTGTGTGTCGGTGTGTGTCGGCCACCAGTAACGAATATTTGAACCGGTCTTGGGCCTCCCCTAGGTCGACTCAGCCTCAAATTAATACCTGGTGCGGTGTGTAAACATCGCCACTCGGGAGACAAAGGCGACAGAGCGTGGTGTTGGCCACCCACCCCCTCGTGTGCCATGTCGGCCTTCATAGGTGCTCGCTAGCAGCACTTGTCCCTATAATCTGTTAAGGCTATACGGGGGATCTTTTTCTTTTGTGCACCCATTATCTATTTTAAGTCATCTCTATTTGTGCTAGACGTACATCACAAAGTGATGGGAAACTGATATTGCAATAATCGTCACATCGTGAAATGTAATATTATATCGTGGAAAATGGTATCAAAGCCCCCCGAGTGTGATCTTTGAGGTCCGCCAGCAAAGGAGTTTGCTGATCGTGTTTGTCACTAAATGAGGAGCAAGTCCCACACGCTGCTGGACGGCGCTGCCTGCTTTACCCATAAATGGATCTGAATTGCCTCGCATAATTCCTAATTGAACCTGCGGCTTCTGTATTTGCAGCCAATATTTCCTTATCTGGCTCCAGTCTACCTTGGGCTGCCACTGCTGGTGGCTGCATACAGGGCGGAGCTCACGGAAATGTTCTGGTGAGGCCGCGTCAGCATTGCACGCTGTTTCACTGTGTGAATGTCATGCTTATACAGGGTTCTTTAAAACAATGTTAACACTTCGGAGAATTTGCAGCAATACCACAAGAAATGTGCCTCCGGACTCGAGAGACCACCTGGAGAAGATTCCAGGCACGTGTTGACAATGATGGCGAACAAGTGGAGGCTCTTTGACTTTTGGAAACTGTTAACATACATTTGTTATCATGTTACATCCATCCTTTTTCCATTAAAAAGGATAGTCCCGTACAAGTGTACATTTTTTTAAAGCATCCTGTATATTGAATTGTATTGCAGTGTATTCACAACTTAAGCAAACTTTTCAAAATGTCCCAATGTATTACAGTATGTGTGTATGTTGGACTTCTTTCGCACCGTATGTAGCTAACTGTCATAATCGGAGGTGTGGGGGAAGGACAACAAACTAAACAAAAAAAGCAGTTCTAAATAAATACGTTTTCAATCGAGATAATTTAAAAGTGCAAAGCTCCAGTGGCTTCCTAATATCCGAAGGAAGAGCATTCCAGACGGCCGCAGAAGCGCATCTGAAAGCGTGTGATTGGTGACCGTCCTTGTTCAATGGCTAGCCAATGCAGAATTAATGTATTGTTCTGAGTAAATGCAGCAACAGATAGTCTGTATCTGTATTGATATATTGAGAGCTGTGGCAAGGAAAAAAGATATGAAACTTTAAGTTAAATGTTATATGCTACCCGCACGGTCGTTCATATTCTTAATTAAAATAAAAACCACGCGGAATGTAACCGATGCTGGCGAAACATCCCAATGATGAAAAATGACACCCAAATTACTCATTGGGATTACACACAGCAGGAACATCACTTTTCCTACTGCAAAAACTTGGCAGGACCCTCCAGCAAGAGAGTCAGTCCTGGCTAAACAAGCTGAATGATAATACCAACAAATAGCGTGCGTGATGGCTCACGTTGATGTCACTGCACAGGTGCATGACTGCGACTTCACACAGCAACATCAGTCGGAGACTTGTGATACCAAATGAGCATGTGTGTGTTCTGTGTGTGCCGTGTGTGTATATTGTGTGTATGTGTCGTATGTGGGTTGTGTGTGTCGTGTTGCGTGTGTGTGCATGAGAGCAGCTTTGTGTCGGCGGTGGAGCGGTCTCCCCACACTCCGCAGGCGAGCGAGCTGCCTCTAATGCCTGGCTACCCAGCAGCACTTGGGGCCTTCATGAGCTGCAAACCCAGGCTCTATCACATAGCAGACCCTAGCTCGGTGTGACCTTTCACCTCCAACCTATTGTCGTTTGAACGGTGGGATCTTGCCATATATCTTTCTGTGGCTCATTCTTATGATTTTAACGTGGATTAATGAGCTCAACATGCTGTCGCAGTGTAATGGTCAGCACGCTAGGGGTCATCACTTCGATTCGTTAACAGTCAGTCCACGTGAAAATGTGGAAGCAGTGGTGGGGTCATGCGGTGGTGCCGGGTGGTGGGGGAGGTGCCTCCCGGCCCGAGAGGGCCAAGTGCCTGCGGCGAGTTGGAGTCGAATGGGATTCAGATGGTGTGGGCAGAGACAGAAGAATATTGAAGGCAACATCCTGTGGTAGTTAGCGCAGGTGAAATGCGAGTTATTAGAAAAGTGTATGACACTTCATGAAAGTTCAGTATTGACCTGGAGGTTGAATAGCAATCTATCTCTGCTTAGTGAGTTGATCGTTCTGCAGACGTCAATGCCGGGAATAGATTTGTTTATAAAGTGAAATGTTAATTTCATTGTACAAGTATATCTATGCGTGTGCATTTAGATGGAAAATAGTGCATATACATTAAATGGTGTTTTGCTGAATGATCTCTTGTGATGTCGAGCCCGTGTGTGTATTACCTGTAAATATAATGGCTAAACACTTTCCTTACTTTTTACTTGTAAATAAAGTCCCTTAATTTTTGTTATTCTGTTTTATTATCCAGTCATTGAATGTTTAAAGCCTGCACTGCTTTTTTCATACTGAAGCTCATCGGTAACGTCAGGCAAACCAACAGAACCTGCTCGTTTAGCCGACGATATTGACGTTGCTAGTAAATGCATGGTCAGTGTGTTTGCACTGACAGCCCCTGGTATAGAGGGGGGTCATTACGAATAGCGAAATTGACGAGCAAACAGGAAACGAGCTGAGACCACAAATAAAAACGACGAAGAAAAGGAGTGGTATGAGAAATGGTGACTGCAGCAAGAGACTTTGTTAACAAGTAGGATTTTTTTTTTAATTTTGCCTTCTTGGTGTCAAGTGCAGACTTAATCTGGTTTTATTTTTGTCCCTCTGGCCTGTCTATGTGCTATGAATAAGGGCCATTGCCTAAAATAAGAATGTTTTTCTCTTAAGGCCGCTGCAAAGGGGAGGTGTTGGTCTCCCCATTCTATACTGCCACATCCACTCGCACGATCTTTCCAGCACTCATCCTGGACGAACTACGGAGACCAAGCTCAGCTGCAAGAAACCTCTCTTTCCGAACACCAAAACCGCAATAACCAACTTTGTTGAGTGTCAGTGGGGAATTCCTCATCCTAAATGGCAAGGTGTGCATCACAGCAACGGTCCACCAAGTTCCAGTCGCAGGTCCTTGTGGTTCCTCGCTCTGAAGAACACGAGCTGCCTGAATGCAGCACTCGCCGAACAGGCCCAGGGTGCAGGGGCAAGGCTCGTGCAGAAAAGGCCTGAGTGCACGATGGCTGTGAACTCCACAGGGGAAGGTGACAGATGCAGTTCATATCATAGGCTTTCGCGATCAATATTATCCATAATAGAGGGTGTTTTTTGTTTAGATCATGGAAATATTTAAATGTGTCAATAAACTCTCCCCCACCCAACATAGCCAATTAGTAAGGGTTGTCACGTAAATAGAACATTCCAATAACTTACTAATTCAGTTCACCGCTGTGTTGGAGAATAAACCCACAATTTATGCGATCTAACCCAAAAAAACCCTCTATTATGGTCACAGATGTGTTGAAGCAGAGGGCGGGCGGACTCTGCCAAGGTGAGTCACATTGCCACCGGTGCAGAGGGATCAGCACCCAGCTGAGCCAAGAACCAGGGTGGTCACACGTGCCGAAGCCGATGATCGCCATCAAAGTTGGGTCGCGTTGGCCCCCGACAGACGACTGACTGCAAGCTACCAGGAGCAGGCAGTGGCTAAGAGCGCCTGACAACTTGATATTCCAGCCTCAGGTCCACTGTTACGCCGAAAATGTAATCAAGCATTAGGCCGCTTTGTATTTATATTCCTGTGATTCCCTGCTTTGTCGCACTGGATCACGAGTGCAAGGTAAGCAGAGCTAAAACGAAACTAAAAGCTATTGTTAATTTTGCCAGGTAAAGTGCACTGACCTATACAGTGTCGCTATTTTTCAGAAGCGACCTGGCAATAAATTATGGCTCCACGAAGTGGCTTATCACATGGAAATTCATCGCATGGTTCTAAATGTGGAGAGAGGAAACCGGAGAAAAAATACAAACTCCAAATATGCAGGCATCAGGGTCATGATCTAACCCACGCCCTCCTAGACACCAGGCAAGGATTGGACTAATAATCCTTGGATTCACTACACACGGCTACTCTGGTTCGTTGTCGCAAGGTAAGTCGAGTTTTACTTGAAATCCTGGGGCTCACTTATCATGGAGCCTGGAATGCATTGTCTGATGTAGTGTGGTGTGCTCCGAGTTAAAAATCTGAGTATTTATCTACCGGTTGGTTCAGGAGAGATTGCAAGACTCATTTTCTTCCTCATTGCTTTTCGTCAAGTGAATTGTATCGTTCCGCATTTTACCTGATGTTATCTTTGAAGGTGTTTGTACACTCGTTTGATATCACCTTGAGGGGGGGGGGGTGATAATACATCTATATGTATCAAAGCTAAGGATGTCTACAACAACTCAGCTGGCTTCCGGTTCCTGGATTATCTACTTCGGGTCCTACGACAATGTTTAAGCTCCGAAGACGCGAGACTCTCTTTATAAAAGGCGAAGGATAATAATTTAAATGCATAAAGCGCCCTTAAACAATCGTTCTCAGGATGTCTGCAACAAGTCAGCAGGCTTCCAAAGACCGGTTCCGAGATTGTCTGCTTGAACTCTGGACGATGCTTCTGGATCGTCTGCTTCACCTCGGAAGATGGTGTTTAAGCTCTCATAAGAGGAAATATCCAAGATGTATTTTTTTATCGTGAAATTTTCGCTGTACAGTTTTCGCTGTACGTCCGCCTGATGATGCTAGTTGTAATTACTGGTGAAACGTCGTACTCAGATTGTAAATGTTGTGGATTTGCTCTCCAACACACCGGTGTGCTGTACTAGTAAGGAATTGGCTTGTTCTGTTTACGTGACAAACCTTACTAATTTGCTGTGGTGGGTTTAACGACACATTAATATTTACGTGATCTAACCTCTATATTGTGGATGATATTGGTCGCGAAAGCCGAAGTGTCCAGCTGTTGCAATTTAGTTGACGGACAAACGGAACACCGGGCTTTCACAATAGCTTGTCCGATCGTTTGATCCACTTCGTCTAGTGTGGGAAAATAAACCCAGAAATGTACAATTGTGTCTTTAGAGAAATCTTTGATTGGAAAATATGAGTTTAAAAATATATATGTGCGTGAATCATTATTTAAGGTCTGCTAGATAGGCGTATGTCACGCGGGGTAAAGCTCATTTCAAATTAAACATTGAGAGACCTTCAACGGAGCCTGCCAGGTGTGGGTGGCGTTACAGCGAGGGGAGGGGTCGAACGCGGCCGGGCGGCACGTGACCGTGATCACGCGCTCGGGAAGCTGATGAGTCACGTGACCGCGGCCGTCCTCAGGACTCCAGCAACTCGGGTGAGGAGCGCGCGGTGAGGGCGAGTGTGAGGGTGAGTGTGTGAGGGTGAGTGTGTGAGGGTGAGTGTGTGAGGGTGAGTGGTGAGTGTGTGAGGGTGAGTGTGTGAGGGTGAGTGTGTGTGAGGTGAGTGGATGGTGAGGGTGAGTAGTGAGTGAGTGTGAGGGAGAGTGGTGAGTGTGTGAGGGTGAGTGGTGAGTGAGTGTGAGGGTGAGTGTGTGAGGGTGAGTGGTGAGGGTGAGTGTGTGAGGGTGAGTAGTGAGTGAGGGTGAGTGTGTGAGGGTGAGTGGTGAGTGAGCGTGAGGGAGAGTGTGTGAGGGTGAGTGGTGAGTGAGTGTGAGGGAGAGAGGATGGTGAGGGTGAGTGTGTGAGGGTGAGTGGTGAGTGACTGTGAAGGAGAGTGTGCGAGGGTGAGTGCTTAGTGTGAGGGAGAGTGGGTGAGGGTAAGTGGTGAGTGAGGGAGAGTGGGTGAGGGTGAGTGGTGAGTGAGTGTGAGGGAGAGTGGGTGAGTGAGCGTGAGGGAGAGTGGGTGAGGGTGAGTGAGTGTGAGGGTGAGTGTGAGGGCGAGGGGATGGTGAGGGTGAGTGTATGAGGGTGAGTGGTGAGTGAGTGTGACGGAGAGTGGGTGAGGGTGAGTGGGTGAGTGAGTGTGACGGAGAGTGTGTGAGGGTGAGTGGTGAGTGAGTGAGGGCGAGAGGATGGTGAGGGTGAGTGTGTGAGGGTGAGTGGTGAGTGTGTGTGAGGGTGAGGGAGGTGGGTGAGGGAGAGTGAGTGTGGGTGAGGAAGGGTGGTGAGGGAGAGTGAGTGAGTGTGAGGGAGAGTGGGTGAGGGTGAGGGAGACGGAGATTGAGTGTGGTTGAGTGGTGAGGGAGAGTGAGTGTGGGTGAGGGAGGGTGGTGAGGGAGTGTGGGTGAGGGAGAGTGAGTGTGGGTGAGGGAGGGTGGTGAGTGTGGGTGAGGGAGGGGGTGAGGGAGAGTGGGTGTGGGTGAGAGGGGGGTGAGGGATAGTGAGTGTGGGTGAGGGAGGGTGGATAGGTTGAGGGAAAGAGTGTGGTTGAGACAGGAGGGTGGTGAGTATGCATGATAGAGGGTGAAGAGGGGGGTAGTGAGGGAGAGTGAGTGAGTGTGGGTGGAAAGGGGGCGGTGAGTGGGTGAATGGGTGAGAGTGTGAGTGATAGGGTGAGAGTGGGTGAGTGTAACACTCGTCAGAATTGTCTGAACCGGTCCTGGGCCACCCCTAGGTCGACTCGGCCTCAAATCAGTATCTGGTGCGGTGTTTAAACATCGCCACTAGGAAGACAAATGTGGCCGGGCGTGGTGCTGGCCACCTACTTCGCATATGTGTTGTTCCAGCCTTAAGAGGTGCTCGCTAACACCACTTGCTCCTACAGCCTGTTAAGGTTATAAAGGGGATCTTTGTATTTGAGGGCGGAGAGGGCGAGAGACTTGGTGAGGAAGTGCTGATAGGATTAGTGAGTGGTGAGGATAGTGAAATGAGTAAGGGTAGCGAGGAGTTAATAGTGAAGTGTGTGAGTGAGGGTGGTCAGTATGAGAGAGGGTTTGAGAGCGAGTGTAGTGAGAGGGTAAGCGAGTGGGTGAGTGAGGGTAGTGAGTAAGGAGAGTGTGGAAGTCTGCGAGAGTTGTCAATAATTGATACTGTTTAGCTTACACGTGGCTTTTTCATTTGACAATGGGAACTGTTAATGTATAGGAGAGCGCATCCTCGTTATAACCCCGTGTGGCCGTCTCGGGAGTTCAACGCAAGGGATGCTGTTTGTGCTCGTTGGTGTTTTTCAGGCTACGATGGAACCACTGAATTTGAAGGGATTGATCGCGGCTCCGTTCACTCCTTTGACAGAGCAGGGGTATGGTCCCGTCCACACTGCATACGGTGCAGTGCATTCACATGTTCACACAAGCAATTGTGTTCATCCACGTGGTCCATTGTTATAGACGAAGTATCACACATACGCCAACTGCAACAACAACCGCCATTCGCCACTAAGTGGCGGTGACGTCATCACTGTGATTGTGCCAGGCTAAGTGCACGTTAAGGCCACGTGAAGTGTGGAACGCCCGCTGGCAGGTCACAGGACAGACCCAGGTGCCATGAGTTGACTGGCTAGGATGACTGGCAGATGCACACTATGCTAGACACGGTCCTCATCATACACTGACACAACATAAATCGATTTACCATGTTATTAATGCTTAATTACATCTAATCTCCTGTTATGAAACCAGGTTCTCAGGTGTATTGATGGTCCCAGCCCAGTCACCAACACAAGCATCATCACATTACATTTTGTTCCACGCTTAATTTTAGAACTAAAACTCTTCATTTGCCTGTGATGTGACGACGAACATTATTCTCTGTTACGGGACGGCTGGGATAGTGCTGCCCCCCTACTGTGGAACAGGACATAAGGGATCTCAGAGGTAGCCCTATGATATCCACTTTCTTTGGCCGTTCTCTCGAACATGGAGGGTCTCACTGTGATATTTTATAATGAATTCTTTGTCGAATTGCATGACGCTGATAATACAACTACGGGGAAAATTGTATCACAGTTGATAATCGATTATCCGGCTTCCAACATGATTCGGCGGTCCCGGGCCAATCTGGCAAAACCGTTCTAAAGGCTATACCAGTCTAGCGATCGGCACCATGTGCGTGACAAAAAAGCAGTTAGCCTTTATTTCAGTGGCAAATAATAGAGTAAATTATACACTACATACAACAACTTAAACAATGAAAATACTACACTATATACATTTTTCAAGACTAATAACTAAAGTTGTAAAAACAATATACAGTGCGATCCGGTGAAAAGTGCGTGGTATTCGGCGCTCGCATCAGTCTAGCGATCGTCAAACTTGTTGTAACAAGACTATAGTACGTACATCAACCCGTGCAGTCTTCAAGATGGGAGTGGTCACTATGGTACAGTAATACAGGAACTTTTTAGAGAAGGAAACTTTTTTTTCTATTTGTACGCTTATGTATGCCAATTTCATACAGTAAACAAATTTAAAACACGAAAAAAACCATACACAGCACCTAAAAATATGTTATGCTAGAATGTGCAAAAATAATCTATTTAAAATAATTATGTGATTATCCATCGTTTATTAAAATCCAGGGCCCCCGTCCCCCCGAAGTTACCTGGTAATCCATCTACAGTTTCAGTTTTTGTGAATATATTATTTTACAACTTTTTGGGCCCTATCATTAACTTTCCAGTGACAACGCCATGATTTTCCGTGGGCCACACACTACAGCAGAAACAAAACCACTTAAAATAAAATAGGATTTTTAAATAAACAGCAAAAACCGTATAAAATCAGTGATATTAATATAAAAAATATATATCCACATTACATGATCCACCACCATGTGCTATTAATTGTTTTTTGCCCATCAGAAAATATACTTTAATAATACCCTGATCTAGGCCCTGGAGGATGAGATGTGTCGGTCATTCTCGAAAAATTTGGCTCAATTGATAACGGTTGATCCTGAACGGAATGAGCGTTCTCTGTAAATAGAGGACTCAGGTGTAATTCGGAAGAAAAAACAAACGAGAAACGAAGCTGCGCAGATAATGAGTCTCGGGTTGAGCGTGCCTCTTTATCTCCCACAGGGAAGTGAACCTGCCCGTGATTGCGGGATACGTGGACTATCTGGTGCATGAACAAGGCGTGAAAAGCATATTTTGTGAGTTAACTCCTCTAACATTGAAGTTACGATAATTACAAAATTAACAGAAAGTCATTGCATCCCGAACAATATTTCCAAGTGGTTAAATGAAGTTTTTGCTAATTAATGTTTTCAAAACAGAGCATTCCCATGTTTGCCAATTGTATGGGAATATATTTATGGTGTTTTTGGCAATCCGCTGCTGCATGAGGGCCTCCCCACACTGCAGATTGTGGGGGTCATTGCACCATACTTCACCACACTGGTCGATGTGGGATTGGTGAAGGTGTTGTATTTCGATTTAAAGCTTTTGTGACTGCAGGGATTCATCTTCTTGGTTCTTTCGGTAAAGTCACGTAGAATGGAAATAAAATAATACAAATAAAACATAATAAAATAAAATTCTCACGACGTTTCGGCCACAACACAAGTAGCCTTCCTCAGGTGAAGAAACAGAACTGTCGGGAAGACGGCGCTTCAGTGAACACTGCCAAGCTTGGCAGCATCTTTTAAGCTGGGTGGGAGAAGCAGAGCTCTTTGACGAAGGAGTTTACATTTCAACAGAAGAATTTAGCATTGAAGTAGCTGTGTTAATGTGTTGGATTAGCAGGATGTTAAAGTCAGAAATTAGCATGTAACTGGGAGATTAGCATAATGTTAGTGTGAGGGATTAGCATGTAACTATGTCGGAAAAAGTGGCGGTTTCTTTTTTCTTTTCAACGTTAGCGCCACGGAAAGCGACGAGCTTTGTTCAGACGGACGAGTCCATCTGTGCTCGGAACGGAGGAGGGGGGAGAGAGAGAAACAGCCACGATGCGCTGCTCTGTCCTGTGTTGCGTTACAACTATGCTATAAACTAGACTACTATACATTACAATATTATAATACCTTCCAATCTAAACTACATTGTATAATATCGAATACACAGCCCAATGTAAGCTCTAACATTATGCATTATATTGATATGCCTCCAACTGAACTTTTTTCTAAATTACACGACTATACACCGTAATATACACTGCCATAGACAAACCCCACCCTTGAATTATACAATGCGTTACTATACACTACCCTATACTTTAGACTATAAAAGATTAGACTTGTAATATTACACTGTATTGTTCTACCAACCCTACTGTATACCACACTGCTGTATATTCACTATACAATTACAATACTATATATTGCCTTATGAATTATGTTAAACATTACACTGTTATACTATTTATTATTATACAACATTCTATAAACCATACCATTGACCGTCGTGTAAAAGGTACTAAAAGGCAGTGCCAGCGAATGGACTGCGGTATGAAAGTCACCGTAAAATACAATCAATCAACCAAAATGGTTTATAACGTCTTTCCAATGGTTACCAAGCCGGAATCCAGCTTCTCGGTTTAAATTGTCTCTGTGTTTGTACATGTGGATGGCCTCATGAACTAATCTCGCATGGTAGCCGGATGGCTTGCAGAAAACCTCTATCTTGGAGAAGTCAATGTCCTGTGAGCCCACTGAATTATAACAGTGATCTGCCACGGCTGAGGTGTTCGTCCTACCGTGTTTCAAGTCTGCTTTATGTTCACGGATGCGGTCCGAGATATGTCGTTTGGTTTCTCCAATGTAGCTGCTACCACAGAGGCAACTTGGTTTGTAGACGCCCGGGTACTGTATGTCTGGAACTACATCTTTTACCGACGGAACCAAATCACGGATTTTATGTACTGTGTTGAATCGGACCTGGATCTTATGTTTATTCAGGATTTTGGAGATATTTTTTGTGACCCCCACAATTTAGGGTAAGGTGATGGTTTTGAATGGCTCCTCAAGAGGATCCTTCTTCATGGTTGGAGTGATGGCTTTGCGGATTGTGTAGTCGGAGTAACCATTTGCCTTGAGAGCTTGGTTTATGTGCTTGAGTTCACTGGCAATGTGTTCCTGGTCAGAGATGCATTGGGCTCTATGGTATAGAGTCTTGAGGGAATTCTTCTGGGATGGATGGTGGTGGGAATCCGGTTTTAAGTAAGCATCCGTATGGGTAGCTTTCCTGTAGACAGAGTGGCTCATTAAACCATCAGGTCTCCTTTTAATTAGGACATCCAAAAAGGGTAGCTTGCCATCTTTTTCGACTTCAATGGTAAATCTGATGGCTGGGTGTATAGAATTGATGTGGTCGAGGAATTGGTCTAGAGCAGGCCGGCCATGTGGCCAGATGACAAAAGTGTCATCCACGTACCTCTTCCATAAGGTCGGGCGTAGAGTGGAAGTCTGGATGGCGTCAGTCTCAAATTTTTCCTTGAAATCAAACTTACGCGCACCGAACTAGATCAGTTAGACAAGACACTCTATAAATCACACTTATCATTGACGGCAACAATGTCCACATCGGATTGGGAACATGTAGACAATATGACTGCCTGTTCAGCTGCTATGATGTAGACCAAATGTAAGGAGAACCTGATTTCCAAATTTAACCTCTCCAACAAAAGACCGGACCCACACACCAAAAAACTAGACGTTAACAAAGTCGTGATTAATCGCAGTAACAGTTCTATTTCCGATGGTCTGAAATCCGTTTTAGCTAAAGGTCTAAACTTTGCAGTCACACCTAAACACATACCAGTTAATGATATAATTGCCCAAGTAGACGTTGCTCTCAGGGGCCTGGGTCACATCGCTGCAGACGTAGCAAGATCTGAAATCGCTGCAACCCTCAAAAACGCTAAGATGCCAGCTAGCAACCTCAGCAAAGATGAGCGTTTTGAATTATATAAATTAAAAAAAGAGGGATGATATTGTAATCCTCTCGGCTGACAAGGGCAATGCTACTGTCATCATGGATAAAATAGAATATAACAACAAAATTAAAGAATTACTCGATGATGGCAGCTATACAAAATTAAAAAGAGATTCCACCAACAGCCTCGTCACACAAACCAACAAAATAATTTCTGATTCAAGAGCATTAATTGATCAAACTAAACAGTTTTCGTTGAAACCTTCTGCTGCCAGGCCACCAAGATTATGCGGCTTACCAAAAATACATAAAGTATATACACCCCTTCGTCCCATCGTCTCTACTATCAACTCCCCCACCTACAAACTGGCTCGTTTTCTGTCTGAAATCCTGCGGCCTTTCACTGGAAAAACCACCTCTGTGGTACAAAGTTCTACTCACCTGGTATCGACAATCACAGGTATTTCCCTGTCCCCAGACGACCTGCTTGTCAGTTTTGATGTAGTTCCTTATTCACCAAAGTTCCTGTACCTAACACAATCACAATCATTGAAGACTTGGTTCATCAAGGACTAAACACTGAGGTACCCCCCCTGGTGAGACATTGCTTAACCAATACATACTTCACTTGGAATGGAACTTTCTACAAACTGAGGGCACCCCAATGGGCTCCCCCCTATCTCCGGTTATAGCCAACATTTTCATGGAGAAATTTGAGACTGACGCCATCCAGACTGCCACTCTGCGCCCAATCTTATGGAAGAGGTACGTGGATGACACTTTTGTCATCTGGCCACATGGCCGGCCTGCTCTAGACCAATTCTTCGACCACATCAATTCCATACACCCAGCCATCAGATTTACCATGGAAGTCGAAAAAGATGGCAAGCTACCTTTTTTGGATGTCCTAATAAAAATAAGACCTGATGGTTCAATGAGCCACTCTGTCTACAGGAAAGCTACCCATACGGATGTTTATCTGAAACAGGATTTCCACCACCATCCATCACAGACGAATTCTCTCATCAAGACTCTGCACCATAGAGCCCAATGCATATCCGACCAGGAACACATAGGCAGTGAACTCAAGCACGTACACCAAGCTCTTAAGGCTAATGGTTACTCCGACTATACAATCCGCAAAGCTATCACTCAAACCATGAAGAAGGACCCTCTTGAGGAGCCTTTCAAAACCATCACTTTACCCTACATTGTGGGGATCGCAAAAAGATCTCCAAAATCTTGAATAAACACAAGATCCAGGTCCGTTTCAACACATTACATAAAATCCGTGATCTGGTTCGGTCTGTAAAAGATGTGATTCCGGACATACAGTACCCTGGTGTCTACAAACTAAGTTGCCTCTGTGGTAGTAGTTACATTGGAGAAACCAAAGACATGTCTCGGACCACATTCGTGAACACAAAGCAGACCTTAAACACGGTAGGACCAACACCTCGGCCGTGGCAGATCACCGTTATAATTCAGTAGGCTCACATGACATTGACTTCTCCAAGACAGAGGTTCTTTGCAAGCCATCTGGCTACCATGAGAGATTCGTTCATGAGGCTATCCACATATACAAACAGACAATTTCAACCAAGAAGATGGATTCTGGCTTAGCAATCATTGGAAGGATTTGATAAACCATTTTGGGTCTCAATTGATTGTTCACGCTTACGGTGGCTTTCAGACAGCATACATTAATTTTTCGTCTCCCCCCTCCTCTTTTCCGAACATAGATGGACTCGTCCATCTGAAACAAAAACGGTCAAATCGCTATCCGTGGTGCTAACGTTAAAAAATAAATCAATAGAAACCGCCACTTCTTTCAAATGTTCTTGCTGTTGGTTTTCACACCTGATGATGACTGATTGTGTTGCAGTCGAAACGTCGTGAGAATTTTATTGTTTTATATATATTTTATTATTTTATTGTTGCCCTTCAATGTGACTTTACCGAAAGAACCAAGAATATGAATCACTGCAGTCACGAAAGCTTTAAACCAATTTACTTATTGTATGTTTATTGGGTCAAATTTGTCCATTACGATGAGAACCTGCCAAGTGCATACAACAAGCCAGACGCAGTTAACTCTTAGTTCTCCATGGGCAGGTTATACAGTTTGTGGTTTAACCTGGTGAATAAAAAATATGTTTATATTTACAAGTGGGTTTCATTTGCTAGCTGCTCGTTACTTGTTGAGGACCACTGGAAACACCACAGTATGTTTACCTAGGGTTGTAACTGAAGGGGGGTCTGGGATCAAAACAATTAACTGAATAAGAAAACGAGAGCTGGTTAGTGCTTTTTGATGACTGTGCTAATAATGAAAATCAGCTTTGCCAGTGTGTCTAAATAATAACCTTTCAACTGGGACAGTACCTACTATGAAATGGAACAAAAACATAGACCTCCTGTGAATGTTCAAATGTTAAATATAATTTCAGTAATTTATCAAACAGCCTGTGCAAGTAGGTACAAATACATGTTATTCAGGAAATCTCTCTAAGGCAACTTGTAGAGAAGCCTATTTGATGAAGTCAAGATCATTGTTCTCAACGAGTTGTGTCCCAGGAACCTATGACTAAATCAACCAGAATGTACCTGCCCTCGTCAGGTCTGGGAAGTAAGCAGAATCGAACCTTCACCATTAAACAACCTATGTATCGATGCTGCTGCGTTGGCTATGGTGCACAAGGGCAAATTATAAAAAATAACGCGACGCATTTGTGAATAACACCGCCTTAAAATAAAAAGTATTTCATAGGTTACATTTTGGACAATGGCCCTTCATAGCACATTTAGAGAGGCCAGAGCACTGGAATAGAGATTTTTCTGGACTCTTATTTGCTCGGAAGACGAGCCATTGCCCGAAAACATTGCCTATTATATACTTTTCCGTTTAGGGCGCTTAGAGTATTTTTTACGAATTTGATGAGAATTGAACCTGGATAGTGTGTGGCTGGGTGCCTCTATGTACAATCAAGTTGTCCGAGGGCTTGTGGCCCAACGTGGTCGACAGGGAAGGGCACAATGCAGCAATATAAATATGTTTGTGTACCTTTATGCTGCCATGTCTATGCACCATGTTTTCATCATCCCACGTTGACCGATTGGCAATGTTCATGTCAGGGCTCTATGGCACCTTCGACCACTTTTGAGTCGCGACGTAGCCAACACAGTGGCATATAGCATAGTATCGACAAGGCTCGATTATTGCAACTCACTATTCGATAGCATGTCTGGCAAAAACATTACCAAGCTGCAGCGTGTACAAAATTCTCTGGCACATATCGTGACGGGTACTGGAAGATCCGACCATGTCCGTCCAGTGCTCGCCGAGCTGCATTGGCTTCCGGTTGCCAACAAATACATTATAAGGTCGAACTCACTACACACAAAGTGCTTGCCACAAATGAACCACAGTACCTCGCTGATCTTGTCAAGGAACATAAACTACCATCACGTGAACTCCGGTCATCCTCGCAGCAGCTTTTGGCTCAGCCTCAAACAAGAAAAAATCACTGTATCGCGTGCTTTCAGATGTGCTTCAGTGGCTGTCTAGAACGCTCTTCCTTCCGATATCAGGATGTCACTGGAGCTATGCACTTATAAATCTAGATTGAAAACTAATTTCTTTAGACTTGCTTTTGTGTTTAGTTTGTTGTCATTCCCCCACACCTTCAATGAGCACAGTTGGCTACTTACATTGACCAGCATGGTCTTCATCCACCAGTGGATTGACAAAGTATCTACATTATTACATCAAGAAACCAAGCTTGGCTGTGCTTATTATTGCACGTGTGTTCCTTTTCTATTGGAATTGATTTAAGTGTTCCCAGCTGTAATCTAACGGAATGTGGATATATACCAAATGTGAACCCACCATAATTCTGAATTGTATTTTGAATCATTGCCTTGTTAACTGATAGAAAATGTTTATTGGTAGTGAATGGGACCACGGGGGAAGGGCCCTCGCTGACTGTGGCTGAGAGGAAGCTGTTGACTGAAGAATGGATTAAACAAGGAAAGAACAAGTGAGTCATGAATGTGAAGAGCTTCAATGACACTAAAAAACACTTGACATTTGCACTGTGGCTTGGCTATACATTGTGCTCAATGTTCCTCCGATATTTCCTCGTCACAGTTTGTTCGTGAATTTACTCAGGTCTTGCGGTCACATACAAACGTGCAATGTAACTGATATTTGCCACGCATATCAATGGTGCAAAATTCACGAGAAAAATATTACTCAATTCGGATTACACATCGCAACATTGCAGGTGGAGGGCACATAGATAATTTATAAAATGGTTAGTAAAACTTGATAACTCATTAAACCGTTCGTAATTTTTTGTGTAATTGTAACACGTTGCCATCATGAAATATACTGCTTTGAAATTGGGTCCATCTTTTTAAAACACCCTGTATAACTACTTTCTGCTGCCTCGGCAAAAAGAGCTAAGCCGCCTATTTAGGCAATCCCCCCCTAATTCATCAGGGTTCCGCTGATATATCCATCACCACTGTAGCCAGATCGCCGTTGTCCATCTGTATGAAGGCCTTCCCAATCGATTGCAGTCGCGCACAGTCTTCGGATATTCAGCCTCTTTAGCACCTGCACATGAGTTTATTGCATTGTTCCATCTCCCCGGTGGACAGTCTCAGGCGTGTTGCCTCCTTTGACTGCCACTGTCATTAGTCTGGACTACCGGCCATCATCTCTCTTCTAGCGACATGTCTTGCCCAAGCTCGCTTTTGAATTGACTATAAAAGCAATGTTTTAAAATTGTCCAAGTTATTTAATCCATCTATTCTTATCTCTTAGTATAATTCCGTGCATGCACTTCTCCATGCTTCTCTCTCTTTGCGCTTCTCAGATTTTGTGTTGCGTTCCGTTCCATTGTCCATGTGTGTGATTCGTAGCATGCTGTGCTACAAACCCGGGGGCCCGAGTTAGATGCCCGCTCACGGCCAACACCAGTGACGATTATTTAAACCGGGTCCTGGGCCTCCCCTAGGTCGATTCAGCCTCAAATTAGTACTTGGTGCAGTGTGTAAACATCGCCACTAGGGAGACAAAGGCGGCCGGGCGTGGTGTTGGCCACCCACCCCCTCATGTGCTGTATCGGCCTTTAGAGGTGCTCGCTAACAGCACTCGCCCTAACAGTCTGTTAAGGCTACACGGGGGATCTTTGTCTTTGATCCCTCTGCCTTAGCAGAGCAGGTGATAAACACTGATTGAAGCTTTTGGCTCTGGTATGTTGCTTTTCAAGTTCGGTTTTCCCAAAAGCACTCCACTCTGCTGTCGTTTGCCTATTTATTTTACAATTTCATCTTGTTCTGCCCGAGGCATACATACTCCGATGTGTTTTTCAGTTGTGTCCCACTGACAGATATCTCCAGTTGTTTAATGAACTTGTACATGACTGTTATTTTGCTCATATATATCTTGAGCCGCAATTAACAGTCTTCTCGTTGAAGCTGCTCTATCGTGTTTTATAGTTCGGCTCCATGGGTTGTCAAAATGATTGTCATCAGCCAATCTGAGATTATTCATATTTTCACCATATATATTCGTACCTCTGTTTCACTAATCTTCTTTCAGAAAACGACCTCTAATGTGGCTGTCGATAGCTTTTACAAAAGCGCGTCACCTCCACAATTACCGTTGTACTACGCCTTCGTGGAGCATGAAATGGCTTTTTGCCTTTGTGGGAATCGATGCAATTATACAAGCTCTCACAAACCGAGGCATAAATAAAACAATGTTTAGTCCTGACGACAGTAATTTACACAAATGGAACAGCACCACTGACATTAAAATAAACAACGCACCAAATAAACACCCTCATTTACCCGGGGTTTTAAGATCGGGAGCATTTTGGGAGGCTTGGTCCAGTCGGATTATTGGAACTGAAGCAGGATTGAGCCTGCATAGTGCTTGGATGGGTGACAACCACCCACACCAGGTTATCATAGGCAGTGGGGCTGTGCTGTGTGCGGTTTAGCACAGGAAAGTTCAACCAAGGCATAGGTTTCATACTATACATCTCTTAGCTGACATCGATGCTCCCCTCCTTCGCCAACCCGCACAGCGTGGAGAGACCCTCATCCAGCAGTGAATTGACAAAAATGCTGTACGTGTAGTCCACAAATCTGAGATTTAATGCCACTTCAGATTCCTTTCATACCCAATAGCCAAATGTTTAATCACACATGTTTTGTCGCCATGCATGTTTTTATTTCGCGTTTATTTTTACAAAGTTAACCCCACATCTACTTGTTTAAATTTTCAGATTGACTCATGTCATTATACACGTTGGAGCAAATGCAATTACGGAAGCCCAGCAACTGGTGAGTAACATGAAGATTTATTTACACCTGCAGCTTATCTATATAATCTCTGCACTGGCTGTTAGGTATGATGAACAGATGCCAACTGGCTTGGGTTTCAATCAACAGCACATGATATGCAGGTTCTGAGACATATCAGTTTGTCAAAAAATGAATTAAAAAACAAAAACATGAAGGAAAATCATAATCACGTGGCTTCTGGTGTGCATGCCATCTTCCATAAGAGAAGAAATGTCACTTCCAATTCTGGAGTGGCGCTTTGAGTGGCAGATTTTTGCCAGAAAGTCGTCACGTATGTCAACAAAAATACATCTAGAAACAAAAATACAATTGTCATGACTTGTGTGAGAATAGAGGAGATTGAAACCTTGTGTCAAAACCACAAGATTATGTCGCCATGAGAGGTGTGTGACTATGTTGTCTCGAAGTTTGTGACGTCAGTGCAAGTGGATACCCTGGATTTTCTGTAAGATTGTAACACAACTTATATTGGTACCTGATTTACATTGGATCATCCCCGCGTGAGTTTTATTGCAACCATCGTTCTAGACGGTGCAGGCAGATGGACAGAGCTAATGCATTAATGCTTTCAACGTCAGGTGGAAAGTGTTAAAATAATTCACATTTTAAATGGACTGCAGCAATGAGAATAAGCATTATAATAATTATGTTTTTATAAAATAAAATATTTCATTCATTTAAATGTGTAACACTGAACTGAAATTACTTTGGTGCAAGTGTTATGTTAACATCCGCTGTTGTTCTCTCCAAGGCGAAGCATGCTCAAGATGCTGGCGCCACTGCCATCTCCTTGATGGCTCCAAACTACTTTAAGCCATTGTCACTTGGTAACGTGACTTCCACTTCACATAACACATGCACACGTGCAGCCCTGGCACTTCCGGATGAAGGCCTCCCCACGGCGTGCAGGTCATGGGGCTTATGTGAACATATTTCACCGCGCTGGTCAGTGTGTGGGTTGGTGACGGCGGTCACCGTAGACGTGGGAGCATAAAAGTTCACCGTGCTTTGGAAGCAAGGTTTGGTGGAACATTTAGATGTGTGAAACTTACAAACCTACAGCATTCCAAGGTGACCAGAAGATGTCAGCACAGAAAATTTGGTCAATTAATCTGTGCACACTCTTGAGTGGTTTCCCCACGCTGACATGGGTTTTCTCTTGAGACTTTGGTTTTCTGGCCAGGTGGCTCTGCTGCGGAGTGAGTGGCTTGTTCTAGATTAAAATATTTAGCTGCTATAAGTTTGCATGTGATAAGCCAATTCGTTGAGCGATCGTTTGTGGCCAGGTCGCTTCTGAGAAAGAGCAAAAAATCTCAGTGGGCCTTACCTGGTAAAGTAAAAATGGTAAAAATGCAAAAATCTCCTGCGAGTTCACATTCGTGTTGTTGGGTGAACTCAGCCCATCATCGCTTCCTCTGAAGTGTTTGATGCAATGCATTTCTTTTAAGTTAAAACCATTAAATTGTTATGTGAATATAATTACAGATGGTTTACATCATTATGCATTCATTGTTGAAAGCTTTTATTATTTTGAGAAATGCGTTGGTCTTGTCTGTACCTGTCATAGTCTGTGCTGCATGGTGTTGTAGCCTTGCACAATATTTTATTTGTGTGGATTGTCTGACTCATATTTATCTCTTTGCAGATGCAATTGTAAATTTCATACAGGTGGTAGCAGCTGCAGCGCCTAACATTCCTTGCCTTTATTACCACATTCCAGAGTTCACCGGAGTGAATGGTAAATATTTTCTACAGCTGCTAAGTATATTTCATTGACTATTTTTCAAGACGATGCGTAACATCAAAGCTGCATTATGAAGAAGCAGTGTTAAACATTGAATACCAATGATGCTGTGCTATTTGTGATATGTAGTCAATATAATTCGACATGTTACACAACACTTTACTTGCAGACACAATATATAATTTACATGCAAATCACTTGCACCTGACAATACTCGCATGTTAAATTTTGAATGCACTTAACAATTTCATGGCGCATGCACACAAATGCATGGACAGGAGTTTTGAAATTCACACATACACAACTTCCCATTTGATAGATTAGTAGTTGCAAGAGCTGTCAACGAGCACCTATTCGAACCGACAGCAACAAAAGTTTGTGGTTTAAGAATGTAAAGTTGCGTTCATTTGTGTATTGGTTATTACATTTACTCAAAACAACCTCCCACAAAGTGCTGTTGCAGTCAGTTTTGTGGCAATTGGTCACGTACCAGTGGGTGAATATGTGTCACACTCATTACAAATCCACTCCATTGCATCAGGGACAGCTCATAGTAAACTTTCCTTATCAGATCCTCCCTTGTCTAGCCATAATTATAAAAAAAAGTTAATTATTTGCATCCCTTTGTCAATGCACTGCTGGTTGAATGCCTCCCCACGCTTTGTCAGCCATACTTCATCACACTGCCTCACGCTGGGCTCTACGTTTGTTCCGCCACGGACCTGTTTTGTTGTGCCCAGTGTCCATGTACGAGTTATGTGATGGAATTCGCGAGAAAATCCCAACCTTTGCTGGAGTGAAGTTTTGTAGCTTGGATTTGCTTGAACTTGGTTGTTGCATCAGCCGCTATGGACGTGAATTGTCGTTCTACTATGCTAAAGACGAGGTGAGTGACTATCGCACGTTCAGTTGAATGAAAAATACTCTTCCATTGTAATGTAACATAGACGATACTCTTAACAAGTTATGTAAAGCACGAGAGACGCCAAGGGCCCGATTCGTACGTAAGTGGGACGGAATGAGCACGGAAAGGAACTGATCTGAAGCAAGTGGCATGATAGGGACTTACAGTGAGGGAAAAAAGTATTTGATCCCTTGCTGATTTTCTACGTTTGCCCACTGACAAAGAAATGATCAGTCTATAATGTTAATGGTAGGGTTATTTGAACAGTGAGAGACAGAATAACAACAAAAAAATCCAGAAAAACGCATGTCAAAAATGTTATAAATTGATTTGCATTTTAATGAGGGAAATAAGTATTTGACCCCTCTGCAAAACATGACTTAGTTCTTGGTGGCAAAACCCTTGTTGGCAAAACCATTGTTGGCAATCACAGAGGTCAGACGTTTCTTGTAGTTGGCCACCAGGTTTATACACATCTCAGGAGGGATTTTGTTCCACTCCTCTTTGCAGATCTTCTCCAAGTCATTAAGGTTTCGAGGCTGACGTTTGGCAACTCGAACCTTCAGCTCCCTCCACAGATTTTCTATGGGATTAAGGTCTGGAGACTGGCTAGGCCACTCCAGGACCTTAATGTGCTTCTTCTTGAGCCACTCCTTTGTTGCCTTGGCGTGTGTTTTGGGTCATTGTCATGCTGAAATACCCATCCACGACCCATTTTCAATGCCCTGGCTGAGGGAAGAAGGTTCTCAACCAAGATTTGACGGTACATGGCCCCATCCATCGTCCCTTTGATGCGGTGAAGTTGTCCTGTCCCCTTAGAAAAACACCCCCAAAGCATAATGTTTCCACCTCCGTGTTTGACGGTGGGGATGGTGTTCTTGGGGTCATCGGCAGCATTCCTCCTCTTCCAAACACGGCGCGTTGAGTTGATGCTAAAGAGCTCCATTTTGGTCTCATCTGACCACAACACTTTCACCCAGTTGTCCTCTGAATCATTCAGATGTTCATTGGCAAAACTTCATACGGGCATGTATATGTGCTTTTTTGAGCAGGGGGACCTTGCGGGCGCTGCAGGATTTCAGTCCTTCACGGCGTAGTCTGCTACCAATTGTTTTCTTGGTGACTATGGTCCCAACTGCCTTGAGATCATTGACAAGATCCTCCCGTGTAGTTCTGGGCTGATTCCTCACCGTTCTCATGATCATTGCAACTCCACGAGGTGAGATCTTGCATGGAGCCGCAGGCCGAGGGAGATTGACAGTTCTTTTGTGTTTCTTCCATTTGCGAATAATTGCACCAACTGTTGTCACCTTCTCACCAAGCTGCTTGGCAATGGTATTGTAGCCCATTCCAGCCTTGTGTAGGTCTACAATCTTGTCCCTGACATCCTTGGATAGCTCTTTGGTCTTGGCCATGGTGGAGCGTTTGGAATCTGATTGATTGCTTCTGTGGAAAGGTGCCTTTTTTATACAGGTAACAAGCTGAGATTAGGAGCACTCTTTTTAAGAATGTGCTCCTAACCTCAGCTCGTTACCTGTATAAAAGACATCTGGGAGCCAGAAATCTTTCTCATTGAGAGGGGGTCAAATACTTATTTCCCTCATTAAAATGCAAATCAATTTATAACATTTTTGACATGCGTTTTTCTGGATTTTTTTTGTTATTCTGTCTCTCACTGTTCAAATAAACCTACCATTAACATTATAGACTGATCATTTCTTTGTCAGTGGGCAAACGTACAAAATCAGCAGGGGATCAAATACTTTTTTCCCTCACTGTAGCATGTGATCCTCTTAGCCCTATTGCACAATAGTTACCACTCGGAGGCGTCTCTCGCACGTTGTCTTGCATGTGGATAGCAGGAGGCATTGGCCTAGCGAAATCCTCTTATTCATGACCATTTCTAGGTAATTTCTCTTACCCGAAAATTAACGTGGACCACAGGAAGTAATCCACGATTTACAAAAAGACTTAACACGTTCGTCAGCAACACTTTGGCCTTAAATGGAAACATAATAGGCAACGTTTGGTGGAATGGTCCTTTTCACAGCACAATTACAGAGGCCAGAGATAGTGAAAAAGAGTTGAAGACTGCACTGCACCATGGGGCCTGATAATAATGAATTATAACCGGCGTCGTGGATAAGATGATAACAAGATGAGAGGCGACACTGTACGTGTCTCATCACTTTCGATTAGCACAGTTGGCTACGTACGGTGCGAAATAATTTCTACATACATTGACGCTGGTCCAGAGTTTGCTTGTGTTTAAGAAATGTTGCTCAAATTTTTAACTCGCAGAAGCCCGTGGGACTGATGAGTTGTGTAATAATATAGAATGATGGGGGAGACAGATGTGTGAAGGAGACATGGTTAATTCTATTCTCCACAACGGTGCTGATTATTATTTTGAGTTATGTATTATATTTACATCGAACTAATCCCCATAGCGTATAGAGAAGGTCCTTGTCTGTAAGTTTGGAAGTTGGCCATTTTTAGTTTATTAAAACCTGACTCCTGATCAGACACTGCGTGTTGCAACCGGTCCAGAGATTGCTTGTTTTAAGGCAATGTTGCTGAAATCATTAAACAAATCATGAATTTCAAGGTATGTGTTTAGTCCATTGGCTAATTTGCTTTCCAGATTAATTTCCAACAACATTTGCTTAAGCAAGATAATTCTATACTGGTTTCTACTTTCTGGGTTTCATCAGCATTCAGTCTTCTTAAACACTGCTGAGTTTCTAGATGTTATTGGAAAGAGCACTCTCGATGATGAAGAGGCCTTTCGGGAGGCAATGAAATCTTAAGTTTAAGAAATGTCCCTTGTGAAATTCGCTCCTCTTGAGATGTTTAGACCCAGTTTGTGATGTTACTTATTTGTTCCTAAACCCCAGCAACTCCTTTCTGCGTTGGTGTTGGGAACGCACGGAGCGGTTGGCAGGTGTGTGCCATCTCTTTCTCAAGTCTGTTCATTTGGTTTTGCAATCCACATCCGGGAGCTGCAGCAGTTTTCATAGCATGTATCTTTGAACTTGCATTTGCAAGCGATCTCCATGGAAGACTTGTAGAAGAAGTTTCAACTTGACTATTTGTTGTTGATGCTGCTTTTTGAAATGTTGACTTGCTCAACAGCAACAACATGTTACGTTATATTGTTTTCGTAGCCTTCTAATATGAATGTTTAGTTTGAAATAGCATCGTCGTTCATGCAAATTGCATCTCACAATCGCTGAAGAACCACAGGCAGAGTGAGCTGGCATCAACAATTGCCCAAGCTCTGCAGTCTTCTATAATATTAGAGGACCGCACATACTGTACATATTTTCGGTAAGCTTTTCTTGCTTGCTTCAAATTCTTCAGCTTACTCCAATCCGGCTTCAAAAGGTTTTTCTGCATATGTGTGTTAATAAACATAATACAATCGAGTAAGACCAACATGTTTTGGGTGTTGTAGTTTACTTTAAATATGGAAAAACTTCGATATGTTTTCATGTCAAATGCATCGCAAAGTATTGTATCAAATGCCAGTATCAACTTTGAATTGTAATTGTTCCTTCTTGACAGTACTTACAACTACATGGGAAAACTTAACAACTCGATCATCGAGGCTCTGGATAGCGGCAAACTGGAAGACGCTCGCAAGCACCAGGTAAAGCAGAGTTACATTGCTGCTCAATGTTTTCCTTCCACGTTGGGTTTTAAAACTTGTCGGGTTAAACGGTGGACACGATGTCCTTATCAGATACCTCGATTGTGGAACCAGGCCTCAGTCGTTCTTCTGTGGAGGTTTAGAGAGATGGAATTCGTTCAACACACCTTCAATCCGTCAAGTGTGCACGTGTGTGAGGCTTCATTGACCTGGTTCACACTGCCAATTATGGGCAGTTTTTTGTCGTAATAACTTTATTGGATACCCTGTGTTTATTTTGCATAACTCGTTGGTTTCACTTCGATACTCAAAAGTGTAATTTATTTAAGCCATGAGGTGTTTTGGTGACTTTCCAAACATATAAGTCTACAATGCTCGCATACTTATTCACCATCTTTTCTTTTTCTCCATCCAATGTTCATTGCAGTTTACCGCACAAGAGCTGCTGAAGAAACTCTTCACATTTGGTCAGTCTTTTTTTTTATTATATCACTGTTAAGACGATGAACAATATTTACGAAAGATAATGATATCCTGCAGAGAAGTACAGGTGCAGCCTTGAAATGTCTTGCCCAAGGCACTTGTTGGAAGGGCCTCCACTCTAGGGAGCTCTCGAGTGCCTCTCTATCGAGGGTCTTTCAGCCTACTCTTCCACAATGGGCAGACATTTTTTTTTTTTCGATTTAAAGCTTTGGTGACTGCAGGGATTCATCTTCTTGGTTATTTCGGTAAAGTCCCGTAGAAGGGAAATAATAAAATAGTAAAAATAAAACATAATAAAATAAAATTCTCACGACATTTCGGCCACAACACAAGTAGCCTTCCTCAGACTGCCACTCTACGCCCGACCTTATGGAAGAGGTACGTGGATGACACTTTTGTCATCTGGCCACATGGCCAGCCTGCTCTAGACCAATTCCTCGACCACATCAATTCCACACACCCAGCCATCAGATTTACCATGGAAGTCAAAAAAGATGGCAAGCTACCCTTTTTGGATGTCCTCATTAAAAGGAGACCTGATGGTTCAATGAACCACTCTTTCTACAGGAAAGCTACCCATACGGATGCTTACTTAAAACCGGATTCCCACCACCATCCATCCCAGAAGAATTCCCTCATCAAGACTCTATACCATAGAGCCCAATGCATCTCCGACCAGGAACACATAGCCAGTGAACTCAAGCACGTACACCAAGCTCTTATGGCTAATAGTTACTCCGACTACACATCCCCAAAGCCATCACTCCAACCATGAAGAAGGATCGTCTTGAGGAGCCAGTCAAAACCATCACCTTATCCTACATTGCGGGGGTCACAAAAAGATCTCCAAAATCCTGAATAAACACAAGATCCAGGTCCGATTCAACACAGTACATCATCAAGAGGATGAATCCCTGCAGTCACGAAAGCTTTAAATCGAAATTTAACCGCCTCTACGGGGAGGGATTCCACATAACCCTGAGATCCTTCAACAAACTCCGGGATAAGAAGGCTCAACTAATCGAGTCTCTCACCTTTCTGAAGAGATGCTGCGACTCTAAGGTAATAATTCCGTCCACACAGCTTAAAAACACGCGGTCCCTGCTTGGCAGTCCTGTTTATTCACCTGAAGAGGGCTACTTGTGTTGTGGCCGAAACATCGTGAGAATCTTATCTTTTATTTTTATTATTTTATTTCCATTCTACGTGACTTTTACCGAAAGAACCAAGAAGATGAATCCCTGCAGTCACGAAAGCTTTAAATCGAAGCAGTACATAAAATCCATGATCTGGTCCCTTCTTTAAAAGATGTGGTTCCAGACATACAGTACCCGGGCATCTACAAACTAAGTTGCTTCTGTGGTAGCAGTTACATTAAAGAAACCAAAAGACATATCTCGGACCGCATCCGTGAACATAAAGCAGACTGGAAACACGGTAGGACGAACACCTCAGCCGTGGCAGATCACTGTTATAATTCAGTGGGCTCACATGACATTGACCTCTCCAAGACGGCGGTTCTCTGCAAGCCATCTGGCTCCCATGAGAGATTCGTTCATGAGGCCATCCACATATACAAACACAAAGACAATTTCAACTAAGAAGATGGATTCTGGCTTAGTAATCATTGGAAAGACATGATAATCAATTTCGGTTCTTGATTGATTGTATTTTACGGTGACTTTCATACCGCAGTCCATTTGCTGGCACTGCCTCTTAATACCTTTCACACGACGGTCAATGGTATGGTTTATAGAATGTTGTATAATAATAAATTGTATAACAGTGTAATGTTTAATATAATTCATGAGGCAATATATAGTATCGTAATTGTATAGTGAATATACAGCAGTGTGGTATACAGTAGGGTTGGTAGAATAATACATAGTGTAATATTACAACTCTAATATTTTATAGTCTAAAGTATAGGGTAGTGTATAGTAACGCATTGTATAATTCAATGGTGGGGTTTGTCTCTGGCAGTGTATAGTACGGTGTATAGTCGTGTAATGTAGAAAAAAGTTTAGTTGGAGGCATATCAATGTAATGCATAATGTTAGAGCTTACATTGGGCTGTGTATACGATATTATACAATGTAGTTTAGATTGGAAGGTATAACATTTTAACACGTAGGCTTTCGCGACCAATATTATTCATAATAAAGGTTTTTGGGTTAGATCGCGTTTATTTATAAATGTGTCGTAACCCTCCACCACCCGACACGGCCAATCAGCAAAAAAAGTGTCACGTTATTTGTCTTTTGTTAACGTGACACTTTTTTTGCTGATTGGCCGTGTCGGGTGGTGGAGGGTTACGACACATTTATAAATAAACGCGATCTAACCCAAAAACCTTTATTATGAGGTATAACATTGTAATGTATAGTAGCCTAGTTTATAGCATAGTTGTAACGCAACACAGGACAGAGCAGCGCATCGTGGCTGTTTCTCTCTCCCCCCTCCTCCGTTCCGAGCACAGATGGACTCGTCCGTCTGTACAACGCTCGTCGCTTTCCGTGGCCCTAACGTTGAGAAAAAAGAAACCGCCACTTTTTTCGACATAGGATTGTAATGTATAACGACTTATTGTTAGTAGTTCAGCTGATGGGAGAGTATAGAGTTTATTGATAATATTGATGTAGTTTATATTTTAGTTTTTTATCAGTTTACTATATGGTATTCATTATATAGTGTAGTGTATATCCAGTTACTTTATGTTAATAGCTCAGCTTATTGGAGAGTATATTGAGTACATTGATTATATTGATGTAGTTTATATTTAGTTCTTTCACATCGATTTATTGTATGATAGTTGGGTAGTTGCAGTCTTTAGCATTAATATAATAAATGCCTCTGTTGATATGTAAACTCTGACTTTAACATAGCCACTTCCGTGACAAGTTACATGCTAATTCCTCACATTAACATCATGCTAATTTCCCAGTTGCATGCTAATTTCTCACCTTAACATCCTGCTAATCTCTTAGTACCTTTCAGTGTAATGTTTAATATAATTTATTTGGTAATATATAGTATTATAATTGTATAGTGAATATACAGCAGTGTGGTATACAGTAGGGTTGGTAAAATAAAATAATACATAGTGTAATATTACAAGTCTAATATTATTATTATCTAAAGTATAGGGTAGTGTATAGTAACGCAGTGTATAATTCAATGTTGGGGTCTGTCTATGGCAGTTCATAATAAAAAGATTAGTTGGAGGGATATAATTTTTGCGACATAGAAGTGTAATGTATAATGACTTATTGTTAGTAGCTCAGCTTAGTGGAGAATATATTGAGTACATTGATTATATTGATGTAGTTTATATTTAGTTCTTTCACATCGGTTTATTGTATGATAGTTGGGTAGTTGCAGTTATTTAGCATCAATATACTAAATGCCTTTGTTGATATGTAAACTCTAACTTTAACATAGCTAATTCCGTGACCAGTTACATGCTAAATCCGCACACTAACATCATGATAATCTCCCAGTTACATGCTAATTTCTGACTTTAACATCCTGCTAATTCAACACATTAACACAGCTACTTCAATGCTAAATTCTTCTGTTGATATGTAAACTCCTTTGTCAAGGCGCTCTGCTCCTCCCACCCAGCTTAAAATACGCTGTAAAGCTTAGCAGTGTTCATTGGAGCGCTGTCTTTCTGACGGTTCTGTTTCTTCACCTGAGGAAGGCTACTTGTGTTGTGGCCGAAACATCGTGAGAATTTTATTTTATTATGTTTTATTTTTATTATTTTATTACTTCCCTTCTACGGGACTTTACCGAAAGAACCAATAAAATGGCCAGACATCTTCTAAGAGTTGCAGGTGCCCGCACTTGTGCATAGGAATAGGTTACTCTGCATGACTAATGACATTTCATATACCTGCCACTGTTGGTCATTACCAGTGGTCGAAATGTAAGTGTAGAAGCATGAGACGCGCTATGGAACCTGTTTGTCGTGCAGCAGCCCATGGTTTCTGCTGCCTCCCCTCTGCGGAGACATCGTGGAGTAGGAACAGGAACCGTTTTGTTAAGTGCCGATATATCACGTGGTTTGATGACATTGAGAAGTGCCGGTGTGGCGAACATTGCCACCACTGACCCAAGATTGTAAAATTCTATTGCCCCGCCGAGTCCGTCTTGCTTTGCTATTTGCTAGACCACGACGTGGGCAGCAGAGGGCAGTACAGCAAAGTCCTTTGTACTGTAATTCTGCACTCAGACCGCCTTTAACAACCGACACTTATCAGCGTGGTAACGTATGGCCAAATAACCCTCACGACTCGCACAGCATGGAGAGGCCATCATCCAGCAGTGGATTGGCAGAAAGAGCCGCGCATATACTTGCGTCTCATTAAACGCAAGTCACGTCACCGACTACGACTAAACTACTACTATTTGTATTTTACCAGGTGAAGCATTGAGTGAATAGTGGCCAGATAAAAGTACAGGCTCTGGCAACAGTTTGGACCCAGAGTGATTTCAGGCCCGTGCTGTTGGGCCTATTGCTGTTTATGAGAATGTGATGTACGTGTGGTGGATGGAGGAGCTCTTGTGTATTGAGACTTTATCCAAGCAAATGTTGGCACAATCCCAAGCTTGTGCTGAAGTTTACTGTCCTGATGTATGGCTCGTGACTTTTTTGTCTCACCCTCAGTAATCCATGAGTCGCTGGAAATGCTTTATTTTGCCGAAATGTTCCAAGTCTTATTTTATTTAACCGGGGGACAGTGTCTTATCCGCAAGATTGGACCTGGGTCTCATGTGACATTGCCTTCTCCGCCTGCGATTTCAAGGTTTTGGCGTGGCAGAAAACAAGGCGGTGATGTCGCTCGTGTCGGGGCTGCCCCTGGGTCCGCCACGTGCTCCACTGCTCAATCGCTCTCCAGAATCCTTCTTGATCCCGGCGAGGCTGGAGCTGGAGCGTGCGGGATTCCTTAAACAGTGACACCAGCGACGACCTGCATCACTCTCATTTTATTCCAAACAAACCATGTCGACTGAAAAGTGGAGTTGTGCATACACGATCGAATAGCTCTCTTGTGTGTTTTCAAGTTGTTCGACGTTTCAGAGCATCTTCAGTTCCTGCACGTCGGAAGTTATGCCAAAAAACACGCGATGCTGTACGACCCGAAACCACATTGGAGAGCTATACAGCATAACCGAGAAGAGCTGCACAATTATTATTTCAAGGGAGTATTGCTGAAGTTTTTGCATAAACATTTTCAGGAGTATTTTTGTTATGACTTGATTAATATTAAAATTTGAATATTTGATTAAACAGTATAATTGATGATAAGCATTCAGAGTTGTGTTTGAATGGGGTGCCACAAATGTACAATTTACAAAAGTAAGTCTGTAGACTTTCTGGACTCATTGTGACTTCCTGGGTCCTCTGATGATGTTCAATGTAATTTCAAATGGAATGCTAGATTTGGATGTAAGAATCGCTCTTACCGGTGTGAGCGGAAACTAACAGTTGTCACGATTAAAGCTTGTGTACTTGACAATTTTGCTGTGTCGGGTGGTGAAGGGTCTTTATTACGCATCAGATAATTGCATGGCCTAACCTAAGCATCTATTATGAACTGTGGTGGTGTGGTGAGGATAGCTGTGATGATTACGATGGAAAATCAATGTGAATTAACCATCACTCCTGTCATCACCACGGCCACTCCTAAATTCTCAGCACCAGCATCACTACAATCTTCACCGCGATCGCTACTATCCTGGCCACCGTCACTACTATTCTCACTTTCTCTGTTGAAGTTAATGGCATCCGTTCGCTTGAACAGCTGGGGTCTGTTGTCTTGATAAGCGTTGACCTCTGTATATGGCCTCATCTTAAGCCCCATTAATAGCGAAGTCGTTGGAAATATGGTGGATCCATAATTGCTGGATCCAGGAATTGATAGATACAGGATAGGTGAGAGCGACTCAAAAGTGTTGACCAGGTCGGAGAAAATCGTCTGTCTGGAGCTTACCCCCGACCCCCATGTAACCACTCTCCACCACAGTAGTGTAAATGTGTACACCACATTAGATTGGCATGTTGCATGTGGTGTGTTAGTGTGGCTACTCCCACCCCTTCCAAGACATCTTGCCAGCGTGTTGAAGTTGTCCAAAATATTTTCTATCGGGGTATTGAGCTGCCTCTCGTGAAGGCCCGTCCGCCAGCAGTGGCGTGAACGAGCACTTGCATGGCTGCGTCTGTACTCGTGGCCTGTACTTACATACTTTTAAATGACAGGAACTAAATAAACAATACATCTCCACATTTCCATACCTCTACATTTGTTTAACACCTCTCATCAGAACTTTTTGCGAGTGCGTAACGTCAGCAGGATTGGTTTAACACATTTTGTGTCTCATCAGCAGAATCAGGTTGATTTGAACCAATTCTGGTGAACTGCCAGGTGTTCATAGGCAAGGATCTTCGCGCATATATGAGCCCTGATTCTCTGCAGAACTCGAATACACAACACAAATATTAAGTTTAACACGTCGGCTTTCGCGACCAAAATAAAGGTTACGCGATATAACCAAAACAACGTTTATTATGGACAAAATCAGAAGCCTCATTACTTATATTCTCCACAAGGACACTTTATCACTTTCTTAGGATCTGCGTTGGCAAGACATTGTGGCTGCAACTTGACATTTTACTGAATGTTGTAATCTGGGCCATCCCCTTGGGCCATCTCCTCGGCACCACAGGCCACACAGTTTGCTGCGTGTGCAGTAGGGGGCGCAGAAGGTTCACGCAGAGGCGGGCTCAACAACATTGAATCATGAACGTCTTTGCGATATCTCAACCCATACGGTTTACCCGTATTCTAGTACAGGGAAATTTTATTTTTAGGTCCATACGGTGTACAGCCGTTTCAATACGGGCACATGTTTTTGTCTATTTGTGTTTTTCCCTTGTGATGGGACTTTGTAGGATGAACGTTGAGATGTATACGGGCACGGGGTGACCAATAAGGTCTAAATTGGTCTGTAATAAGTTGGCACTGATAAGGGGTTGATCGGTGTGGGATATCAGCAACAACACGTTTTAAACCAGGACACGAACTTGTAAGAAGCACAGCCATTGCGCATATGTAAAAAAACAGCATTAGTGGCTCTAGTTTTCTGATTAATCCTAATTGGAGCGAAACCTGTCCACAGTTGTCTGTCACTGCATCACCGAAGCTTCCTGTCGGTCACATTTGCCCAGATTCATTTGGACGATGACTTCAAACAAGAGGCACCAAACGGCACTTGAACTGCTGATGGTTTGTTGCATGTGCACAGTGGCGGTGGGTTGTTGTGCGCGAGGTGTGTGTTGTGTGAAACTTCATCGCTGCAGCTTTGTGGCGGATGGCGGCGTGGCAGATGTACCAGGTCCCCCCTACCGCTGCCTTCGCCCGGTATTTGGAGAACTCCCGTGTCAATGGTGCTTATGCACGCCCGTGATACAGAACAGTATCGGCAGCGATGGTTGGATCACAGACATTCGTGAAACTCCCTACCCATGAGCGTCGAGGTCACCATCGCGTGGCTTGCCACAGCACAGAAAGATTAATTTCCGCCTGCACGGGGATTGAATGTTATGCTGCCCCCCCCCCTTGGGCAATTGTTGCTGCTGGTTCTGGCTGAATGATTCTCAGTGGTGAGGGTGAACGATGTCTCAGCATGTTACAAATCCTGAATGTTAAATTAAAACTCAGGGGCGAGTGCTGGCCGTGTTTGGTGTTCGGGCACCAGTACCCCGCATCCCACTGAGCCGGCCCAGCCAGCTGACGGCTCCGTGAGCCCGAGGCTCCGATCCAGCGTCGCTCCGACGAAGAGCGGCTCAGGGTCGCGCCTGGGCTAATGGTCGCTCAGGTATGGGCACCACGGTGGCAAGAGTTAACCACCTCGCCTGGTATGCAGAAGGTAGTGGGTTCGATCTGGACCCTGACGCCTGCTGCTGTATATTTGGAGGTTGCGTGTCTCTCTCTCATCATCATCATCATCACGGTGGCTAGGAGATGTTAACTACCTCGCCTGGTATGCAGAAGGTAGTGGGTTCGATCCGGACCCTGACGCCTGCTGTATATTTGGAGTTTGCGTGTCTCTCTCCCCGTGGTCGCGTGACATTTTCTCTGGGTCCTCCGGTTTTTTCCCCTTCACATTTAGAATCACGCGTTTCGAGTATTTGGCCGCTGTATATTTCCAAATAAGGCACTTCTTTGAGCTATCATTTGTGACCAGGTCGCTTCTGAAAAAGAGCTATATAGCTCAGTGGGCCTTACCTGATGAAATAAAATATATAGATTCATTAATGTAGACGTAACTAGAGACGTAGATGAGATTAATTTGTGAATCGCCCGCTACGTTTTTAACGATTTAGAGTTTGAGCTGACATTTGCTTAAATGAGTCTTGTTTCCTGAAGTAGAAAAGTGATCATTTGAGTTTCACTGAGCATGGTCGCCTCCATCCGAAGTTGTATCCGCATGAGTGAAACCAATATTGTTCTCAGAGCCGAGTGAAGTTGTGTGAAATCAATTCGAATGCGATGATATGTTTGTGCGGTCACTGATATCTGGGTTCAGACCATCGACTCGCTGCACATGAAAACCCAGTTTCATCACAGACAGTGGCTGAAACAGATTCGAAACCAGGATCTCGGCGGTGCCGGCTCAGCGCTCTGACCTCTGAGCGACCCCACCACCTCAAAGTTGTTTTCATCTTTAGGGCCTTAATAACAACTATGCTCTCGCACCTCCCACGACACTGATCTCTTCAAACATCTTTGGAACGTCGGTCAGTGGTAAATGCACTTCTCTGCAGGCTTTTGACAACCTACAAATACACTCCAGGAGCATTGCTCTCTTCACACGATCATATTTGCCTCAATGTGGCTTTGTAGATCGCTGTTTAATGGCCTGCTGCCTCAGCGGTAGGCCGAGTGGCTCGCAATCGGAAGACTTGCGAGTTCCAGTCCGAGTTGGAGGTTGATGTAACCCAGCATCCCTCTGGCGTCGATTAAATGAGCGCCACTCTGGGCAGTTAAAACAGTAGTCGTCCTATACACTCACTTGCGCCAAAGGAATGTGGAATTTCAACCACTGGCTTAGGGCTGTAAACAGGAGAGGAACGTCAATGCCGTAATGCTCAGTGAGCAGGGAATCAGGTGGATTATTGCCGATTATTAGTTTCAGAGGAACCTCTATACCAGTTGCTTTCTTGCTCTTAACTCTAGACTATGCACTGCGTATGAGATTAGCTGCCTAATGAGATGGGCGCATCCTAGGTGGCCTGGTCATGGACTGTGTCATCTCCGTCAGGATGTTACTGCTGGGATATTTAGACACCCCGTTTAAAAAAAAAATACGTCTCGAACATTGTCTTCCACACCTCTCTCGCTCGGGACCGGAGGTGTCTTTACACCCCGGGGTGATGGGCACCGGTGTCGTTTCACCCTGCCGCGTTGTACCACCGCCCTCGTAGAGCACGCACGCTGGCCCCAGCCGCCTGCGTAGCCTCCGCCGTCTCATCGTCCGTCTCGCAATCTCCGATCTGCCGCAAGTGGCTTCCTCGTCCTCCTCGACAAGCCCAGCTCTTGAACCAGACGAGACGAATGTGGCGTCTCGGTCGCCTGGAATGGACTCCCTGACTGCGCTCTCCCTGAGGCGTCGTCCCCTTCTGTGGGAATCTCAAAACTCCTTCCTCCTCAGCTATCTTCCGTGCCTCTGTCCTTTAACGTTCAAATTGCGCGCGTCATAAATGCACTGAATACCCATAGGTATCCCGAACGGACTCTGCGTCTGCGCTCTGTGTCTGTACCTGGTTGAGGTGGCCGGCCAAGACCTGGTGTAGTAGCTCACTGCTCTGGCTGCAGTCGCCACGTCCTCACTTGGTGGCTCTGCCTCCGATGAGGGTTACTCAACAACACACGGTCTCCCGCTGGCCGGCCGCCAGAGAGTACAGAGGCCTGATCCCATTGGGGTGTTTTGAGAGGAAGGCTGCGTCATCGACAGTAGTGTAGTCTGAGTCAACTATTCTCCAAGCAGACGATGTGTGGGGGCATTGTTGAGGCCACGTTCGGGAGTTGGGTGGCCTCTGGCATTATTTTCTCGTCTCGTGCTGTGCCGATTAATAATTGCTCTACTGTGCCTTACAGGAAGTTCCAATTTCCAATAATCATAGCTCTTCAAAGTATTTTATTTACAATGACAGCCGCCGTTCGTCACTAAGTGGCAGCGACGTCACCACAACGCCAGGCTAGGTACAAGTTGTACGTTGGTTGAACTTCTTTCGCACCGTATGTAGCCAACCGTGCTAATCGGAGGTGCGGGGGAAGGACAGCAAACTAAACACAAAAAGCAGTTCTAAAGAAATAACTTTTCCATCCAGATGTAAAAGTCCATAACTCCAGTAGCTTCCTAATATCAGAAGGAAGAGCTTTCCAGACGGACGCAGAAGCGCATCTGAAAGCGCGCGATGCAGTGGCCGTCTTTGTTCAATGGATACCCGAAAGCCGCTGCGAGGATGACTGAAGTTCGTGTGAATGATCAGAGTTTGTGGCCACGTGGAGCGCCCAAGGCTCGCTGGCAGGAGGTCACGGGAGAGACCCAGGTGCCATGGGTCGACTGAGATGGCTGGCAGATGAACGGCCTCTCCGCTAGATTTGAGCATCGCTCCTCTGCTGTCCGTTGTGTTGGTGTAGGGCGACTATCTCTAACCAACCAGTCATTAGCGTCCTTCACGAGCCCTCTCCATAGAGGCCGTTCTTTAAACCGCTGGTGCCGGTGTACGACAAGTCCACTCGGCTCCACATCCTCCTGTACCACATCAGTCCATCTCTTCTCCAGCCCGTGCCGCTCCCGTTGAGCCTCCTTTATCCGGCCAAACAGAAGCAGTTCAACACGTGGGCTTTCGCGACCAATCTCATCCATGATAGAGGTTTTTTTGGGTTAGATCGCGTAAATATATAAATGTGTCGTTAAACCCCGCCACCACCCGACACACGTTCTCGTGGCGACCCTTACGAGTTGCCTGTGTCGTGTGGTGGCGGGTTTTAACGACAAACAGAAGCAGCTTAGTGGACATCCGCTGGCCGGGCATGGGAATTTCCGCAACACCCAGGGTATCATCGACGCCACTTCTGTTCGTAAACCACCATGGAACAAGCAAACAACCGCCTCCCGTGCCTTCGCAGAGACTGCGCCTTCCCTGTCCACGACGGTCTACGCGGACTGTCGGCGCGATCCGCCGCGCGTGCTCGCGATGTTGGTGAACGCGCGGCCGCGCAGACGCAGGAATGCGCTCGCGCCGGTTTCTCGCCGCGGGGAACGCCCGCGGGGAGGGGAGTGGGGGGGGGGTCTCTCTCAATCGCTTCTCTTCCAACCCCCCCCCCCACCCCCACCCCACCCCTTCTGTCGGCGCGTTACTCGCAACGGGGAGGTGACAGGTGCCTGCCGACTTGAATTAGCCGAGCGCGATTGCGCCGCCGCTGTCATCCGGCGCTCATCATTGGATCGAGCGGCTTGCGCAGTTGCATAACCCGAATGCGCCCCCACCCTCCAGCACGTCGTTAGCACCCGAGCCTTCGCCTGGATACCACACCGAGACCGGAGACCACCCCCCCACCCCCCCCCCCCGCCGCCTTCACTCGCATCCACGGTCTTCGTATGTCGCTCCAACGACCGCCTCCCTCTACTCCTCCTGCCCTGCACCGGTGGCATCTCTCCCAGCGTTCGTGATCACCTGGATATTCCAGGTTATGCACAGGTGCCGTGACCGCCCATCACCTGGAACGAGCGGGTGGGAGTCGCGGCGCTGGGCCGGGGAATCCGAGCGTCAGGGATTTCTGTGTCTGAACACAGCAGGGCGTGCGTGACGGTATTTTTAATAAAAGCAACCGCACTCCTTTCCATCGCTCCCTCTCCCTCCCCACAACCCTCCTCACCCCCCCACCCCTCTCCCTACCGCTCGCTCGTTCCTCCTCCCCCCTGAGCTACTGCGCTACGCGCCCGCCCTGGCAGCCAGCGCGCAGCACGCACCTTGCCGGGTCCATCCCACCGGGGTGATGGGAGCCCTGCAGAGGTGGGGGGGGGGGCCTGCAGAGGTGGGGGGGGGGGGGGGCCTGCAGAGGTGGGGGGGCCATGCAGAGGTGGGGGCCCTGCAGAGGTGGGGGGCTCTGCAGAGGTGGGGGGGCCCTGAAAACGTGGGGGGGGCCTGCAGAGGTGGGGGGACTCTGCAGAGGTGGGGGGCTCTGCAGTGGTGGGGGGGCCCTGCTGAGGTGGGAGGCCCTGCTGGGGTGGGGGGGGCTCTGCTGAGGTGGTGGGGGGCTCTGCTGAGGTGGGGGGCTCTGCAGAGGTGGGGGGGGCTCTGCTGAGGTGGAGGGTTCTGCTGAGGTGGGGGGCTCTGCTGAGGTGGGGGGCTCTGCAGAGGTGGGGGTTTCCAAGGGAGGGGTTCGGAGGGGTCTGTAAGGGAGCGCTGTGGTAGGGGGGCGGGGTTGTAAAGATTGGGGTGGTGGAGGGTGGAGGGAGAGGGGTTGACGCCTGTGGGTGGGAGAAGGGGAGGGGTGGAGGATCCACACAAAACTTGGCTACGGAGCGGGGGGGAGGGAAGCGAGGCGGCCGCCCTGAGAGTGGCGCCCTTCTCCCTCCCGACCCTTCTCCCTCCCTCCCGACCCCGCTCGCTCGCTCAACTCAGACGCCGGGAGAGGAGCCCAGAGGCTCAGCAGTCGCCTGGGCAGTGGAGGCACGACCCGCGAGAAGGAGCGAGACGGTGAGCGCGGCCCCAGCCCTCCGGTTTCACTCGCCCAACTCTCTCCTCGCATCCTCCTCCTCATCTTCGTCTGCTCGCCCAGAAGCCCCACTCCTGCATGGAGGCGACTGCACCGATGTCCCCCCTCCTTGTGCTTCCATTCTGTGCATCTTCTCTACTCGCGTTCACTTGCCTCGCATCTCGCTCCACGCATCCTCCCATCTCACCCTCGGGCTCCCTCCAACGTGTACCCTGTGCCGGTGACGTCTCCAGACATCGCGTCTCATCTACGACGCTCTGCTAGAGTCTACGGGTCCCTCACTCTGTGGGTCTCTGTGTGAGTCGATTGGTCGTTGTATGAGTTTGTAGGTCTGTGTGTGTCTACGGGTCTCTGAGTTTGCGGGTCTCTGTGTGAGAATATGGGTCTTTGTATGAGTTTATGGGTCTGTGTGTGAGTCTACGGGTCTCTGAGTCTATGGGTGTCTGTGTGAGTATATTTATGTCTTTCTGTGCGAGTCTATAGGTCTTTGTATGAGTGTGCGGGTCTCTGTGTGAGTCTGCGGGTGTCTGTGTGAGTATATTTATGCCTTTCTGTGCGAGTCTATGGGTCTCGAATCTCCATAGCGCTTCTAATTGCCCCCCGCCTCCTTTAAGTCTTCTCAACACGTACCCAAACCATCTTAAATCTCTCCTCCACGACCTCCTCTTCCTGCACGTTTCCCGGAGACGCGTTTCCAAATCGGCATTCGCATCGCCGCGCTCGGATCGCGCTGCGTGCAGACCTCTCCTCCGTTACCCGCGTGGCCGTCGCTCCCCCCTCCAGGATGACGAACTCTGCCCCCCGATGGTGCGGTGCTCGTGTCGCGCAGAATCTTTGCCGCGATTCCGCGAGTCGCATCAATCCGTGTCGTCTCCATCCGCGGGGCACAGCACCCAACCACCCACCCGCCAGTGTGCGCAGCAAAATATTTGTATAACGTGCAGCCCATTGTACATCCACTGCTGGATGGAGGTCTCCCCACGCCGTGTAGATCGTGGGGGTTACTTGACGCATACTCCATCCCACGCCAGTCCGTGCGGGCTGTGGTGAAGGGGAGAGACTCAGGCCCGGTTCAGATGTCACTCGTCATCATTCATCTGAGCCGTGGCCGGGAAGCGAACTCCAGTATCCAGGTTCAAAGCGCAATGCGCTAACCGTTGCGCGACCGCTCCAGCCCCAACAATGAGCTGTGATGGCCAATGACGACCGTAGATAGACGCAATCACTGCCTGATGTCCTTCCCCGCACCTCCAATTAGCACGATTTGGGTACGTACGGTGCGAACGAAGTTCAACGTGCATACATCTCGCCTTTGGAGTGGCACGTACTGGCGTTAGTTACTCCACGCTCAGCGGACTCCGCGTCTGGTTCGTCATCTCTGCCCTTGCAGCTGTGCGCGGGGTAGGTTGTGCGCTGTGGCGTCTTCATCTCAAAGGAGCCTCGATGCCATGGCACCCGGTGCGCGCCCCCTGTCCACGCCGCTCCCTGGCGGGGACAGGGCGCGCTGCCTGGTTCAGCGCCGCGCGCGCACGGAGCGGTGGCGCCGTGGTGAGCGCGCACCGCGCTCTTGCGTTCCCAGCCGCCCGCGTTATTAGAAGAACATTTCGTGCCGCGCGAATCGCCAGTGGTGGTCGCTGTTGACCCGAGCAGAGCCGACTCCGGGCGCACGCCGCTGCGGTGCTGTCGGCCACGGGGCCGCGCGGCGGAGTCGCGGCGAACGCCAAGCACTCCGATCGCACAAAACAAAGCTGTCTCTTGCACGAGCTCGACCATGCTGATGAGAGACGAAATGTCGAAACCGCTCTCGAGTTTGTCGTGTTAAATCAATGCCGCTGATCACTCCGAGAAAGAAGGCTGTGTGGTTGATGGGATGCGTCAAAGATTCTGTTCTTTTTTTTTCACGTGGAGAGACGGGCGTGTGAATGAGGTGTCTTGTCCGCTTGGTTATTTTGCTCGGATCGACGCACGTGAGTGTGGGGCGGTGACGCAGACTAACCCGACGACTTGGCCTCAATTCCCGGCCACGGCTAACATCAGTGGCGAATGCTACCTTCAGTGGGTGGCGACCTGCCCGCGGGGTGTGTTGTTACCCATCAGCGCTGGGTGTGGTGCTGACCACACCGCCTCTTCGTGCGCCGTATCGGACTTAATAGGTGCTCGCTAATCGCAGATCAATGATATTCAAACTGGTATGTAAGTGGGCTTTAGCAGGACGTCTCGCTAGAAGAGGGGTGATGGCCGATAATCAGAACTGTGGTCGGAGCGGCAGCCAAAGAATGGACCGCGGCTGAGAAGACGTCCACCCAGAAGGTGGAGGCGCGTGTTTAGAGGTGCCAGGTGGATTGTTATACATCGCAGGGACCGTGGGCGATGATGATGATGATGGTGGTGGTGTAGAACGCAAATGTATTCATGAAAATATGAGCTCTTGTAAAAGAAAATGAACCTATGCAAAACCACGTGGTCTGTCACGTTAAAATCCTGGCAGCCGTCCGTGATGAAGCAAGGTTCTCAAGTGTTGTGAGCTGATGATAATGAACAGCACTTTCCCAAGCAGTCTGTAAGGCTCCATGGGGGATCTTTGTCTTTGTGTGCATGCAGACTGTGCAGCGGCGACAACAGAACCACCACCACCTCCACCACCACCTACACGATGTCTGTGGCGTCGATCTCCGCGCTCGCCCTAATCCTGCTCGCCACGCAGCCCGCGCCCCCCGTCTCTGCGCAGGGTGAGCGGGGCCCACGGGGCTCCACGGGGGTCTAGAGGGGTCAGCATGGGTCAGCAGGGACGTCGCGTCCCGCCCTGCTGACTCCCCCCCCCCCCCTAGACCGCGGGGGGGAGGGGTACGATGGGGGCTGGCGGTGTGGGGTGGAGTGCGCAACACGAGCGGCGTGGAGCCGACCGTGAACTATGCACGTGCGTCGTGTACACGTGTTTGTGTGTACACGTGCGTCGTGTAAACGTGTTTGTGTGTACACGTGTTTTTGTGTACACGTGTTTGTGTATTTTGTGTAGGTTTGTGTACACGTGTGTGATTGTGTACGCCTGTGTGTGTACATGTATTTGTGTATTTTGTGTAGGTTTGTGTACACGTGTGTGATTGTGTACGCGTGTGTGTGTACATGTGTTTGTGTATTTTGTGTAGGTTTGTATACACGTGTGTGTTTGTACGAGCGAGCGCCGAGGATCAACGCGTGTGTGTGTACGCAAGAGTGAGTGTGTGTAGGTGTGAGTATGAGCAAGGTTGCGTGTGTAAATAGGTTGTGCGTGTCAGTGTGTGTGTGCGCGTGTCAGTGTGTGTGTGCGTGTGTGATTGTGCACGCTGCACGCGACGAAACCGCGGCACACAAACACACTCAGCTCCCCAAACGCACACTTTCCTGGAAGCAAGAACAGGAGCTAGAGTCTTGGCAAGCGGACATCGCGGTGCGTGTGTGGGGGGTGGTGCTTGCGTGGGACGGCGGTCAGTGCGCGGTTCGTGTGTGGGAGGAGCGGTACATGCGTGTGGGGGAGGTGCGTGTGGGGAGCAGTGCGTGTGTGGTGGGGGGTGGGGGGGAGTGTGTGGGTGTTAGTGGTGGTGAGTAGGGGTTGGGTGTTGGTGGGGGTGGGTGGGGGGGTGAGTGAAGGTGAGTGGGGGTGAGTGTTGGGGGTGAGTGAGGGGGGTGAGTGAGGGTGAGTGAGGGTGAGTGGGGGGTGAGTAGGGGTGAGTGTTGTGGGTGAGTGGGGGGGTGAGTGGGGGGTCAGTATGGGTGAGTGAGGGGTGAGTGTTGAGGGTGAGTGAGGGTGAGTGTTTGGGGTGAGTGAGGGTGAGTGGGGGTGAGTGGGGGTGAGTGAGGGTGAGTGGGGGTGAGTGGGGGGTGAGTATGGGTGAGTGGGGGTGAGTGGGGGTGAGTGTTGGGGGTGAGTGGGGGGTGAGTGGGGGGTGAGTGAGGGTGAGTGTTGGGGGTGAGTGAGGGGGGGGGGTGAGTGGGGGGTGAGTGGGGGTGAGTGGGGGGTGAGTGGGGGTGAGTGTTGGGGGTGAGTGGGGGGTGAGTGTTGGGGGTGAGTGAGGGTGAGTGAGGGTGAGTGGGGGGTGAGTAGGGGTGAGTGAAGGTGAGTGGGGGGTGAGTAGGGGTGAGTGTTGTGGGTGAGTGGGGGGGTGAGTGGGGGGTGAGTATGGGTGAGTGAGGGGTGAGTGTTGGGGGTGAGTGAGGGTGAGTGTTGGGGGTGAGTGAGGGTGAGTGGGGGTGAGTGGGGGGTGAGTGAGGGTGAGTGGGGGTGAGTGGGGGTGGGTATGGGTGAGTGGGGGTGAGTGGGGGTGAGTGGGGGGTGAGTGGGGGTGAGTGAGGGTGAGTGGGGGTGAGTGGGGGGTGGGTATGGGTGAGTGTTGGGGGCGAGTGGGGGTGAGTGGGGCGTGAGTGGGGGGTGAGTGGGGTTGAGTGGGTGTTGGGGGGTGAGTGGGGGTGAGTGGGGGGTGAGTGTTGGGGGGAGGGGTGAGTGGGGGGGCTTGAAACGCCCCGGGGAGGGGGAGGAGGAGGAGGGTGCAATCATCGCGGGGTTTGGACCCTAAACTGTGGATCCGGAGTCTCGTCGCCTGCTCACCCTCACGGCTCCTCCTCCTCCTCCATCACCTGGTGAGTCCGCGCGCTGCCGATGAGACACTCAACACCGCGTCCGGGACTCCACCTCAACAAATCCGCGCCGGTGTCGCCAAGATCAGAGCCGCGGAATCCGCGACGCCTCTCTCGGCGGGACGCAGCGCGCGGCGATGGTGGGTGGTGGTGGGTGGTGTTGGGTGGTGGGTGGTGGTGGTGGGTGGTGGTGGGTGGTGGGTGGTGGAGTGGAACGCAGCGCCCCGGGGGGGAGGGCAGAGCGCGAGTGGGCGAGAGACTTGGGGGGACAGAGCGCGCTCGCGACTCACATCCCTGCGGTGGGCAACACTCGGGCAATGTGTTGGCACGTTCGTGCCCGCCCACACCCCCCACTTTAAACAGAGCGTGGAGCTGCAGACGTGGACCAGGTGACGCCCGCGGAGAAGTGCTGAGGTCGCTATCGGACGCTTTCGAAACTGCGGTCACGCCATCGGAGGGGTTCCTGCGTCCAGGGTGCTAGAGCCTCACAGAGGGTTGGGATAGAGGGCGGCAGGAGGACATCGGGTTCCATGAATCGACTTAAACAGAGAACCATAGACCCACGTAGAGACCCATTGACTCAGAGACTCGCACAGAGATCCATACGCTAACGCAGAGACTCACGGTGACCCATATAGTTACAGAGACCCATTGACTCAGAGACCCGTAGGCTCACACAGAGACAGACTAACAGAGATCCATAAACTTACACAAAGCCTATAGACTTACACAGAACCGATAGACTTAACAATACGGTACTATAATAATAACAACGGAAGAAACACAATTACCGTATAAAGTTACAGGAATGTAAGATCGCGATAATTTTCATATCGCAAATATCGATACTGTTTATCGAAGTCGACCGGTAGGTCACGCGTGGTGGGGTAAAGCGTGGGTCCTCCCACGCCATAGAAGACGTCTGATCAGCGTAGGACAAGAGTAGGACAAATACCTTGCACAGGGGCTCTATGCTGCACCAGCAGTGGCGCGATAAAAGCACTTGCGGGGCTGCGCCTTTACCCGAGAAAGGGCACGAGGTGCGCTGGACATCCGGCTGTGAGGGCGCCACGGTGGCTAGGAGACGTTCACTGCCTCGCCTGGTCTACAGGAGTCGTGAGCTTGATCCCGACCGTGACGCATGCTGCTGCTGTATATTTGGAGTCTGCAATGTCTCTCCCCGTGGTCGCGTGGTTTGTTTCCTCCGGGTCCTCCGGTTTTTCCCTCCACGTTTAGAAGCACGCGTGTAGAGTGTTTGGTTTGTATATGTTTCCACGCGATAAGCCACTTCGTTGAGCTATCATTTGTGATAGTCAGGTCACTTAAAAAAAAGAGCTAACTAGCTCAGTAGGCCTTTCCTGCTAAAATAAAAGAGAGAGAAACGCAGCGAGAGAGAGAGAGACGCAGAGAGCGAGAGAGAGAGATGCAGAGAGCGAGAGAGAGACGCAGAGAGCGAGAGAGAGAGACGCAGAGAGCGAGAGAGAGCGAGAGACGCAGAGAGCGAGAGAGAGCGAGAGACGCAGAGAGCGAGAGAGAGACGCAGAGAGCGAGAGAGAGCGAGAGACGCGCCGTTCCTGGAGAGGGCGGCTTCCTAGAAGGCGCAGGGGATTGCGTCATCTTCGCTCCCCACGCCAAGCGAGGCCCTGCCACTGGGGGGCTACGAAAGCAGGAGGGGGTTTGGGTGAGGGGCAGGGAGGCGGATGGGAGTGCGGTCGCTGTGGGAGTAATACGAAGGGATCCTGAGTCAGCTCGGGATGGAAGTGTAGATGCACCTCGTCGTCGTCGTCATGATGCGTTATTTATACCACCACAGTAGATGAGGTATTTGGGATAATTAGGAAGGAAGTGGGTGCAGAACAAAAATACCACACAGACATTGTGGTAGACAGTCATGGGCGGCACGTGACTCCTAGTCGCCACCGTGAGTGGTATACTGGATGCGGTGTGCTGAGTGCGGAGATATTTTCCAGGTCGCTGACCTGGACAGACCCGGCTGAGATGAAGCCCTGGACGGAGGTGTGGGCCGGGGGGTAGAGGGACGGGAGGGCGAGACGCCGTGATTTGAGGGCGGCGACACAACAGGAATCTGCTCGGAGCGGAGGAATTCTCCCCATGGGTGGTCGCGGGGGCGGGCGGAGGGGCATGGGGGGGGGCGGTGGTAGTGGCGGGTTGTGAGGCTTTGGTGGTGCTGGCGGTGGTGGTGGTTGCACGGTGGCTGCTAATGGTGGTGGTGCTCGCGGTGGTGCTGGCGGTGGTAGAAGCGATGTTGGTGGTGCTACTGGTGGTGGTGCTATTGGTGGTGGTGCTGGTCACTGTTGTTGAGCCGTCTTCCCACACTCTCCGCCTCGCTTCGTCACACGGTGGGAGCCCCGGGCTCGTCACGATGGCAGTGTTTACTTTGACCCACTTGTCACCAGCAAAAGCCAAACGCAGGCAAAATTCAAAGGCGCGCCACACAAATTGGTGGTAGGGTTTTGTGATTTGGCGTTGTGGCCATCTATTGTGGTTCCCGGTCAACTGAAATTGGTATCCGGTGCCCGTCTCTATCACAGCGGGCTGCCACTGAACGCTGATTTTATTAAAACTCGATTGCTTCGCCAACCAAAACGCGCGTGCACACGCGTGGTCGTGTCACGGCGCACATTTCAGATGCATCCACAAAGTTGTGAAATCGCTGCAGTCCACGTGCAAAGAGAGCACTCCCCTTGGCGGTCAGCTGGCTCAACAGGGGGCCCTGGGCGAGTCGAGGCGGCAGCTCCAGCAGCCCAACCCCACCCCCCCCCCTTAAGGGAGGAGGAGGCGGTCTGGGCTCCCCATCCCTGTGGGCAGGGGCGCACACCCGTGGGGGCCAAAGAGCTGTCACACAAAGTCACTATTGTTTGGGAAACTGAATTGAATGATATTAAAAATACGTTTTCAATCTTTGAATATTAAATGTATCTCTAATTAATGGACGTAAAAGACGTATCCCTTTGAATCACAATTTCGTATTCATGAAAAATCTCACAAATGGTCCGTGGCTTACGACGGCCTTCTCAACGTATTTCGGGTGAGGAGGTGGGGCAGCTGCGCCTGTCACCGTCCCCCAGTGTGCGCCCCCGTGTACCCTGCCACTTGCTCACTCGCACAGCTCCTCGTGGGCGGTCAGCTAGAAACTCGCTACTGCTGCCAGCGTGACTGTGGCCCGTGTCTCCCGTGTCGCCTTGAGTCTGCCGTGACTCCCGAAGTCTTCGCTGCTGGTGGTTGATCGTTGTTCGCCGCTTTTAGCTGCTGCCGCGTGCCTTGTGTCCCGCGTGCAGTGAGGCCGCCCGTGAACCTGCGCTTCAAGGTGCTGTCGGGCAGCAGCGTGCGGGTGCTGTGGCGCTCGCCGCGCGGCTCTCTCCTGGGCTACAGGCTCCACGTGCTGCCCACCAACGGTGCGATCGCGCATGCACGCGAGCGATGTGTTCACGGATTTCGGAATAGTTGGGAATCCCACGGAGGTGACATCATTCTCACGACGGCACATCTTCAGATGAAACAGAATGTCCCAACATTTCACGTCTCGGTCAGATTTTGGATTTACCGCAATAATTTGGCAATTAACACGTCTCTACTCCCTGCACAAAGGCACAGATGCCCCGTATAGCCTACGCAGACTGGGAGGGCAAATTATGTAAGTGTGTAGCACACGTGCAGCAATCTCACGAGCGGTGCGGCAGGACTGGGAGTGCCCTGCACGACTGCCGCACACACTCCAGTTAATCCGCACTCCGATCCCCAAATCGCTCACCTCCCAGCCCGTGTGCCCACACGTTTAGCAAACTCTGGCCAGCTCTCGTGCTAACGGGGACAAACACGTTCAGGTGGAGGTAGAAGTGAGGTGTGCCTATGCCGAACTAATCTACAGCGTTCCCCATCTGTACGCGAGGCAGCGTTGTGGTTTATCGAACCGGTTACTGAGCACAAGAGCCCAAAGGTCACCGTCACATCAGGCCGCCTACCACTTGGAAAAAGGGCCGTCAGCAATATTTATTTGTCTCAGCCGCACTCATCGGGTGCCAGAGGGGGACGTGTTTGCGCTGGCAATTCCGTGTTTCTAACATAAGCGTGCTCGGTCACGCGTTGAAGCCGTTTGAACGCACAGGCGATACCCACAGTCCCTGTGTGATCAGAGCGTCGGCTAACGATGGAGCTCGCCATCGCTCTCTGTGAAAGCTTCACTTAAACTCAACTATTTTTTTTGTATTTTACCAGGTAAGTCCCACTGAGCTACGTAGCTCTTTATCGCAAATGACTTGGCCACAAATGATAGCTCAACAAAGTGGCTTATGAAGTGGAAATTAATAGCAGCCAAATACTTTAAACGCGCGATGATGATTCTAAATGTGGCGGGAAAAAACCAAAGGACCCGGAGAAAAATCCACACGACCACAGGGAGAGAGAGAAAGACATGCAAACTCCAAATATATAAGCGTCAGGGTCGTGTTCATACCCACGACTTCCTGCAGACCGGGCGAGGGTGTTAACATCTCGCTACCGTGTCACCCCACGTGGGGGTCTCTGCCCGGTCCGTGTCCGCCGGCGGCTTTACAGGCGAGGCCGTGCGAGAGATCTCGCTCCCACGTGACGCCACGTACGCCGTCATCGAGGACCTGGTGCCCAGGACCAAGTACGTCGTGACCATGGTGGCGTACGACGCGTCGGGGGAGAGCCCGCCCGTCACAGGAGAGATCACACGTGAGTGTCCGCACACGCCAGGGTCATGGGACGGGGGGGGCACGGGGGGAGAGGGCGAGACAGACTTGACATCCTCCCCCTTCCAGGGATGTCTCACTTGGCGATCTCTGAGAACCTTAACTTCACTCCACGCGTGAGAACACGTGGGAAGACACGGAACACCTGGCAAATGGCGAATCGGCCTCACAATGCGACTGCAAGGGATAATTGGGCAAGTCCTTCCGACAACGTCAATCTGATTACCGGCCACAACTGACGTCAGCGCCGAGCGACATTCGAACTGGTTGAGTTCATCTGCACCATCCTGCACGGACCAGCATGGTGAAGTATGCTCAAACAACCTCCACGCCTGACACAGTGAAGAGACCCCTTCATCTAGCAGTAGATTGAGAAAGGCTGTACATTATATTTCCTGTTATACCAATGACAAACATTCCTCCGTTTGATGCCAATGAGCTCCCCGTTGCACGAATCGTCTTATAGAGCCCACACCGCTTCCCATGCACGTGGTGGTAGTGGCCATTGTGCACTTCACTTCTCCGCTGTGGGTGAAAACAAATCGTGCACTCTGCTGTTTTTTGCTCCAGGTTGCATCCCTCAGAGGCCCAAAAGCGTTCGTTCTCTCTCTCTCTCTGAACCCTGGGTCATTTTAACTGGGAAGCTGGTTTCCTGTGATTCGTATACATACTGTATATATGAGGAGAAAGCCAAGTTATATTGGAGGGATTATTCTTCTATTTAGGGCAGAATTTGTTCAGTCGGAAATTAAAACAACTATGATAGATGCGATGTTCAAATAGGAAATGAAGCTTCGAAACGGGAGCTGAGGCTCTGGAAGCTGTGCCTTAAAATACAAACACAAATTCCGAGGAGGATTCTTGAACGACGGCCATCCTCGTCTTCCACTGGACCGGCACAGCAACACAAAAAATCCCCCAACAAGTTAAGAGTTTGCGCTCACTAACAACAACAATAAAACCAACACGACGCCGTCCTGCCAAGCCCCGACTCGGCACAAACGCAGCCAAGGCCAGACAGCCTGGGCAGCTGAAAAAGGGAGTGCAGTGTTATGCTAGGGGTGCGTAGTAGCCCTCGGTGGCCCTTAGTAGCTCGCTGGTAGCTTCTGGTAGTCCCCAATAGCCATTAGTAGGCCCCTGGTAGCTTCTGGTAGCCCCGGGTAGCCCCGAGTAGTCTTTCTGGTAGTTTCTGGTAGCCCCCAGTAGCTCCTAGTACCCCCAGTAGTTTCTGGTAGCCCCCAGTAGTCCCCTCGGCAGCTTCTTGTAGACCCTCGTAGCCCCCAGTAGTCCTCCAGTAGCTTCTGGTAGCCAACGGTATCCCTTAGTAGTACCCCCCCCCACCCCCAGTAGCTCATGATAATCCCCGGATAGCCTCTAGTAGTCCCCCAAATAGCTTCTGGTAGCCCCTCGTAACCCCTCGTAGCCTCTGGGTCTCCTGGTGCATGGTGTGTATTGCTCCGGAGCTACTGCGAGACCTTGCATTGTGCCCTGCTGGAATGACCTGCAACCCCCACTTACCCTGCAAATCCATGTCCACGAGTGGTTGATTAATGCCGTTCGCTATAATTCGGAACATAATCGGCACCCCTTTGTCAGCCCATGTGTTTGTGACCATACTTCACCGGGCCAGTCAGTGGCGGGTTGGTGACGGGAGAGTCCCAGGACTGGTTCGGATATCGCTCGCCGCTGTTCTATACCATAACCGGCAGGTCACACGTGCACACACAAACGTGTACTATATATACACACATACACGTGCACAGGGCGCCGGGTTCACGATGTGTTCCATGGCTGTCGTTATGGAAGAGCTTTCCAAACAATTATCGTATTAACTTTAGGAATTTCGCAAAAGTGGCTTACCGTGTCATCTGGAATTATGCCGGCCACCCTGTGAATTAAGTAATTGTGCTAATTCCCTTGTAGTTGGAGAAAAATCCGACCCACAGCGAAGCGCACAATTGATTTTCTTCTAACATGAAGTGCAATTGGAAAAAATGCATCTAATTATTCAGAGAGAGAAAAACCATGGAGAGGAACCTGAATGTAGAATATTGCATTGGTAATGAAGGAGTAACTTGTTAAAGCACACACGAGCTGCCCCTGAGACTCACATCTGATGGGCCTCATACAGCCACAGAGATCACGTAGACGTGCTGACTGGAGCTGACACGTGCTGACACGTGCTGACACGTGCTGACTCGAGTTGACTCGAGCTGACACGTGCTGACTGGAGCTGACACGTGCTGACACGTGCTGACTCGAGCTGACACGTGCTGACACGTGCTGACTCAAGCTGACACGTGCTGACTCGTGCTGACACGAGCTGACTCGAGCTGACACGTGCTGACACGTGCTGACACGTGCTGACATGATCTGACACGTGCTGACACGTGCTAACACGTGCTGACATGATCTGACACGTGCTGACACGTGCTGACACGTGCTGACTCGAGCTGACACGTGCTGACTCGAGCTGACACGTGCTGACATGATCTGACACGTGCTGACACGTGCTGACACGTGCTGACTCGAGCTGACACGAGCTGACACGTGCTGACACGTGCTGACACGTGCTGACTCGAGCTGACACGTGCTGACTCGAGCTGACACGTGCTGACACGTGCTGACACGTGCTGACATGATCTGACACGTGCTGCCACTTGCTGACACGTGCTGACACGTGCTGACACGTGCTGATTCGAGCTGACACGAGCTGACACGTGCTGACACGTGCTGACACGCGCTGACACGTGCTGGCACGAGCTGACATCTGCTGACGCGTGCCGACATAATCTGACACGTGCTGGCACGAGCTGACACGTGGTGACACTCGCTGACACGTACCGGCACGTGCTGACATGTGGTGACATGTGGTGACATGCGGTGACATGTGGTGACACGTGCTGACACGTGGTGACACGTACTGACATGGGGTGACATGGGGTGACATGTGGTGACACGTGCTGATATGTGGTGACACGTGCTGACATGTGGTGACATGTGCTGACATGTGCTAACATGGGGTGACATGTGCTGACATGTGCTGACACGTGCTGACATGTGGTGATACGTACTGACATGTGGTGACATGTGCTGACATGTGCTAACATGTGGTGACATGTGGTGACGTGTGGTGACACGTGCTGACATGTGGTGACGTGTGGTGACGTGTGGTGACGTGTGGTGACACGTGCTGACACGTGGTGACGTGTGGTGACGTGTGCTCCATGATCGCAGTGGAGATGATGCGCCCGGGGGGAGCCCGAGGAGGCACCGAAACAGGCGCCTCGCCAGAAGAGATGTCCGTCTCACAAGGTGAGTCGCTCGGCTGCTGCTCGCCTCCACCTGCAGCCGCCGCTACTCGGCACGAAATAACATTGGGCTCGAGCGATAAACTCAGTGGGGCATCGATCCCCGGAGCCATGCAGGGTTGTGGGTAGGGCCTGGACGGGCAACCACCTTACTCAGCCGCGCTGTTATACCGCGCAGACTGAGCGGCAGATGGCAGTGCGGAAAGACCCACCGTTGCACCGCGCTTCTATGGTCCCGCGCCGCGATTTCACCAACCCCGCACTGGTCCAATAAGCCGCTGCATCCAGCAGTGGATCGAACCGGGCCCCCCCCCTCCCTGTATGTAGCCCTAACAGGCTGTTGGGGCGTGGGCAGCACCACGCCCGGCCGCCTTTGTCTCCCCAGTGGTGATGTTTACACACCGCACCAGGTACTAATTTGAGGCTGAGTCGACCTAGGGGAGGCTGATCACCGGTTCAGATAATCGCTACAGGCGTTTCAATCGAAACTCGCACATCCGATTAGCACGGGTGGCTTATGTACGGCGCGAGAGAAGTGAAACAATGCGAACTTAGGTCGCCGGGTTCGGAGCGCAACGCTGTCCACACGCGTGTACATATTCATCGGTAACATGCATCACGTGTGTGCATGGTCACACATCCACGCGCATCATTTGGTTCCCAGAGAACTATATATGTAAAACGCACGCTGTGTTATAAACATGCATGCGAACACACATCGACACACACACGCATGTGGAGCGGGTTCTTTAGACGACGTGGACGGATGGTTGTGGCGACACTTATTTATTATAACTTTACACAACACAATATCCCTAACAGGAAGGGTAGCGACCCCTCCACCCGCTAACTAAGGGGGATACAATCCCCCACGGAACTCGCCCGATCTCTAAGCTAGGGTCTCGGGCTAGTCCGACCTCACCGGCCAAGGTGCAGGTCCCGACCTCTGGTTACAGGGACCCGGCCCTGATGAGGACGTCGGGATCCCAGGCTCCCAGGGTCACACCACTGGCTCAGTCTGCCCGGCCCTGACAAGGACTGCGGGTCAGAGGAGTCCAGGGTCCTATGCGAGCCGGCCTTCTGTCTTCAACTGGTTCTTCAGTCTTTGCTGGCAGCACTGCCCAACTCTCTCGAGCTCCCGCCCTTTATACACCTCCGCAACGAGGGGCGGGTTTTTGTGGGAGCCCAGGACACCCCGCAGCTCCCTACAGGTAATCAGTGGGTGCTAGCCGGAGATGGTGTACGTTCGTCCCATAACACCATTATACATGGCATACGCAGACTTCTGTAAATCCACAAGGTGTACGGACAGAAAATGACTCTCCCATCGATGGGCAGCTGGGATAAGAGTTCTTCGAGGTCACCTCTTTAGGTGTTGAGGTGTGGTCAGCATCATGCCTACCCGCCTTTGTGTTCCCGTGCTGTGTATTTTGTTGTTGTTTTTGATCACACACCGTACCAAACACCGTACCAAACACAGTATTCATTTCAAGTGGTATGCGTAACAGGGATTTTAATCTTGGATTTTAGCAGCGCGCAGAACCCACGCTGGAGTTTATGCACGCACCCCGGACGGAAGTAATGAGGAGGAGCTGTGATCAGGTAGTGAGGAGAAGCTGTGATCCAGTAATGAGGAGGAGCTGTGATCAGGCAATGAGAAGGAGCTGTGATCAGGTAGTGAGGAGGAGCGGTGATCAGGTAGTGAGGAGGAGCTGTGATCAGGTAATGAGGAGAAGCTGTGATCAGGTAATGAGGAGGAGCTGTGATCAGGTAATGAGGAGTAGCTGTGATCAGGTAATGAGGAGGAGCTGTGATCAGATAGTGAGGAGGAGCTGTGATCAGGTAGTGAGGAGGAGCGGTGATCAGGTAATGAGGAGGAGCGGTGATCAGGTAGTGAGGACTTCTTGCTATGATCAGGTATTGAGGAGGAGCTGTGATCAGGTAGTGAGGAGGAGCGGTGATCAGGTAGTGAGGAGGAGCTGTGATCAGGTAGTGAGGACTTCTTGCTATGATTGGAATAGGAACCAGTCCACAGTTAGCTATCACAGCGACACTGCCGCGGTCAGTTGGTGAAGATTTGCTCAAATTAGTGTGGCGTCCTCAGATAAGAGGACGAGAATGCCGTTCTGCCTGCCCTGGCGATGGTTTGGCATGGTGCGCAAAGTTCAGGGTGCCCGCTCCGGCGTGTTGTTCGTGGTGACGGCGCGTTCACGATCTCAGCGCGCGGAACGCGACGCCAGGAGCAGACGTCGAAGAGGAACGGCGCGCCCCGTGGCCACGGCTCTTCAATTCTCTGGAGCAACAAGAAAAGTCGCGCATTCGCGTGGATTCCGTGACGCTTGGCACAACTTGCGCGTGACCTCAGAAGTGTTTAACTGCAACGGTCTGGGCCTCTGGCGCTGCGTTGAGCGAACATTTGTGGCCAGGTCGCTTCTGAAAAACATGTTAAAGCTCAGTGGGCTTTGCCTGGTAGGATGGGCATGGTTTCGTTGAATGTGTGTGAGTATACTTTGCACTACTCTCCTATTTTTGTACTGTTTGCCGGTGTAACGTTCTTACTCGCCCATACTGGACATCTTTTGAGAAGAGCTTTGTAACTCATCGGATTCCTCACGCAGTATGAATGAATGTTCTCATTCTGGCTGCACTGGCGGGTATGCAGGCAGCGCGGTGATTCTCCGTGGCCGGGTTTCTCGTGGGAAAGGTCCCCCAGTAGCAACACAACTCGACACGGGAGGTCGGTTCACGTTGAACGACGTCGTTGTTGTGAGAGTCACCATGACACCCCTCTCCCGCCTCACGTTTCGATGGTTCAGGTGCACAGATGAACAGACAGAGAGAGAGAGAGAGCTCACACGTGCACACGTTCACTCTCAGTTGCAACGCGTCACAATCAGGACCGTTGTCGTATTCAATAGGCGCCGTTAATTTGTAAACGCGGCGGCACTTGGCCTAAAATAGTTTAATTCAACCTCTGCGTCTCATTCCGTTCCGCTACTCAGCCAGCGATTTCGTTTTGTTCACCGAGGCCGCTGCTGCTGCTGTTGACTACACAGCCCCTGTGTTCTGCTGTGTCAAGCACGCGCGCAATGATCACCGGCGGGGCGTTTTTAACGAAGTGGGCAAGCGGTCGACATTCTCTGCCAACTCGCGCCTCCTGTCTGCTTGATTGTTTGCGAACCCGGCGACCCGGGTTCGAGTCCCTCTCATGGCGAACACCGGTGACGATTCATCTGAACCGGTCGTGGGCCTCTCATAGTTCGACTCAGCCTCAAATGAGTACGTCGCGCGGTGTGTAAACATCGCCGCTCGGGACACAAAGGCGGCCGGTCATGGTGCTGGCCACCCACCCCCTCGTTTCGGCCTCCATGGGTGCTCGCTAACAGCACTTGGCTCCTACAGTCTGTTCAGGCTATGGGGGGGGGGGTGGTCTTTGTCTTTGTGGGCGTAGTAGAGGAGTGAAACTTGAATCGGCCGTGGGTAGACGAGGTGTGAGGGAGCTGACCAGGCGAACGAGACGACGGCTCTTGCGAAGGTCCAACCACCGTCCCAGCCACGTGCCGACGTTGTGCGGCGAGGCGAACGAGACGACGGCTCTCGCAGCGGAAGTGATGAGAAGGATGAGAACCACCACCTCCACCACCAGAATCAGAAACTACAAAGACGCCCCAGTCACCATCGTGTGTGTGTGCCGGTGTGCACTCGGGATCGGGGGGCAGCCAGCGAGCGCAATCTAACCCAAACAACCCCCCCCCCCCGCCCCTGTATTATGGATGATATTGGTCGCGAGAGCCTGCGTGTTATGCTGGCGTTAGCCTGCGTCCGCGTGAACATTCCACCAAGCCCGCAGACACTCCGAATCATGGAAACACAGCCCTGCTCGCTCGCAGCCCTCATTACCTCGTCGCTGGCACGAGGAGCCGAGTTGATCGGCGCGTGCGCGAGCGTCGAGAACGCGCCCCGTGAGCGTCCTCTTTGTTGGCTCAATGCCGGCGGCACGAGGCCGTGCCGGTAACCCCCCCCCCCCCCCCCGTGCGGGTTACCTGACCGCGAGTTAAGTCGTTCCTCGCTTAACGCGGTGGTGGTGGTGGTCGTCGTCGGCGTCGATTGCGTTGCTGAAAAGTGCCGCGTTAAGCGAAAAACGCGTTCTTCGAAAACAGCTTCCCCCGTAAAATAATGTAATGACGAGAACTTTCGACGAGATACAATGAACGCACACGCAGTCGAGATTGTATCACTGTACCGCTTAGCTCAAGAAAGTACCGCGTTATAACGGTGTGTGTATCACGTTATAACGGTGTGTGTATCACGTTATAACGGTGTGTATCACGTTATGACGGTGTGTGTATCACGTTATAACGGTGTGTGTATCACGTTATAACGGTGTGTATCACGTTATGACGGTGTGTGTATCACGTTATAACGGTGTGTGTATCACGTTATAACGGTGTGTGTATCACGTTATAACGGTGTGTGTATCACGTTATAACGGTGTGTGTACCACGTTATAACGGTGTGTGTATCACGTTATAACGGTGTATGAATCACGTTATAACGGTGTGTGTATCACGTTATAACGGTGTGTGTATCACGTTATAACGGTGTGTGTATCACGTTATAACGGTGTGTGTACCACGTTATAACGGTGTGTGTATCACGTTATAATGGTGTGTGTGTCACCTTATAACGGTGTGTGTATCACGTTATAACGGTGTGTGTATCACGTTATAACGGTGTGTATCACGTTATGACGGTGTGTGTATCACGTTATAACGGTGTGTGTATCACGTTATAACGGTGTGTGTATCACGTTATAACGGTGTGTGTATCACGTTATAACGGTGTGTGTATCACGTTATAACAGGTGTGTGTATCACGTTATAACGGTGTGTGTATCACGTTATAACGGTGTGTGTATCGCGTTATAACGGTGTGTGTATCGCGTTATAACGGTGTGTGTATCACGTTATAACGTTGTGTGTGTCACGTTATAACGGTGTGTGT